TGTTAAATATTTTAAAAAAACATATTTTTTTTTGTTATTATAAAAAAATATATTTAAAAATAAAAAAAAAACAAAAAAAAAAAAAATAAAACACAAAAAAAAAAAAAAAAAAAAAAAAAAAAAAAAAAAAATTACTACTTGGAAATATTGGTCACTTTAACACGGAAATGCTGTGATGAGAAATCAGATTAGTGAACATGGGGTAATATCACTAATCAAAAATCACCAGCTATGAGGAGTGCTATACTGGCCATAATGTCGATCATCATTGACCGATATCAACCAATATTTAGAATTATCAGTGTTAATAAATCCTCGGTTGCTTGGTTTGTTGCTACGGCCAAACAAATCATACCCGTTAACCGCTGGTGCAAAAACATATACATATCGCTGAGCTTGCTCTACCCATAGATGCCAACCATCCAGCTTCCCATATCATCCCCTCTTCCAAGAAAACTACCTACTAAAAATGCCTCGCTGGACCTTTGAAGTCACGCCCGATACCCTATCCAAGACTGAGAAAGACACCCTAGCCCAAGCCATCACCGACAACTACGTTAAACATGGCATCCCTCCATTCCTAGTGAACGTCTTCTTTCACGAAAACCGAATCGGCACTTTCTACAGCGGCGGTAAAACCCCTCCCAACACGGTCTTTCTCGTCCTTGATCACGCCGCTCGCTCTTTTCCCAACGACACGGTCCGTCTGGCCTTCATCGATAGTGTCAATGCTATTGTGGAACCGATCCTCGGACCCAAAGGGGTCAAATGGGAGTATAATATCTACGAACATCCCCCGGACAATTGGCGCGTGAACAGCATGATTCCTCCAGTCCAGAACAAAGAGGTCTGGCAGCAGTGGATGGATCGAAACGAGGCGGTTCGATATGGAGATTACCTAGTTGAAAGGGCGGGCAGGCAGGGTCTCAAGCTGTGAATCCGGTTATGTTTTGGTGTTTGTTAGCCTTACAACAGTTCAAGTCATCTGAGACTGCTCCTAGATTCCCTGGGCTCTGAACTTTTTTTTTTTTTTTTTTTTTTTTCCAAATAACCAAAGTCCGGAAATTCTGAAGTAGGACCACAGGTTGTCGAGTGTGGTGCGTGCTTTGAGAAAGACAAGGAAAAGAAGAAAGAGGAATAAAGAGCCTTAGGTTACTCAAATTGCACACAAACCATAATGCTTGACTTTAATACTAGTACTCATAACTGTAACAAGAGTTGTGGAATGACGGGACATAATCGGATACATAAACGGACATATTATTCCTCATAAAATCGCCCTTAGATATGTAATATCAAACAGTTACCCACAATGAGCCAATGATTTATGGTTTAAAACTGTCTGAAGCGACCCATCAAATTAGACAGTAATATTCCGAACATCGACAGTCTTCTTGTCAAAAAAACTGCTGCCCGCCTTGGGAATATAGGAGGGATAATTCTCTATTATCTGCTTCAGCACAGCCCAGCTGTGCTCACCGTCACGGTCAAACGCAGCACTAGAGAACTGAGTTGTGTCGATAGTAGCTGTCACATATCTCCACGAGGGGTTAGCCGTCGCATTAGTGATATTAGCCGTCCTACCGCCATCGACAAAGATCGCGGCGGATCCGACTGCCGGCATCACGACGGTGCCGCCCATGTTGGTTGAATACCAGCGGGCAGCGGAGACGTCTATGTTACTATCCTCCCATGCCAATGGGTCGACTCCGAGGTCGCTGGCGTAGCTTCATCGTATCCAGCGCGTTAACCGGACTATTGTTCTAGCAAGAGGAGAAGATGACGGGGGCTCACGGGAAGGCGGCAATGTGAATATTCTCTTGCTGTGCAAGCATGGGGAAGTACATGGTTGGCTGGAGAAGGTATGAGATATTTAGACCCATTTTTAGGCTTGCGTTATCTCTCTAGACTGTGTATGGATCAAGACTCACGTGAAAATGCTCCCAGCACTCGAGCATGCCGATACGACCATATGGGGTGTTCTTGACAACCAGTCCCGAGGGATCTCCGTCAGACCAAATATCACGCTCGACACCCGAGGGACGTAGTTTGCGACGATGAATCAGAACATTCCCATCCGGCCCGATCAAGACTTGAGCCATGAAGATGGAATTGTTGGCGACTTCTGAAAAGCCGAAAGAGCCGTACATAGCGGCCTCTCGGAAGGCATTGACTAGTCTTTGAAAGTTGGAGCCATTGACCGACATGGACTGAGATACATATTGGGCGATGTTTTCAGAGGTATATTTGGTGTTGACTGCCTATGGCTCATGTTAGCAGGTCCAATGCTGTCGCAGAATACCTGGAAGTGTAGACTGACCACTGGGTAGCCGGGGAAGTAGAGCTCGGGAAACGCGATAAGCGAAACGCCTTCTATCTTTGCCTCCTGGATGATCTCGATGGCCTGTGTTATAGTATCATTCAGGTGAAAATCCACCCACGTCTTGTTGAGGGCTACCGGAAGGGCGAAATTCACTGGAGGTTCGCGAACCGCTGCAACTTTGAATGCAGAACCGTTGATAGATGGCAAGCCACTGATCTGACCTGCTTGGTACAGCACTGATGATAGGAAAAGGGTTAAAGAAAGCTTCATTATGAAAAGCTCAAGTTTTCAAGGGATAATTCGAGTTGGTATATCTTTATCCTCTCAGCTATGATCCTCTCAGGCCGTAGCCCTAGGTTCTACCACGAACAGTGTCTGGTTAATGTCAGAATTCTGCATACCTACTCGTTTTCCTGGTGTGGTTGGTCTCCTTATCTTTACCACTTTGCTGGTTGCTACGATCCGATTGTCAACTGCCGTTTCAATTATTCGGTTGAGGGCCATAGTCGGCCGAGAAGGCAGACACCATTTCATAAAATCCACTTTTCTCTGAGTTTCTTCAATAGCAGTACACTTCGATGGTTTGATCATATAGATGAGAATATATTTTATTGACTTCGCGGCTTGATCATACGATAGTGTGACGTAGCTAGCGCTGGACTTCGTAGTCGGGTTTTCAAGTATTTATCATAGATCTGAACGAAGCCTATAGGCGATAAATGAGGTGTTTCTGGGTACCAAATTCGGACAATTTTCCTCTTGTATGTATTAACCATGGAGGGGGCTTATTGATTTATTAATTTTTTGTGATGTTGTCATTTCCACCAGATAGAAAGGTGTGAGCATAGGAAAAAGCAAAAAAGGAAAAGAAACACAAACACCGGCAAGTAGAGAGCACCGGAATAAGCTTAAATGGGCAGCGAACAGGGATGTTGACTGTATCCGATGAGAGTGTCTCACAATGATAGTGAGTAAGGAAGGAAAATGCCAAGATCTCCTCGACTCCACGTGCCCAACCTCCAAACGTCTTCGCCCCGAAACCTTCGTGGAAATCATCGCCAGAACGCGAGTCATCGCCCGCATCGCCCTCGCAGTCTCGTGCTGCTTTGCGCTCCACTCCTCCATCTGATGCCTGTCAGGTCGATCGGTCCGTCAATCAGTCGCCGGCCCTCGAATCCATCCAGCCATCAATCAATCCATCGATCAATCAATCACTTCGGACCCAACTCCACTCGGGATGGCTTGCGGTTCGAGCCGCCTGAATCCTTGGCCTGTTACTTCGTCTGCATCTGCTGCCTCATTCTTGGGTGTCCACCATGACTAACAGGGACCCCGAATTTCGCCATCAGCTGGGCAAGTTCCGTCTCGACTCCTCCCTTGCGCCGCATACCTCCTCCGCCCAATCGCCCCTGCTCAACAGCTCCCTCCCCCCGCCACCGCACCTCCCTTCCCACCTCGCCTCCCCGTCGCATCGCAGCAAACGCGTCTCCACCGCATGTGATTTCTGTCGCAAGCGCAAGAAGAAATGTGACTTCCGCTACCCCAATTGCTCCGCCTGCACGCGTGCGGGCGTGCGCTGTACCATCCCCCCGCCCGGGCCCCAGGTCGCCAGCGCCTCCGTCCCGCGAGACCAGCTCGAGAACCTACAAAACCGCGTGCGATGGCTGGAGGAGGTCGTGCGGAAGAAGACGGGCATTCCCGTGGCCGACCGGCCCACGGGGAGCCCCCTGGACGGCGAGGGGGACCTGGACTGGTGGTATCAGATGCCGAGCATGCTGATGAGCCGCAGCAATTCGATGCGCCCGCTGAGTGGAACCCCCGCGTCGAACAGTCCAGCCAGCGCATCGGGGGTCGGAACCGATTTGCCCAACGTGGGGGAGATCTTTCGCGACCATCTTGAACATCGCCGACCCTCGGTGGCGCGGCCCGCGATCACCTCGACCAAGACCGCCCCCCGCGTCCTTCGACTCGCCTCGCTGGAAGAAGCCGAACAGGTGACCTCGCGGTACTTTGACAGTATGGGGTACCAATATCCGTTCCTGCACCGCTCCGACTTCTTCCCGCCGCTGCGTCGCATCTACGCGGGCGAGGCCCCGACCACGGAGTTTCACTATACCTACCACATCACCATCGCGATCGCCCTGTTGATCGGGTCGTCCGATGGCACGCAAGCGATGGAGTTCTACCGCGTGAGCCAGGAGACGCTGCCGCTGGCTCTGCAGAATGAGGACTTGGCGGCAGTGAAAGCACTGCTCAGCATGGCGCTGTACACCCTCTTCGCGACCACCGGCCCCAGCGTGTGGCATGTGCTGGGCACTGCTTTGCGGCTGGCGACCAGTCTCGGTCTACACAAGGCTCGGCCTGCAGCCAGCGTGATCGAGGAGGAAATGACCAAACGGGCGTTCTGGAGCCTGTACAACTTAGATCGGCTGATCGCCAGCACGCTGTGCCGGCCCCTGGGCATTGTGGACGAGGACATCAGCGTGAGCCTCCCGCGGGAGTTCAACGACGACTGGACGGAGGCGCCGGGAACCAGCGTGATGACCATCCCGGTGCAGGTCATTCGCCTGCGTCGTCTTTTTTCGCGCATCTACCGTTACCGTAATGATGATCTTTTTTCAGTTACTGATTCACACACTAACGTTGGCAGTCTATAACAATCAACCTCCTCCCCCGACGAACGAAGTGGTTGTGGCGCTCAGCCATTTTCGCCAAGAGCTGGATGACTGGCGTCGGAATGCGCCGGTCTACCCGCCAGCTCTACTGTATTCTACCAGCTACTATGACTACCTCTATGCCACCACCCTCTTGCTCATGTACCGACCCAGTCCGCGCAACCCGACTCCCGATGCAACGAGCATCGTCAGCTGCGGCGATGCCAGCATCCAGGTCATTCGATCGTACTGGGACAGCTACTCGGTGGGCAAGTTGAAGTGGATCTGGTTGACGCTGAGCCAGACGTACTTCGCGGGGATCACCATTCTCTGGTGTCTGAACCATGATTTTCTCGCAGTGCGCGACGGTCTCCCGCCCGCGTGGCAGCCAGACGACCAGACCATGCGCCGCGCCATCCAGGCGGTGGTGGTGCTGCTGGAAGAGTTTGGCAAGCGACGCCCGGGAGTCGAACGACTGGCCGAGACGTTCCGACAGCAGAGCACGATGATCTTCAGCCACCTGGCATACCAGCAGGAGCAACTGGGTCAGCAGAACCCTCCCCAACCGCCGCCACCACCGCCGGTGTCGCAGCAGCCGCATGTCCTGGTGGCGCCGCCCGTGCCTCTGGCGCCGGTGCTGGACGACGTGTTGCTGGTCAATGACTCGGGCAATATCCCCGTCATGGACCCTCACCTGGCGCAACAATTGCTGTATTCCTACGATTGGTTCCAAGAGGAGATGGCGACCTTCTATACCCTATGATTTGAATTATATACATAGAAATAAATGATTGATATACCGACCTTGTAAGTAGCGCATAGATAACGCATCCTCCGTCTTATCGGAGGGTTTCCCCACATAAACACTCAATACCCCTCTCTGTCTCTTCTATTCTTCCTACTCAGCTTCTTCCCCTCCCATCTTCTCTTCCTTACAACCACCACCTCTTTCTTAACTAAAATGGCCCACTCCATCCACGGCACCCTCATCCACTCCCTCGCCCCCTCCACCCTTCAAATCCTCCCCTCCACCCTCCTCATCATCTCCCCCTCGGGCTCCATCCTCTCCATCCACCCCTCCACACCCCCCTCATCCATCCCCTTCCTCCTGGCTCCCCACAATCTCACTCCTGAAACGTGCCCAACACTCACCCTCTCACCGACTCAATTCCTCACTCCGGGCTTCATCGACACCCACACCCACGCCCCGCAACACGCCCAACGCGGTCTCGGCCGAGGCCTCCCCCTCCTCACGTGGCTCGACACACTCACGTTCCCGAACGAGGCGAAATGCAAGGATCTCGTTCACGCGTCTTCCCTTTATACATCCTGTGTTCGCGCCGGACTTAAACAAGGGATCACCACTGCATGCTATTACGCATCGCTACATAAAGATGCCTCGGTGGTTCTTGCGGAAACTTGCCTCAGGGAAGGTCAACGGGCGCTGATCGGGAAATGCAATATGGATCGACATGCTCCGGACTGGTATACCGAGTCTTCAGACGTGAAGGAGAGTGTGAGGTCCACGGAGGAGTTCTTGGGGGAGGTCCTGGCTCTCGATCAAGGTGTGGGTGCTGGGGTTGGGAAGGGACTTGTTACGCCGGTTATTACCCCGCGGTTTGCAATCTCCTGCACGGATGGCCTTCTTTCAGAACTGGGCAAATTGGTGAAGAGGTATCCCACCTTGCCAGTGCAGACTCATTTCAACGAGAGTCCGGAAGAAGTGGAATTCACGGCAAAACTGTTCCCCGCGTACAACTCGGAGACGGAAATGTACGAGTCTTTCGGCCTCCTGAACGAACGAAGTATTCTGGCTCATACGATATACCTCAAAAATGGGGAGATGGACAGACTAAAAGAGTTGGGATGTGGGGTCGCGCATTGCCCCGTGTCGAATACTTGTATGGATCGGTTTATGGTGGCCCCCGTGAGTGAGTATTTGAAAAGGGGGGTCAAGGTGGGTTTGGGGACGGATTGTGGGGGTGGGTTTACGAATAGTATGTTGGAAGTTATGAGGCAGGCTTATCTGGTTAGTGTTGCTGGGAAGACGTTCCTGGGTGGCACTGGTGCTGCTGGTGATGGGGAGAGGACGGCATTGAGTACGGAGGAAGGGTTCTATATGGCGACCTTGGGAGGGGCGAGGGTCGCGGGCTTGGATGGGAAGGTGGGGAATTTTGAGGCTGGGAAGGAGTTGGATGCTTGTTTGGTGGATGTGAGTGTTGATGGGGTCATGGCGGATGTGGACGAGGGAGAGGATACCAGGAGCGTGTTTGAGAAGTTCATCATGACTGGGGATGATCGCAATATTACGGGGGTTTGGGTCAAGGGAAGGAGAGTCAAAGGATAGGATAGGCTAGGGGATATTTTCAGATATCCAATTGTGTATGGTTGCATTATATCACTGATGTACAAGTGTGGGTATATCCTAGATTGACGTATGTGCAGACACTCGTCTAAACGATCTGTCATCGCCATGTTCCCATCGCCGGTCCAAAATATTCCCCGGGCGGGAGCATCTTCCACGGCGTTCCCCTGTCATCCGCCGTACGGTGATGCACATCGTTTCCCCACCAGTGCAGCATGCCAGCCGGGAGCATGATGCAGAAGAAGATGATCACCGTGGAGACGGCCACGCCCGAGTCTAGCGCGGCGGACAGCACGTAGTCTGCCATGGTTAGTCGAAGCCAGCCAATGGATGATAGATCAACTTACTGTATTTTGCCCACCAAGCCGGCTTACGCCGCTTGATCAGCCCGTTGAAAATGATATTTACAATCCACCACGACGAGAAGCTGATGCCCGTCGCCGGTGGGACCTGGCTCATAGCGCCAAACGCCACCGGCCAAGAAATATAATTGACATGCTTCCATCGACGGCCTAGAAGATATGTGACGATCACGACAACCGGGCCCACCAGGAAGAACCAGAGGAGGTTGCCATAAATTTGGCCCGAGGAGAAGTTCCGACCGGGGCCGAGAGCGCCTAAAGGAGAGTCAGTCCCGAACTATTGCCGACAAGAAAGAAGAGACCCACCCCAGACCAAGGAAGAAGAATAAGTCACATGTCCGTGGGGGCAGCTAAATCCGCCGGGGGAGTCCGGTTTACAGATCCCCTCGAATCGCGTTATCATGAACACCGTCACGCCGCATTGCACGATGGCTCCGATAAGTGTGGCGAGTCCCTGTGCCATGAATAGCGTTCGGGGAGCGATGTGCAGATAATGTGCTAGTTTCATATCGGCCACAAACCTAACCGGTGTCAGTACCATTCTTTCCCTTCGACCCACGGCGACTTACTCGAGACCTTGCGACACTGCCACATATCCGTAAAACTTGAATGCCATGTTGGCAACAGGTCGCCCGAGAAAGGCATATCCACCGATGAACTCCGTGATCAAGTTGAGCTGATTACTGGAGATGTTCGTCACTGCTTTGATAATTCCGATCGGAATAATGTACACGACGGGCAACAGGTAGGCAAGGAGGACGGCCCACGCCGGAAGATCCGTGTGCCACACCTCGTTGGTCACAATACTCAGGACGAACATCACGATGGTCACAGCACCGAACCACCACCACGGCACCTCGGCGTAGGACTGCATCACACGAGAATGTACGTCTTTCTGGCTGCGTCCCTTCCATTGCTCCCACAGGTCCTTTCCGTGGTACAGTGCCACATGCACGAAAATGCCAGTCAAGTTGGCGAACGCCACACCGTATGTGATCGCATAACCTACCGGCAGAAACATTGGCGAATAGTTTTTATATGCCTCCGGATTCACCGAGCCATCGGGGTTCATAACACGCTCGACCATGTAGGGCCGACCTCGATTATCGAAAGTGTTCGGATTCAACATGGGCAGATAGGCGGAGTACCAAGTGTTCGTGTAATATAAGATGGGACAGATGAGCCAGAAAAACAAGGCAAATGAGCCCATCACATTACACCCGGCCCAGAAGGGAACAAGCAACGGACTTTGATTGGCAAAGACGACCTGCGCCCAGTCAAAGGTCAAAACCGACATGCCCAGGCCCGTCCGCTGGCCAAAGAGCTGGTTCAGGACTACATTGTGCGGTGCAATCCAGCAGATGAAGGTGAAGGTGCTGAGTGCGGTGAAGAGATAGCCCGGAAGAAAGTACCAGACCGCTCCGCCAATGAAGATCAGCAAGAAAAAGCGCAGGCGCGTGATGATCCAACCATCTGCCAAGCTATTTCTTCGGGAATGCAGGGTCGACAGTAGCGCAGCATTAGACAACATCTGGGGCCAGATCATCGTCGCCGGCCCTACGAGCCAGCGCGACGCCATTCCGGCCAGGCCGAACCCGAACATCTGCGTAGTGATGGTGAGGAGGATCTCGAATCCACCCTTCGAGGGCATGCCGTAGAATTTGACCATCGCCTCGATGACCTGCGTGGCTGCCGCCGATCCAAACGAGACATTGGCCATGATCGTGATGAGCGCATGCTCTTTGATGTTGAAATGGCGATCCGGATTGAACCGGCCCAATGGGATCCATCGTGCCCAGGCACACCCGATGGGATAGGCTACCAGCTGTGCTACCAGCGCACTGATGGTGACACTGGGCATTCGCAAGCTGAAAAATTGGTTCAGGCCGCTTCCAATCTATTCCGAGCACAACGCTGTCAGCCTTACACATGCTTATTGTCTTACGTCGGCGCGTCCCCGTGCAATCGGCTAAAACTTACAATCGTGAACAATATCCCGATCACCCACATGCGAACGGTATTAATTGGCAAGTGTGCATCGTCCTTGGGCCGCACGGCCGCCCGCACTTCCGGGAAGGGAGAATCATCAGCTTCGTAGGGGAGGATCTTGGCCGCATCACGGTCACTCAGGACGGTGAGGTCATGCTCATTGTGGGTATCTAGCGGCGGGACCTAGGGAATGGAATCCATCGAACGTTAGACGATCTTCTCATTCTGACAGTGACAGTTGGGTCCCATTCCGCGAGAACGCAAATCAGAAAAGGGCCAGACCGGTGGAAGCGAACCACCAACCACGTGGAGGGCGAGTAGATCACTCCGGGAGCTTCCAAGGGGGGCTCGGGGGGGGGGTGGGGAGGGGGGCAAGGCGACAGGCCAAGGGGACCAGGCCAAACGATGATCAAACGAAACCCGAAGGCAAGGATGGGATGGGGTAACGTTGCAAGGACGAGAAAAAAAATGGGTCACACCCACCTGAATTGAGTCGTCCCGCAGGGATTTTTCATCGTCGGGGGGCTTGAGCTTCTCAGACATGGTGATTGCATGCAGGGCAGAGGGGCAGGATTCGCATGACTCTCCAGACTGGCAGCCAGGAAGATTTCGGCACTGCGCGGGATCACGCACTACGCTTCGGGTTTAGCGCCTGGCACTCGTGACGCCAAGTCACGCGATCTGTCGGCTGCATCCGCTGCCACTTGCTGCTTTCTGGAATTCCTCTTCGGAACTCATTTCCTCCCCACTTTCTCCTGCTTAGTCCCGGCCAGCTGAAATCCTTTTCTCCCTCGTATTGGCGGTCAGCGGGGACCTATTATCCTGTGCCCATTTGTCTTACGATCGCCTGAGGCTGGCCTGCCATACTCCGTACGGTGTAATGTCGGGTGAGAGGTTGAAAGGCTGAGAGCGTCCCCTGGTACCGACATCTGCCAAGCCGAAAGAACCCACGCTCAACAGTCGATCGCGGGTAGAAACCACCGTGGTGAAGTCCAAATCTGGCCATGACTTGCAAGCGAGAAGAGGAAAAGATCTGGCGATCCATGTCAGCGACTCGCATCTTGCAGCCACACTAAATATTCAGTCTTAGTGATATTTTAGTACGGAGTAGCGACTATGGATTATGGACTCTTAGCGACCCAAGGTTATATTGGGCTCTAGACCCACCCGAATACATTGTGAAATGTGAATACTTGTGAAATGAACATCATGGTTTTGAGCAGACTACACCGTAAAACAGTCGGTGTCACTCATAGTGAGGAGGTTGTTTCGCCCTGGTTTTCTCCAACTGCCGTTCGGATTTGAACATATATCTTGGGCGTCACTGCCATTGAGATCTGGTTCATTCTTGATCCACCCTGAAATTGATCATCCATATGATCTTTGGATTATCAACAAGGTAGGAGAAAAGACAAGTGTCCTATCCTAGGATTCTACAAACATCGCCGCACGGTCCGACCGACACCCCGTTAGCTACCTCTGACGTCGTGCAACGAGCCGACACTGACATCCGAAGGTTTGCCCCTTGCATTACATCTGCTCCGTACTCCGTACATTCCAGTGAAACCAGGGGCAAGCATTCGGTCTCACTTTGATCGAAATAAAATTAAGAGCGTGGAGTTCGAAATTCCATATCGTTGCCATGCTCCGACCCTCGGCGTGCGCTCCGACATTTTTGTCTTCAGGTTGTCTAGCGGGCAAACTAAATGGCTAGCACAAGGATCAAGGGTCGATGGATAACAGTAGGGCAGGAAACTATCCACACCACTAAGGGAGTTACCACGTTGGGATTATGGAGATGGAATCATGGAATTCCACTCCTTCTCCACCACCGATCCTTTTATCTTCCTACGGACTTTGTCGGGAAAATCCTTCCCTGGGTACGAGTACGGTGCAAAAGATCGGAAGCATAGGGCCAGAGACTGAGAGCATCATCTTCTTCCGACGATGGTCGGCTACTGAAAACCCCGCCTTGCAGCGATAGGTGGTCCAGAACTATCCCAACTCATTCATGTCTGCGGTCGGAGTCTGCCGCCAATTCTGTCACGCCATCACTTCTCCTCCCCGAGTTTGTGCAATCGTGGCGGTCTGTCCAACAACTGGATGCACCTTCCTCGTCTCATCATAGGAGGATCCTTTTCTTCTTTTTGTGTGGGAGTTGCACCAGAGCGGGTCGAGCCGACCGTCGGATCTGGGCGCTTCGACCCGACTCCCAAGACTGACTGATTGACACCCACAAACCATCCGTAGCAAGGGCGACGGTCGATCTCCATCCTTGGTTGGGCAATTGAGACGAATGATCGGTCGCGTGGGCTTGTTCAACGACGCGGTTTGGCATGCAGAAAGGCCGATTAGGTAGTTTCTTACTCGCCCGAGAGTTGAAGCCATGGGTGGTCTTTGCTTTATACTCGAAATTCGGTCCTAAGAATCTGCCCGTCGGCTTTCCCCCCTCTGATGTCCCCCGTCCATTTCCCAATTTTTCTTCTGTGTCTCTTACTTCAGTTTAAATAATACTTGATACCCACCTCCGTCTTCTGTCAGAGTGAGGATCATCCCCTTCGAACCGGAATCCGCGGATACTAGACAGTGGACACCTGAGGCCGCCACCATGGGAGGCGATTTGCCCTTCTCACAACGCCCCATCATCATTTTGGGTGCCGGCGTCATCGGTTGTGCCACGGCTCGACAGTTACTTCTCAATGGATTCCGTGTGATCTTGGTGGCCGAGTACCTGCCCGGCGATCAGAACATCTTCTATGCTTCCGCTTGGGCCGGAGCAGCATGGCATGCCGCTGGCGGCATCAGCCCCGAATACCAATACTTCCAGGCCGTCACCCATCGCCACCTGCTCATGATGGCCCAGGAAGACCCGGAATCAGGTGTCTGCATTGTCGACTCCCGCGAGTACCTCGAACAACCGCCTACTCCGAATTCCTCTCTGTGGGGAAAGACCGTAGTGTCCAAGGTAGAGTGGCAAATCACGATCCGACAAGCAAATGTGGCGTACTGATCTTCATGCTAGTTCCGCGACTTGAGCCCCGACGAATACCCTTCTCACTTCAGCTGCGGATGGGCCTACGACTCTCTCGTTACCGATCCAACGCGACACATGCCATATCTCGCGAAGAAGATCACCTCGCTGGGTGGTCACTTTATTCGGAAACGAGTAGAATCGCTGCAGGAGCTATACACCATGTTCCCGGAGTCGAGCATCTTTGTAAATGCCAGTGGACTCGGGAGTAAGTCTCTTGTTGATGTTCAAGATGATAAATGCTTCCCCGAGCGCGGTCAAAACGTTTTCTACCGGACGGAAAACTGCCAACGGATGTACTTCCGGAACGGCAAAGAGTATACTTATGTTATCCCCCGACCTTTATCCAAGGGTGTCATCCTGGGAGGTAGCAAACAACGAGACAATGTGTGAGTATTGGTGGCCAGCCTTGATTTCCCCATAACTAATCGAATCCAGTTCTCCGGAAGTAGACATGGACATCTCCCGAGACGAGATCGCACGCGCCCATCGCCTTGCTCCCGATATCGTCCCCGAGAACCCCGAAGATGACGACCTCAGCTATATTATCGGTATTCGCCCATCCCGAGAAGGAGGGTTCCGACTGGACTCGGAACTGATTGGTGAACGGCTCATCTTGTCGGCTTATGGGTTTGGGGGAGGTGGATACGCGTTTTCTTATGGCGTTGCGGACGCTCTAGCCAAGATTGTAGAAAAGGCAGAGTGGGATAGCGTGATTGCTCAGGCTGGACCTTGAGATGGTTCTATTTGTGGTTGATCATCGGCTGGAATGAGATCAACTTGGGCGTTGCGACGGCGGTCCGTTGTTCGTAGATCAGTATAAAGGAATAAAAGCAAGGTATCGGTGCACCCGTCTCCCCTCTGGTGAAGATGATGGGAAGCTTTCATATAGAATACAGAGAGATCTGAATCGTGTCTAGGGTACATACGTTCTTTCTTGGTTCTTTAAAATGACCCTAGAGGTTTTTAATTCATTCATTCCAAATCTGTTCACGGAATACTCTCTAACGTTACCTTTGATCTCTAGCAAAGCACGAAGCGGTTGTACGACAGTATTAGGAACGTTTTCAAGAATCTTCTCCCAGGGAACGGTAGTATGCTCAAAATGACTCCGGGTAACCCGGCCCTTCAGAAGTTCCAGACGAAAGCCCGGCTGCGTGGTCAATCATATGACCAATTATGGAGATGAGTGTGTCCAGGTCCCAGAAATCAAACATAATAGAATACTCACTGGGTGTTAGTCTTAATAATATGATAGGCTTTTAAATCTTTGTTCATTCTGATGAATATCCAGCGAACGCTGTCCACAACCGCTGTGTAAATTGGTTTAAACGGGTAACCTGCCATGCTGCGAGTCTGTTCGATTATTGCTGGGAGCAGTTAGGATCTAGAAAACTATGTGTAAAACTTAAGTACCGTCGGACTTACCCATATATGCTAGGCATTGCTCCAGTCTGTTTTTGCCCCCCAATTCGGCGATTACTATAAACAGGCTGGATTGGATATCGCCATGTCCTACGGAATAATCGAGTGTTCCTCGGAGAAGTGTCTCAACCCTTTGAATATTGCGGATGTCTCTATGGGCTGGTTTAATTGCAACTTTGGAGACATAGTAGTGGACTCGCAAGTGGCCAAGGCGCGTTTTCTCTCCGACAAAGTGGTGGAAAGTATTGCGTCTAAACGAGCTCTGACAAGTGATTTGCTCTTATAGTTCGTTCCGACCTCGCAATCTTCTAAAAGGGACACTGTATTATTAGATCAGTAATTGAAATAAAACCAGGTCGCCCAGAGCTCACCAAGACGGCTAGGTGCTGGGGGCTTGTCTCTTGCCGTGAATATCATTGCGGGCCTTGCGCAGCTGTCAGCAAGCCGGTAATAGAACGCATTTATCAAGCAGTCTAGCGGGAGGTCTCGGACATCGATCGACATTTTAGAAAGCTGTTGAATGACAATATTGAGAGAAGGCTATGACTTGGTAGTTTTAGCTGCGATAAAAGGTTTGTTGGATGATGGAAGGAAGGAACCGGCGATAGAAAAGGGGAAAGGAGTTGAAGGAAGGAGAAACGTTACCTCATCCCGACGATTGGCAACAATCCCATGGTTTCCATTACTCACTCAACGTAACGCTTAGATATCAGAGTACTCGGAGGTTGACCATCAAAAATGGGCTTTAAAAAGAGCGATAAGAGTCGTATTCACTCGAAATAATTATATTCATGATAATGATTATATTCTACTTAAACATCAACTCCCTATTAGGGCTCTTCCTAAATCACCAACAGCTGAAATCTCGTGGCAGAACTAGGTGGAGTAGTAAATACACCCTTTACAATGCCAAACTCCTATATAAAGTTTTAGGAAAGGCCTGATGATTTGAGTCATACCTAGTCTTATCATGCTGACATGGTAATCTTTACCCATCTTCGATTAATCACCATACCTTCAGCATCAAACGATGCCATCCTCCATCCATCAAATCAATAGCCAAATAGCGAAAGTCAAGATGAGTATCATACATGAAATAGGAATGGATGATATGGACGATGTCGGCACACGCTTTGTAAACTATGAAAATACTGTCAGAGCTAGTGCAAAAGAGAGTGAAGAATTCTGGCCTACATCTGGCAAAATCAATATTGTCATACTAGGTCATCTCGGTAAGTCCTAGAGGTATGCGCAATAGCCTAAATCCACTAATTCTCGTTTTCCAGATAGCCAACTAGAGGGCTATATGCTTGCCCTTGATGCGGCCCCTTATTGGTCTAGATTGTAAGCTGCTGAGTAGCTGTATCTATTCTCAAAAAGTAAAGGTAGAATTGCATGCAAAATCGAAAGGAATTTAACTAATCATGATGTTCTGGAAGTCAAATGCCAAGTATTCAGACGCAGAAGGATCCAGTCTCTCCATCAGACCGAAAAGGCTTATCGTCTTATTGGAAATTCTCAGATGGAGTACGCACGACCCTGAGTATTACCGCCATCCAATCCGCCACTGAGTCAACATCGTCGGGATAACCCCAAGACGCGTAGCCGGAAGATAGCCAATGCGCGACCATTTTCACAAGCTCTAAAAGAAGGGCTGTGAGGACCGAGAAAGAAAGTACCCTCATATTTCTAAACAGGATGGACATTCTTGATTCTCTCTATGAAAGCTTTTTTGCATTTGTCGCAAAAAAGAATATGGGGGCACCGATACCTTGTCCGGTTAGAGTTAGATCCCTATCGCACTCCGCCATGTCAAACTCGCCGCAGCCTCGTTTCGAAACGCTACGACTCCATGGCGGGTGATTTGATCCTTACCCTCAATCCGCGTGCTAACCGTCTTCTTTCAAGTCATGACCCTGACTCGGCCACCAATTCCCGGGCAGTGCCCGTCTATGCGACTACGGTAGGCATGCGCCGGCCAGAGTACTCCGCGGCTGAAACTGACGGTCTATTCAGTCGTACCAGTTCAATGATTCGGCACATGGGGCCGGGCTCTTCGACCTTAGAGAGTTCGGCAACATCTACAGTCGAATCATAAATCCGAGTCATGACAGAATCTGGGCCCGGTTTCCGATTGACGCGGAGGTGCTCACTACCACTCTATTCGGCCCCTAAACTAATTGTTAATTGTTGGCATTTGGATGCCTGAGGCAATATGCCAAGCATTCAGCCCATCAGTCATAGTTCAAGCAAAATAATATCATTTTGAAAGGAAGCGTTAAATTCGATGAACTAGAAGCGAGTACGCAAATGTGAAACATGACGCATCAAGCCGGCACAAACGGCGGTTAAGCAATTTAGTATAGTAAACAAAAAGCCCCGACGACCTTCGTGGTAAAATCCAGTTTTCCGCTGTTCGGCACGTTTGTTTTCGGCAATGTTCGTAAACAATTCGCCCCTAGCCGAGTTCATTCATTAGATGGAACTCTTTGGGATAGTCCATAACTCATAGACATTGAATTTTTACAGCCATGCCCTTCGCGGTAGCTGTACGGCGTAAACACTAGTAAAAGTAGAGGAATCGGGCGGCCGGCCAAAAATCTCCATAGAACTTGAGCTTTCTTCAATTCAGCTCCCGGTCGACTTGCCAGAAGCATCATCTTGATGGTTGCCCGAAGGGAGAGTAGAAACTATTCGGTAGATCAGGTGGGAGCTTGATATTGACGTTTTCGCTAGGGTGATTTGGTTTTAGCCACCAAATGTGACATGTCGCTAATATGCCCCAGGATAGTTTTCCACGGGCTTTTGAGCAAATGCACCTAATCCCGGTGCTACACCCCTTTCATAACTCAGATAATAGGGGAAGATAAGTCCGACTCGAGAGCATTTAAAGCTCTTTTGGGCAAGAACATATCCCAAATCCCATTTCTGGGTCTTCATTATCCTCAATGAAGGCCATCTTGGGAGGTTAGGGGATATGGGCGCCCCTATTTGATTGACTGAGCTGAGTATTCACAAGCTCTGGATTCCAGGAGGGGACAGTCGAGAAGACAGTACTCGAGTTACCTGTGTCATTGAAAAACGGCCAGGAATTTCTGTGGATGACACTGCACGGCTTTGTTGATTTGTTGAAAGAAAAGTTGGCATTGGAAGACCAAGTACGCCAGGTATATCAAATACTTACTATTTAATTCGACACTTAATCTTTTCGACCGTTTATCTGGAGACGGAATTTTTTTACCACCGCCCACGTCAAAAAGGCGATGGAATACAGAGAAAAAGGAAGAAGTCGTGGGTGATCCCCAGCCACCATAAACACTACGTGAGCAACCACACGTTAGCTGCTTTCGATTGTAGCACAGTGTAATAGGCCGGACGTTTATTTCATCTTGAAACCATCCTTGAAACTGAGACGGCGGGGGCTTAGGGCCTCCCTTCTTGGTAGGTGACGATGCCATAATCAAGGACAAGGGCTATTTTCCCTATGTCAATAGCCAGTGATACGGCTGTGTTTTGTTTAAATTGCCCTGACGAGCTTCGTTAAACGCTTTTTTGGGCCCCTGCAGGAGAAATAAAGCATTCTCAGTCAATTTAACGTATGGCTGGAAAACAGTTAGTCTTTGCTTACATTTTTGGAGGATTTCCATATTTGGTTGTTTCCAACCTTAATCAAATCTTCCATGTTTGTGTAAGCGCTTTGTTTGTGCGATCCATATCTCTGCTCACACGACTGGGAATTGACTGAGGAAACGCTTTGATATCTTTTTCGACTTTGTTCGGAATCGTCCTTTCCATACTTGAATACGATCGTTTTATTCGATCGTTCTAGCCAGGTCGATTCTCTCGGGATCGACGAAGAAGGCTCCAGAGCTTTGAGATATGATTATACAAAGCAGATGACTGACAAGGAAGAGATGAAAGTGGATCTACGAGTGTGAAAGATGAGATTATATAGACTCAGGTAAGTGGCGAAGACAGGTAAAGTAGATACATAGGGGTACGTTATTCAATTTAATACAGGAAAAGAAGCACTTACGAAGCCCTCGTCAAAGGTAAATTGGAACAGAACTGTTTATAAATGTATAATATTTTATAGTTAATTAAAATTACTATAAAAATAAGGTCGTGTTAGACCGACACCCTCCCCCCCCCGGTTATCCCGACACCCCCATTTCCTATTCGGTTTAGCGTGGCCATGTGATATGGAAATTTGGCACTTGGTATAAACGCCAAAGATCATTATCTTGAAGCCTTGTAATAATCTCAAATGGGCAGTTAGTCTTGATTGTGCTAGTTTTGCATTTCCGCTGGCCTTCTTCAAGATGACAGTCATATCGACTTCCTCGGTCACATTTAATCCATACATTCTTTATATGGGAGCCAGATTTGACCTTTTTAACGCGCTTTTTATTGACTGCATAGCCATAATTATGTCCATGAGCGTTGAGGATTTCAATAACTTCATTATATGAATCGAATTGTTGAGTTTGTAGTCCGGGGGGAAGAGGGATACGATCATGAAGTTGCTCATTCCACTGCTCGTTGGGAGGATCGTCGCTTCCGTAGCTTTGAAGATAGCTATTTAATGAAGCCATTATTACTGTATACAGCAACGTGCTGCAGTAATAATGAAGGCGACGGCGATAGCAATATACAATATTCAGCATACGCACTTGGTGGCGAATATATAGCTTACCCTATGATAAGAGCCCTATAGTACAGCCAAAAAAGGAAAATTGCGCGGGGTCTAAGCCTGAATAGAACTAGTACATGACGTGGGGGTGTCGGGGTAACCGGGGGGGGGGGTGTCGGTCTAACACGACCCAAAATATATTAGATCACTCACTCGATCTATGACTGTATTTTAGACTAGATCAATTAACTCACTTCTACAGCCCAAGAAATTAGATACAATTTTCAACTAGGAGCCTTTCATCGGTAGGCAGTCCACAGGCGTCCACCCTTTGGTAACAAGGCCAATATCTAGTAAGGCTGGTACTTCTTCAAAAACGCAGAAAGCAGTTCTCTTCGCTCCCGAGTGGCAATCGGAATCTCACCAAACCCATCTCCCAGATGCATCACGGTTGGCTTGTCGGATTCATTCGGCTTCCATCGGGTTAGGTTTCCCATCGTCAAGGATCCTCCTAGATTAGGGTCTTCTGTCTTAACGAAGTTAGCCCAGTACGAAGACATCACATCGGAGAGGTAGAAGTCATAAGCGGTCCATGGAAGGTCGGTCTTGTATAGGTTCCTCAGGGCATAGTTAATTTCAGCCATGTGGAATGCCCCCTGGTTCTGTCCTGGAGGAGCATGGTCCCAGTAGTAGGTGTAGAACGGGCTTTTCGCAGACTCGATCCAACCATTTGCGAACTGGTAAGATGATACGAGAGAGAGATCGCGGGCGGCTGCATTCCATGATCGGTCGGCTTCGCTGTCATTTCGTGCAGGGTACAGTTGCAGGAACTTGCTGAACAGGTCGTCGCCATACCACTGTTTGTTGTACATCTTGTATTCTTCGACCGTGTAGTTCGTCGATGTAGACGCACCGCTCTCGTCCTTGTTGTTGCCTGTGATCATGGGGACGTCGTTTGCGGGTCCATCACGTAGAGAGTCGATGTATTTCTTCGGCACGACGTAGCCGTCCAACGTCGTTTTGAAGAGCGGAGGATCCATTGTCCACAGAGCGGTCAGATTGTCGATTTCCTGGCGATCGTCGCTGCCGACAAGAAGCTGCTCCATGCTCAAGGTGCGAAGCTCGGCAATGGTGCTGACGTTGTGAGATGTGGTATAGTTGATACCAGTCTCAACCGCCTTCTCCATTGTTTGATATGAATCCGCCAAGCCAGCTAGAAGAGGGTCGTAGGGATGGCGAATTCCACTTTCGGCAATCATGCCCCTAAAGAGGCCTTTTGCCAGTGGACTATTGACCGCGTGGTAAACCTGCGCAGAGCCGAATGATTGACCCGCGATAGTCACTTTGTCCGGATCACCACCAAAGTTGGCGATGTTGCTCTGCACCCATTTAAGAACAGTGAAGAAGTCCATTATCCCGTAGTTGCCGGAAGAGTTATGTCCGGACTCCTCGTTGAGAGTGGGATGGGCCAGGAAACCGAACGCGGCATCTCGGTAGTTGTAGGTCACCACGACCACGTCCTTCGTCGCGAGCCCGCCACCGTCGTAGCGAGGTTCTGCGCTTGTCTCGCCGCTGCCGTAGTTCCATACCAACACAGGAAGACTATCCGAGCTAGAATTTGCGGGAGTCCAGATATTCACGGACAAACAGTCTTCGCTGATGTTGTAGGTAGCGGCTTGATGGGCGATAGGACACGCAGGTCCAAAGTCATGGGCCTGAAGGGTGCCGTTCCACCGCTCGCGGCGCTGAGCAGGTTTCCAACGATTCTCGTAGGCGGTATTTGCAGCATAGGGGATGCCGATGAAAGCAGTGATTTGACTATCCGAGAGATTGAAGTATTTCTGGGTCGTAGAGCTGTTGAAATACTTGAAACCTTGGACTTTGCCATATTCGGTGTCAACTGGAGTATGGTAGAGGGCCGCTGAGGATTGGGAAGTCAAAAGTCCCACAGTCAGAAGACCAGGTTTCAAGAAGGCTGGTATCTTCATATTGGCTGTAACCGGTTCTTTAAAAAGATTGTTGCAAGTCTGTCTTGTTCACTTCCTTGGATAGAGATACCTAGGGGTATAAATATCGAAAGTGCTAGATTGGCCTCGGCCCAGGTTGCTTTCTTTGGACCTATTACATAAACCTAGCATGGTTTGAATATGTGTGATCGACACTGCATGACGTTTCATTGCTTCGTATATATCAAGAATTAGATGGTTGCCTTGGAAGTCGGACCTTACCTCCGAGTTAGAAGGCTGAGGATGTGGATATCCATGAGTTATGCCTCGTCCGCAATTCCGCGGCATTCAATTTCATTTCAACCCCTAAAACATGCTCTATAATCATCATATGAATTCCGGGAAATCTTGAAGATGGATTATCAAACATTGTATATTATTTCGTTGCGAGTATGCAAGATTGAGCGCGCCTCAACTGGAAGCGACGCCATATTCTCAGCCACTCTGTCTCATACCTGCACAATGTTACTAGGAGCAAAATCATCTATAGCAAGAATAGTAAGGCATTGAAAAATCTATGAATCATGGGCACTCTAGGCCTCGGAGGAAAGTTGTGGATCCCGTCAGTGATTGCCGGTATGAGACTAGCGTCCTCGGCGATATGCGGATCTAAGAGATAATCAGATCACTTTTACGCTCATCTGCCCACATCCAGACTGTGCGGAGTAATGGTCGGAATGAAGGAGACCGTAGGTCCCAGTCTTGCCTGCGATGATCGGATACTCGGTGTTAAGAGGCCTATCATTTCTATACTGAGCTACCGAAGATCTGCCGAAGATCTGCCGTTTCATATGTGCGTGTTTCCTTGATGTAGATTCGACAGATCCCACTTGTATTTCTGCAGCCTTTATTTCTTTCCGATTCCTCCGTCACCGGGAAACAAATTAGGGCTGGTTGAGCTCGGTAAGTCCGTGTTTATCAATACGTTGCTCTCAATTGAATTGTGGTATACTCGGAAGAGATGATGTCTTTTGACTTTTTGTCCGCGGAGATAATGTCAGTCTCGGTGTATTTGACTAATTTTGGTTCTTTCTAGCATTGTAACTAGGTCTTCTGAGGCTGCGGATTGTTAGCAAGAATGGAGCCAACTGTGTTGGGGTGGATAATTGATTGAAGGTTATATGCTGCCCATGGCATTGTTGGTTAGGAACGTGGAATAAAAACCTAGCTTAATTTGGAACGTAGTTAGTTTCAGATGTGACTAGAGCCTCGTGAGAGTATAAGAATCGATTCTTAGTATCAGAAAGAACCAGTTCTCCAATAATAGGTACTTTGTAATAAGACAGATCTGCTATTATTAACTTGCCTAAATGGGAACTGGTCAGTGCTCTAAGAGCCTAATATGTAAGGTTACCTTGCAACATGCTCACACAAACCAACTTGAGTCAAGTGATTATAGTACCAATATCTCATCTAAATTTGAGAGTGGTAGAGAACAGGGGGTGTTGGACTTTTGCTGTTTTGGGTTATCAGCGTGAGCAGTTTGTCTGGAACGATATATAAATATAAAGTTCTGACATGATCTATGGCAAGCTGCGACATACAGTACTAACAGAAAATATTGAAAGACCTTTATCTTGTTTGAGGCAAAATACTCTCGATAGACTCTAGAGGGTAGGTCAGAAGGCATTTGCGCGAGTCCGGCGTTCACAGGAAAAGCGGGGAGTTGGCATGCAAATCCCAAGGATGACTTCACAGTGGAACATCCACTTCCTTGAAATAAACCAGGGGAGCAGGTGTATTGGTAAGTATGATACTGGAATTTACGAGTGATATTACTTAAGTTAGCACTTATACTAGTGAGATTGGTACAGTATAAAAGTCATAACATTACAATACCCACCTCGAACATGTATTGTAGACCTGAGGCAGAAGTCAGCCCTGCGAGGCTCCAGAGCCTTTCCTGCCTCTCCCCCTCCCTTCCTGCTCTTACTTGCATCCTCTAATAAACCAATCCGCCCCCTCCAACTCTTGTCATTCATTTACCCTCCCCGAGTCCTCGCCGAGACATCGCTATTCCCTATAATCTTGCCAACTAATCCTGCGAAATCCTCTAAATGCGGCGTTGCCAAGCTGCCCCGATCTGGCCATTTTAAGTCAACCTCATCCAATTTGACCACCTGGAATCACTCTTCCCTGCCAATAAGCTTCCCTCAAATCTTAAATACGCCCCGAGATCGAGTTGGAGAAAATGGCCGAGGATCCTCAGGCGATGTCCATCCAGCAGCGCATCGCCGCCCTGAAACAGGCACAGACTGGACACAGTCCCGAGGCCGCAACTCCGCCGTTCCTGGGACCGCAACCAACTCCCCTGCCGTCGCGTCCAGCCCCTTCGCGGAATCAAACCATCAATAATCCGCCGGCCAACGCCCTGCCTCCCCCCTACGAAGAAGTTCAACGGAAACCGGCTGTTCGACCGCCGCCTCCACTACCCCCGAACGGCCAGAAACCCAAGGTGCCCCCACCTTTGCCCGTTCGAAAGTGCTCCACGCAATCGGCACCCGCACTACCGCCGCGCAGACCCTCAGAGATCTCCCGAAAGACCTCGTTAGAATCGGTGGCCTCAGATGTCTCTCGCTCGACTTCTACAAGTGCAGGGAGGACTCCGGGGACCTCGGCGACCTCGATCGACTCTGTTCGTGGAGTACGAGCCCCCGCGTGGGGTGAGGCGGAGCTTCCTCCCCTACCTCCCAAGCGACAGGAACAGACGTCGCGATCGCGGCCGTCGACCGCGAATTCCAGCAGAAGTTGCTCGCAATCTCGACCATCACTCCCTGCTCGCCGGGAATCGACTAATAGTACGTCGACCGATGGTGGCTCCTTCGTGAGCCAGCCGCCGCCACCATTACCCTCTCGGGGTAACAGGGACAAATCGCCTGGTGTCAATGCGGAGCCCGCCGTCAGACCACCACCCAGGAAACTTCCTCCGCCGCCACCCTCAAACCATGTGCTCGAGAAAATCCAGAAGTCCGGACTTGGAGGAATAAACAAGAATTCGGAGGCTTCAGACAGCGCCCCGCCACCTGTCAGCAGACCTCCAAGTTCAAATGGCCTTTTGGGCAGGATTCAAAATTCCGGGTTCGGTGGAATCACCAAGATCCCAGAGGTTCCCGAGAGAAGTTCTAGTGAACCTGCTCAAGAATCTCCTTCCAACGGGGTGCCACCGCCGGTCCCCTTGGCGTCTCGTCCAGACCTCTCCAAAATCATGGCAACCAAACCTCGTATGCAAGGCAATGGCTTGCCGGCTGCAACGCCGAGCGTGGCCTGCTTGAAGTGCCGCGATTTCTCGGGCCCGGACGCACACGCAGCGCAATACCCACGCCAATCTCTTCCCACCCACGATATGACCTGGCTAGCCAGAGAATTAACCGCGCCATACCCATCGCATACCGACAAAGCCAGGGCACTTTTTACCTGGTTCCATCATAACATAGAGTACGATGTCCATTCATTCTTTAATAATTGTGTAAAACCATCGACCCCCGGTGGGACGCTTGCCTCGGGACTGGCTGTGTGCGAAGGCTATGCCGGTTTATTCGCTGCCCTTGCAACCCACGCGGGAATGGAAGCGATGGTCATATCTGGCCACGGCAAAGGATTTGGCTACAATGCTCCAGCCCCAGGCTCTAGCTTACCGCCGTTCAAGGCGAGCCACGCATGGAACGTGGTGAGAATCGACAACGGACAATGGAAACTTCTCGACGCCTGCTGGGGTGCCGGAGTTGTTCAAGGTGCCGGGCAGCCGTATAAGAAGCTATTCAATCCGGCCATGTTCACCGATTCGAACGACGAGTTTGGACTTCGTCATTATCCTTCAGACCGAGCCCGATTCTATCGGGACGACGGGCGACCCGAAATCAGCTGGGAAGAATACCTTCTGGGCAATCCAAACTCCCCGCTTGGCGCCGAGCAGCCGATGATATTCACGGACGCAAAGAAGCACAACATAGGAGAGCGCTCCTTCCGACCGGACGCCAAGCAAATCTCGGTCCAGCAGTCAGGGCCGATACGGTTCCAGTTCGGGCTCATTTGTGAGCACTGGACATTGGCGAACCACAGCCGAGCCAAGCCTGGGCTCTTCCTGTTGATGGTTCACGGTGTGGACGGCCGGAAGGACGACAGGCTGCCTTTTACCCATGCACGGGGCCCCGGACCGAATGGGGACGGGGATCTCTGGTACGTGGACGTGCCGGACGCCAGAGTCTTGGGAGCACCGGGACAGAAGCTGCAAATTGCCGTCCTTACTACTTTCGGCGACCAGAAGGACGCTCGGGGGGTAACAGCGGAAGAATATCGGCGACAAGTTGGCCGAGTGGGCATGTCCTGGGCTTACATTGCGGAGTGGCAGCTGATGTGATCAATGGGAACAAAAACAGAGAAAAACCTTGCAAAAACTGGCGACGGCGGGCTTGGCCTCTGTCGGTGGCGTTTATTTTTTTCCCCCTTCTTTTTCTTTTCGTTTCTTTTCTTTTTCCTTCTCTGTTTTTCTTGTTTCATTTTCCCTCCCCACCGGGATTCCTTCATACCAGCATCCCCAGCACATAATGATCGCATTCTCGCCGTAAACGCATCAGCATACGATTTCGACATAGGCGACTTAAACTAATGATAATGATGACTGATTTCTTGTGATTTATTTTTGGATATGTGGACAATGCCATAATAAAAATTCTGTTGTTCAGGTGGCATGAGTGGCACGATTCCCTGATCTTGTCCACGTGCGACAGAATTTTCTCCCTTCAGCTCTGAGTGATTGCTAATTTTTCCGTGTACTTTCCCCTTTTGTGACTCCTTTTATTAAATAAATTTCCGGGACTAAGATCTCACGAGTCACGACGGACTCCAGGCCTCGCAGACTCCACCCAGACGGACTCGGGGGGGGCCATGCGGGTGAAGTCCGGAGTCGAGCCATTTTCCCTGCCTTACCCCGGCAAAATCGGGGCAGTTTCTTCCCGGCCTGATGGTAGCCTCTCCCGAGGCTGCACTGCTGGATATTGAATTATTATTGCCTTATGAACAACTGAATACTAATGACGCAGGACAAGACCTAGGCGAAAGAGACAGGCGAATTCAAGCTCAGCGACCAGAGCGAAATGAGAAATGAGAAGCCGCGGCACGGTGCCTTAAGCCTTGTGGCTAATTCCAAGAGGGGAAAAAGAAGTCAGAGGAAGACTAGGGAGTGCTTGGCGTCAGCGTTGGGAAGCAAGACTCGGTTAAATGTTATTCAATCTGAAGGGATCGGGTTGACTGTTCAGGCAGGCCAGCCGGGCGATGGTCATAGCCTAATTAATTAACTTGTCTCCCCGCAATTGGATTCGAGCACTCTAGCATGTTAGCGTGATAGCTAGGGGGAATATTCATGGATCATATGCGCCAGCCTCGGTGGAAGGGAAGCGAGAGTACGGAGTACGGAGCACGGAGCACGGAGTATTCTATTGCTTTTTGTAATGTATAGATGTGTGTCTTTGAATTGCGTAGAGGATCTCTAATCAATATTTATTTTTCTAAAGCACAGAACAAGTAGAGGCAGACACGGGACCTGGACCGAGGGACCCTCTCGGCGCTAGGCCGTTCCTGGCGCTCCCGATGGAACCGCCGAAACGGGCCAAAGCCTGTTTGCCTGGTTTGTCTGGGTCCCTTCTGGGGATTTGCCCTTTCGGTCGGGGTCTGCATCTTCCTCTCTCTCCTCTTTCCTCCCCCACACTCCGGACATCGCACAGCAAGGTGGATTGCTGGCCAACAACCACTATGCCATCATCAGTTAATCCACAAACTGACTGCATGGCCAACGTCATCGGATCCCCGGTCTACTGAATACATCTGGAACTCACGGCGCTGAGCCGCTGACACCGCCGCCAGAATCCTCTGCCGATCCGCCTTGGTTCGGCCTGGTCTCTCCGGTCTGGGACAAGTCTCGGGGCGCTAGTGTCGCCCGCATGTCCTGGTTTCCCCGGATCCCTCCACGGGTCCCGTTCTTGTCCCGGCTATCCTCCTTGAATTGGCCGTCCTCCTACGTCGTTTTCGGTGCTCCCGGCATGGGGTATCGCCCTGTCATTCCGGTCCCGTTTCCAATCCCTGACTGGTCTCTCGCGACTCGCGGCGAGTCAAACTCGCTCTGGCCTGATCCACCACCAATCTGAGATTCCAAAGTCTCGTGGTTTTCTAAACCATGTGTTGTCTCTCCCCCGCGGGTTTCCCCATAACCCACTCCAGGCCGGCTTCTGATTCGGGTAGCCAGGAAAGTAGGACCGGAAAAGAGAGGCCAAACAAAAAAAGGAAAAGGGAAAGGCAAAAAAATCTCTCATGGCATGTTACCAACGTCTGCATGAGTGGATCATCCTTGTAGTGCTTGCATGCCATGATTGGGCCCCAATCCTTATTGTCTAACCCTATGCGCTCCAGTCAACTCTACCTGGTGAAACTAACCTCGTCTGTCATGGGGCCCCATTCCCAATCTTCGTTGTGATTCGGTTCGGTATACGCTGTAGCAGCCTCCGTTTAGGTTTTTTCTCCTCTCTCCCCCCCATTTTGGACCGGATCAAGTCGTCGCGCCAAAATGTTTCTAGCACCGACTGTGACGCTGTACCCGGTAGTCATCGTCTTGATTTCCTCCGTACTCCGTACTAATTAAAGGAAATTTGCCCCCGTCTGTCGGGTATATTAACACCGGGGCCGCATCGTCCAAATGTTTTAAAATCTCTTCCCTCCCCTCGTGCTTCCCCGTTCCCCTGGTTTCGTTGTCCACTCTGCCCAGGAAAGCCTCCTCTACTTTTACAGCAGGAAGTGGAGTCGGCAATCCCCCTGTCACCATGATTATTGGTAACCTCTACGCTATTGCGGCCATCGCCGTCATCGGTGGTGGCCTGTTCGGTTTCGATATCTCGTCGATGTCCGCCATCATCACCAGCAAGTCCTATCTCCGTTACTTCCACCAAGGGCCTTTGGAATACATAGATGGTGAGCCGCAGTGGAAGGGTCCCAGTGCCGATGTCCAGGGTGGTATCACTGCCTCCATGGCCGCTGGTTCCTGGCTGGGTGCTCTGATCTCGGGTTTTGTCTCCGATATCTTTGGTCGAAAGCGATCTATCATGCTCGGTTCGATTATTTGGTATGACTTTTCTTTCTATTCGTGGTGACCAGACAGGCCTAATACATGTACAGGTGCATTGGTTCTGTCATTGTCTGTGCCGCTCAGAATATTCCCATGTTGATTGTCGGTCGTATCATCAACGGTATCGCCGTTGGTATCTGCTCGGCTCAGGTTCCTGTCTACATTACTGAATTGGTAAGCCCGTTAACCCCGTCTGCCCTGATCCCATCCAAGTCCTCGAACTATAAAACCAGACCCCTGTCTTCATATTGTTAAGCAGTCGCTAACTACCAATTCTTCAGGCCCCTCCTACCAAGCGTGGTCGTTTGGTCGGTATGCAACAGTGAGTGCACCTTGACAACCCGTTCCAGTCTCATTCCCTTGCCTCCGATCTTTCGCGAATATTCTCAATAATCAACGTCACAATTATGGATTGCTAACGATGGTGACTAGATGGGCGATTACCTGGGGTATCATGATCATGTTCTAGTAAGTAAGCTCATCGCATATACGCTCCCAGCTTCTAACATCCGCCGTGCAGTATCTCGTACGGATGCACCTACATTCAAGGCACTGCCTCTTTCCGAATTCCCTGGGGTCTTCAGATGATCCCTGCCATTCTGCTCTTCCTCGGAATGATTGTTCTGCCCGAGTCGCCCCGTTGGTTGGCTCGCAAGGACCGCTGGGAAGAGTGCCACGCCGTCCTGACCCTGGTCCACGGAAAGGGCGACCCCAACGCCGCCTTCGTGCAACTCGAGTACGAGGAGATTAAGAGCATGTGCGAGTTCGAGCGCCGCAACGCCGACGTCAGCTACTTGGAGCTTTTCAAGCCCGCGATGATCAACCGCACCCACGTCGGCATCTTCACGCAGATCTGGTCTCAGATGACCGGTATGAACGTCATGATGTACTACATCACCTACGTCTTCGCCATGGCCGGTCTCGAGGGCAACAACCTCCTCGTCTCCTCCAGTATTCAGTATGTCATTAACGTCGTCATGACCGTCCCCGCCCTTATCTGGGGTGACCGCTGGGGTCGCCGTAACACCTTCATGATCGGTTCCATCTTCATGTTGATCTGGATGTACGCCAACGCCGGTCTCATGGCCTCGTACGGTCACGCTGCTCCTGCCGGCGGTCTCGACGGCATCGAAGCCCAGTCGTGGATCATTCGCGGCGCCCCCAGTAAGGCCGTCATCGCCTGCACCTACCTCTTCGTCGCCAGTTACGCCATCTCCTGGGGTCCTGCCTCGTGGGCCTACCCGCCCGAGCTGTTCCCTCTGCGCGTCCGTAGCAAGGCTAACTCGCTCTGCACTTCCTCCAATTGGGCCTTCAACTTCGCCCTCAGCTACTTCGTGCCCCCTGCTTTCGTCAACATCCAGTGGAAGGTCTACGTCCTGTTCGGTGTCTTCTGTACTGCTATGACCATTCACGTCTTCTTCATGTTCCCCGAGACCTCGGGTAAGACCCTCGAGGACGTCGAGGCCATCTTCACCGACCCCACTGGTATTCCGTACATCGGTAAGCCCGCATGGAAGACCAAGAACGAGTTCTCCCGTGGCGCGGTCATCGAGGAGGTTGGTGATGATGAGAAGCGTGTCGGCAGTGTTGCCGTGCATGCCGAGACTGCTGAGAAGGTCTAAATGAATCCGATGAGATGAGATGTGAAGAATGATGTTGAGCGGTTGTGGATATGGATATATAGTACATACTACGTTGGATACTACTCCGTGGGTCGGGAAACTTCTTTTATATACTCGATCCCACGTGTGAAATAATCTTATTATTACGAGATGAGACGAGACGAAATGATGTCGCATGGCATGACTTCGGGTTTGGATGACTGATGGGTGGTTCTGTCGATGATTGTAATAAGTTGAAATGGCAAATTTATATAATATGAACATCTCGTCTTTCAAAGTTACTTGCTTTAAGTTTTGCGTTTTGCTTTAACGCTTGTGTTTACTGTAGCCGTTTTGGATGCCTGAGGCTTCTTAGTCAAGCACTATTACGGAGCATGGTCTCTTTCTTCTAACATCACTCTCCCATCATCGAGATAGCTTGTTCACGGGTATCAATCCTTTTCTTTTACCCCATGGCTGTCACCTAGGACGTAAGTTTCTCATTCCACAGATTTCGGCTACATTGGCATGATATCACCGCGTATGACCGATGGAAGAATAGAATGGTATGCCTAAGGCGCAATCCACCCAAGCCATGCACTATAAAAATAGCAAGAAAAAAAGATCTCTTCTAGAAAAGCAACGGCATCATTCATGATCATCGTCGACCTGGTCTATTTCATTCATTTCTATCATGGATATCCTCCCTGCTTCGGAATGATCCTAGATATTAATTGAAATATTAGACGATGCTACTGCTCACTCGAAGGAGATCATTTATTTCCTCTATCGCAATAGTTCTCGACTAGCAGACGGATGGAAGAGATCTGGGGGTCTGAGGGAAAGGTAGGGGGAAACTGAGAAAATGTAGTATCGTTTTCCATGTTGAAGACCTTGGATGTTTGATCCTGCTATATTGATATCTCGGGGTCTAATAAGGACTTAAAGCTGGGAAGATACGCAAGGCTATCTAGTGAAGGCGCCGGATTAATTATATTATGAAGCATGAAAATCACAGCTTGAAATTCTTGTCCTCACTATAAACTATGGAGGGCAGATTTAAATCCAGACACCTGAGCATTCATTCCATAATGTGCAACCGAGCAGTATTTACATGCGACAACTAAAGTTCATCGGGGATTTTATCTTTTCCGCCATCCACTGCACTGAAACTCTCAATCCAAGGAGGTGCGTCCCCAATTTGAACACCAAATATTCCAAGTTTGTCTTTATCTAGTATCGTGAGACCATAGTTCCACGCGATGTCGATTGCGTTTTTGTTGCCCAGACCCAGTGTCCTACCTAAGCTCGTTTTGAGCTTGGAAAGCATATTAGTTCATATTCGGCAGAAGGGGGCATTATCATACGGGTTAACTCACGCTGAGAGAGTACAAATTGTGAGGACAGCGGTCAGGAGCATACCCAAATGCAGCAATCCAGCCGATAACTTATTCTTCTTTTTGGGAATCCAGAGTTACTTTGATTTCAGCTTGTATGCTCGGATCATTCTCGGCACGACCAACGAGTTGACTGCGTCCATCAGCGAAGGTGAAGCTCAGCCCACCCAGTGGGTTTTGGTCTCCGTAAGGGTAATAGCCCTGGATATAGATCAAACGACTGTTTATCAGGCTGGTATACATATTCTGGACTGAATAAATTGCTGGTTCGATGTAGGGTCCGTCAGCGGATAGAACTTCCGTGTCTGGGGTCAAGATTATGTGTTGGTGGCCAATTATGTACCCAGCGGCTGTAGCTATCTAATCTGTAGGGATCTTGATCTCGAGACTCATAAACAGCGACGACGATGCCAAATTTGAAGATCTTTTCAGCCTGTTTTTGTCAATTTTGGTTGATCAATATCGTCGGGGAACACTTACATTATACTGTCCCGTGATGCCGACAACTTTCTGATGTATGATCTTCCTATTTGGCAGCTGAACCAAGGGACGGAATATCTGAACCACATCACGCTCTGTCTATGTTCCAAATCTGAACCGAGGCTGTAGCGGGCTATCTTCTGTCAGGACACCAATCCTTTTTATTGGGCGATCTCGGACGGCTGGGAGCTCAGGACCAAGCGACAAGAGAAATCCATTAATTACAACGCTCGAAGGCACAGTAACGCTCTGGAAAGGGATGCTTTGATGTCCAAGAATCCGGCCACGTTGTTCGCCGTCGAGGGAGAACTCGATTCCAATGACAGTGCCGTCCGGTAGGAAATAGACCGTAATAGCTTGCAAACTAGGGGCGTCTGTTGGGGTTGGGCAGAAGTATACGTCACTGGCACATCTTTCTTCGTTTTCTTTGGGCTCGATGAGCGTAGAGATTCGAAAGGCTGATACAGCTTCTATCTCTTCAGAGACGAATCCGCATGCTTCCCTAGCACCGGCGAACCGCTTTTCAACATCGTCCACGATTCTTTCGCAGCAGGCCCAGATTCGTCGGCGATTCTTTAAGCCCAGCCAGTGCTGTTCAGCTTCCAAACAGTTGTTATTGTCATCTTCAGAGCTAGATGAAACCCCCTTGAGAAGTTGTAACAGGGCTCCATATCGTATGAACTCTCTTCGCTCCCCGAGACTCCGGAACAGAGAAGTGCCTTGGTGCCACGGAATGTCTTTTGTAAGTCGGGTTCTCCATATCTAGCCGCTTGCATTTCGAGCCGCAGGGCTTACAAACATGAAACTGATCATGGAGTTGTGGTTGAGAAATTCAAAGATACCATGAATGAACTCCATGGGTAGGTAAAAAAACGGGTCACGATATTCTTGAGCCACTGTTTCAGTCGGGGAGGCGGCGACAGACGCATCAATGACTTTTGTAAAATCTTTGTCCTCAAATGGATCGGTGACCAACCACTCAACAGATGTCAGTAAAGCATGCTCAAAGCGAGACAAACAGCCTTAACGTACTTCATGGCCCGGGCGGGCATCCCAATCAGATCCTTGGAATTCACCCGTTCCTCCGAAAGAACAGCCATCGCCCCAGTCGACGACGCTCCTTCTTGACGGCTCTATTCGAATTCGCATTGAAATCCAGAGCTCTGGGAGACAGATCTTCTCTCTGTTTGGGAACTTTGTCTTATGAACTGTCCTGAGAGTGTCCTAGCAATGAGCATGAAAAATGAACCCGTCTTCAATCGGCCATAGCGTGTCAAGATTATCTAGCGGCTTGAAGCCTGCTTCAGGAGTGAACTTGACCTGTGCTTCTTAGTCAAGGCTACCAATGTTTTCCACATCGCTTTCCAACAGATAAAGAATTTTTGCGAGCTCACAAAGTCGGTAATAAAGCAGAGGGACGGATCTTCATCGAAATGGACTAGTGACCACGATCCAGCTCTGGCACATAGCATTCGGGTTCTGTGGAGCCACTAAGTAGAATTAGCACTGGCTGTGTATGTGGTATCAAATGCTTGGAAGACCTTACCTCAAGCCTTTTATCTGGAAGCAGAATACCATCATAACCTCTGATGGCAGGGCAGGGCGCAGTGTGCGCATCACCGTAGTACGTCTCTGCTCCACAGTCACACCAGTCTTTAGACAAAGGGAGCTCGTTTTCGTCTTCGCTCGGAGGCACAGTGGTAAATTTTCTCAGGGGCCAAGTAGTAAAGGGTCCCCCGCAGATGCAGCAAAAGAACTAATTTTTGCTTTTTGCCATTTCTTCAGTCAGGAGGTGTAATCAGGAATAGTGATATCTTGAAGGTAAGAAAGGGGTGAAGAAATTGATGAGAGGTTTGGTAAGTGTTTTAGCATCAAGCGACCAGGACTTTTGTAAGGTGTAGAAGGAGATGTGTTGAGGTCAATGCAGAGCGTTGCCAGGGTAATTCAATTGGCTCGAGAAGAAGTAGTACAGGAGATGCAAAATCACTACGTGATGTAAAGTTGATCAGGTCAGGAAAAGATAAGAGTTGAGAACTGAAAGAAGATGAGAAGAGACGGGAAGAGATGGCAAGAGATGAGAAGCGATGAGAAGAGAGGAGGAAAAGAGAAGATAATCTAGAGTCTTATGACCGACACTGGTAAGGTGCGTGTTGGGAGCCTGGATGCCTTGAAAATTGTCTTCCGCCAGTCCTTCCCAGTTTCAGATCTTGACCTTAACCTCACTTGAATGTAAGACCAACCTTCTCGGCCTTCATAGGGCAATTGAGCCAAATGCCTTTCAGCATTTATAGTTATCCTAATCTAGCGTCCGACAGACATAGTCCTTGAAAAGGCGCTGAGTCTAGGTCGGTCAGCATCACGTTGTTAGAGTAATGCAGTCGACTCTAGAAGAGGTGGTACGGAATATGTAAAGTCAGAGGTGTAAAACAATAGGTAAAAGAAGTAGGGTACAAGAGATCACGACACCTCCGCGACAGTCCTTCATATAGATTTACACTTCCGATTTGGCCTAGGGCCCTACCGAAATCAAAAACAGTTCTCATGGCACAAGATATAAAAGAAGATAGCAAGTAGGTCGATCACCGAGTTTTACTGCTCATTTTCTTGGTCAGCCGTCAACGGCCCCGAAACACAATCCTCTACATCTCTTCCGATCGATTCTTCAGTTGCTAGAGAGGAGCCGGGGGAGGTTTCGGGTCGCTGCTTGGTACTCGACGAGCACAATCCCATCTTTCGATAATCATCAAATCCCATGTCGTCGTCAGTATCGTCCTCGGAAAGATCCTCTGGCTCGGCGGCCCCGGCAATAGCAAGAAGACGTTGTAAAACCCACTGCATTTCTAAGATGCAGTGGTCGGGGAGGGAGAGATCTTCTGGCCTGATCTCAGCGGTCGCTCAGTACGCACATCCATGAGCCCCACTTCCTACAAACGAAGGTCCAAATCGTTAGACGTCGGCAGAGGGCTGGTTCGGTTTCAGCCACCAGAAAAAGATATCCTGCCAGAAACCGTTCGGATCGTGCTCGCCGGGCTCCAGAGCGAAAGCACCCTGACCATGCAAATGATGCGCAGTGGCAATCATAGTCATTTGATTGATGACTTGTGCGGTTCCTCTCACGTTACCAAAAGCTGCCTGGTACTATCGACTGTCGAGTCACTCCAAAAGGTTCGAAGCGCGTTCCATAGTGTCCGACATAAAAGTCGATACCGATGGCACGGACTACGCGAGTGACTCCAATAAGGATTCATGACATCACAATCGTCGATATTTCCTTGAGTGAACGAGATGCGTTCTTAGGGATAGCTTCCGCCGGACTCGAAGCCAAAGCAGGCGATCTCGGCAAAGGAGGCGATGTCTCGACGACTGACGAAGCAATAGACGGGCTCTTATTCTTCTTTTTTTGTGCCCCTACGGAGAAGAGAGTGTTATTAGTCATTTCAACATTTCGCGTTTTGGTCTTCACTTACATTTTTTCACGACCTGGGCAGGTGCACTTCTCGTTTTCTCTATCTGTGCGATTAGCTGAATTCTTTCAGCGTCAAGAAAGCACGACCCCGAGCCCTGGGCCATCTTGGCGGCAAATCAAGAAATAGTGGTGATGAAGAAGTACGGGGAGGCTGTCCGAGTGGGTATTTAGGGAAATCTAGATATTCACGGACAAACAGTCTTCACTACTAGTATACGGAGGTTCTCATTCACCATAGTATTACGGGTTCACTACTCCCTACAAGGGTCAAAATCTTAGTCTTGCAATAAGGTTATCGGGTGGCGTTCCCCCTGCAAGGAGATAACGAGACTGGTGATAGCCCTAACTGTCGAAACCTCTGAGTCGCGATATCACCATCAGACTATCGTCAATCTCGATAGACTCCTCTGACTACTCGGTCGATCACTCGGATGTTCAAACCCGAGACGAGAGCCAACCATGTCCCGATCGAGAGTAGTGACCGAGTTGGCATGCGGAGTCGACCCTTTTTTTTTTTTTTCTTTTTTTTTCTTCCCCACACTTCTCGATACCCAGTTCTTCTCCCCATCCAGCCTTTTCTACTTCAACCACTCCGCCTACAGTCTATATAATCAACCATGGCGGATCTCGAGCTCAATGTCTCGCAACCACCGGAGGCAAGACAGGAATTGCACACGGACATCGCCGAGAAAACCCCGCCAGTCTCGGAAGCAACCGAGCTGGCCGATCCCCACGGAAAGTACCCCGAGGGAGGCACGAGGGCATGGCTCGTCGTGCTGGGCTCCTTCTGCGCCATGCTGCCCGCTATGGGCCTGCTGAACACCATCGGCGCATTGCACGCTTGGACGTCGACCCATCAGTTGGCTGGCTACTCGGATTCCAGTATCGGTTGGATCTTTGGCGCTTTCAGTTTCTTTCTCAACTTCGGGAGTGCCCAGATTGGTGAGTGTGTCCTCGCCTTGCCTTGTTGAACTACACTCACCCATCACGCTCTATGCTAGGTCCCATTTTTGACAGTCGAGGATTGCTTCCGGTGATAGCGCCCGGGTCTGTCGGTTTGGTCCTGGCAATTTTTTTCTTCAGCGCAAGCACCGGTAAGTCTACGTCTCCATCCAGACGAAAGGTTTCCACGCGCTAAGTCGTGACAGAATATTATCAAATTTTCCTCTCTTTCAGCGTTCTCGGCGGTCTTTCGTCTTGCTGCCTCTTTACTCCCGCCATCGCTGTCGTCGGCCACTGGTTTAACGTGCGCCGTGCCTATGCAACCGGCATTGCCTGTACGGCCGGCGGTCTCGGCGGCGTCATCTTCCCCCTCATTATTCTCTACGTCGCTCCGACCCTAGGGTTCCCCTGGGCGATGCGCATCGTCGCCATCATCAGTTTCGTCCTATGTGCGCTAGCCTGCCTGCTCATGCGCACGCGCCTCCCGCCCAACCATGCCGCCGGCATGGCCATCGACGTCAAGGCGCTCCGGGAGCCGAACTACGCTTTCACCACCCTAGCGGTCTGGCTCGTGGAATTCGCAGTCTTCATTCCGTACACCTACATCGCATCCTACGGTCTCTACGCCGGGCTCGGCGAATCCCTAGCCTACAAGCTCTCGATTTTCCTGAACGTCGGCGCGATCCCCGGCCGTGCTTTCCCAGGCCTCCTCGCTGACCGATTGGGTCGGTTCAACGTTATGGCTATGACGACCGTCATCTGTGGCATCTTGACCCTGGCGCTGTGGTATAAAGCCGGTCAAAACCAAGCCGCGATCATCGCATACTCCGTCTTGTTCGGCTTCTGGAGTGGCGCGGCGATCAGTCTCACGCCCGTGTGTATCTCCCAGGTCTGTCGCACGGAGGATTACGGCAAGAGAAATGGCACAACCTTCACGTTAGTGAGCTTTGCGACGCTTACCGGTATCCCGATTGCCGGTGCCATTCAGGAGCGAAACGGAGGCGATTACTGGGGGTTGATTATCTTTGCGGGAGCATTGTATATGGCGTCGTTTATTGCCTTTGTGGTGGCGAGGGGTGTTGCGGGTGGGTGGGGGCTGAAAACGAAATTTTAGTTCTAGACTTAATGGGGTGTGATGAAGTTGATGTTGGAGACTTATGAGACATGAAGTATATAAAAGTTTTAATTAGGTGTCATATATAGAGGCTGTGGCGCTAATACGCGAAGTGATCAGATCATAATTCGGGACACCCAGTCCTAACCAGCCAGATGTCCATGTCTGAAGCGGTTAGCACATCCGACTGAGCAAATTAATCCCTTTCTCTTGGTCATTCCTGCGAGCTTTGGTTCTGCCCAAGGGTCTGCCGTACACAGAAGAATAAGCACTAAACTCGGCTGCCCCTGCAGCGGCTTAGCCGGATCGGGTTCCCGTCATGGAAGTTTTATAAAGTCGACCAGGTTCCCACATCACGCAAATTATCTTCTCTCCCTCCAGTTCTCTAACTCGCAAATTCATACCTAGTTTCCAGTCATAATGGCCAAATTAGCCCCGCCATTCACCCTCGTTCCGGTCAATCTGGCCGATGCCAAAGAATATAGCGAGTTTCAACGTCAACGTTTAATCTGCGGCTGGAGCTCCTCCGATGAGACGCTCGCTTTCTATCGCGAAAAGCAAGAACAGAAACTGAAGTCTCTGTTTTGGATCACGATTTCCAGTCCCGATGCTTCTTCTTCTTCTTCTTCTTCCACCACGTCTGAATCCACAGACGCAGAGCCCACAGAAGAAACAGAATCCATCATCCGCGCAGGCCACATCTCATTAGACGCCTACAATGACCCCCCGCACGATCCGGACCTAGTCGCAGCGGATAAATCCACGCTCGCGATCCAAAATTTTTTCCTCCTGCCGGAATACCGCAAGCTCGGGCTAGGTCACGCGGCGATGGATCGGCTCGAGAGCCTGGCGCGGACAGAGCCGTACGGGAGTCCGAATTGTCGGTTCTTGGCCCTGAGTACCCTCTCCAAACGGTATATTTATCAGGAGGGTCCTGAGTGGAAGGGTCTGTGGGCAAAGTTTGGGGCTGAGGCTCCGACGTTTAGTGCTCATGCTTGGTATGAGACGAGGGGGTATGAGTTGTTTAAGGAGGAGCCGAGGTATCCGATTACGAGTGAGGATGGGGCTACTTCGGTGAAGTTGGTGTTGGCGTTTATGAGGAAGAGGGTTGTTTAATAGAATTCAGTTCAGGTGTTTATAGAGATAGGGAGATGGGCTGGGGGTATGTATATTTGGATGTTTCAAGGTACATAAAGGTTATGATCTGTGTTACACTGAGATTCGTTCGATGATCCATGCTCTAAGCTACCACTTTTAAGATCTCTGCTTTTGCAAGCCAACAGGTGGCACGAGATGCTACAACGGACATTGCTCTTCTACTGTTCTCTTCTAAGGAAGCTTCTGGGATTGATGAATCGGGAGTCTGACGAATCACCGGATTTGTTCGACGCACTTGGAGATTTTAAGATATGACGCACGTGTGCGGCATGTTTCAGGTTCCAGTTACCATAACGGAGATTTTTATAGATTGCAGGGACAAAGGTTTCGTGTCGATCAATTTTGAGTCTGATGATGAATCAAGGGATGATGCAGGTATATTTGTGACCAGAGATGCAATCCCCCCAGCGTTGTCAAATCAGTGATGATCACTCGCATTGATACCCAGTTTCAGCACTTCAATACGAATGATCCCGAATCCGGGGCGATGGTAAAGACAGATGGCCACAAAGTCGAATCTCTCCAGGCAGTTTCAAGGCAGTTTCAAGGGACTTGGCGTTTTTACGGTTGAGCTAACGAGTCACTAGTCCTTAGTCTCGATCCGCAGCCAATGGAAGGCATCTCGAAAAGACTTCGTTTGGAATGGCTTCATCTCGTGTCTCGTGTGCATCTTGGCAGACGACAGTGTTGGCCCTCGACCGGAGTGTTATTGATTATTCGCCCTGAAAGCAGCAGGACCTCGGTGGGTGGGCCAAGGAGATGCCGATCCACGACGATAACTGGTACTGGGCGCGGTGGACGGTGGAGTCGCCAGAGAAAAATAATTGGGACGAGAAAAAAAAAAAAAAAAAGAAAAAGTAATGCAAAAAGCCGCCCCTGACATCAAGAGAAAGGTCCGATATTCAACCTCCGTCCGTCTCTTAGGTTCCTTCATCCTCAACTCTACTCCTGACTGATCATTTTCTTCACACTCCCCACTCCCTAGGGTCGAAACTCTTCTCTTCTTCTTTAATTCTCCTGTTGCAATTATACCTTGTATTTATTCTTATTCTTCGACCCTGTCCCTTCCTTTTCTCGTATTCAGCTACTTCCCCCTTTTTCGGCTGCGCCGCCGTTCGGAAGAATTAGCGGCCACGATTACATCTGAACAGGTCATAGCGGTCGGTCTCTACCTTCTGGGACGGACTGCGAGAAGGCAAACGCGTCTCTGCTTGTGCAAGTAATTAAAACCACTTGTGTACATCACATCTCCGCCCCTCCGTTCATCATGCCTCGATCGAGAAAGTCGAGCAACCTGGGTGCGGACATCCGCGGCGACACCAGTGCCCCGGCCATTGCTACGATGAACGAGGTCAGTCCGATCGAGGGTGAAGCCCCGAAGTGGGATCAGGTACGCAAGCACCGATTTTCTAAGACAATGACCCCATGCGATTCCGCCATTGCCATCCGATCAGTTCCCCCGCTCACTTCCCCAGGCTCTACAGTCTCGTACCGAAAAGTCTCAAAAGTCGCAATCGAAACGCCGCAAGACCCGGTCCTTCCTCCGTCGCTTTAAAGATGCCTGCTTGAAACACACCTGGCTTCTTCCGCTCCTGATGCTCGCCGTCCTACTGGGCGCGTACGCCGTCAACCCGACCCCGTCGAACCCGATGCATAGCGCTATCTTCCTGTCCTATCCCCAAGCTCCGACGACTCCCGACGGTCCGGTCATGTACGGAAAAGGTCCCAAGGATATCGCGTTCGTCTCGTTCTACATGGTTGTCTTGTCTTTCACTCGGGAGTTCATGATGCAGCGCGTGATTCGTCCCATGGCGATCTATGGCGGAATCCGCAGCAGGGGCAAGACCGCGCGTTTCATGGAGCAGGTCTACACTGCCATGTACTTCAGCATCTTCGGTCCCTTCGGTCTGTACGTGATGAGTAAGTCCAACATCTGGTACTTCAACACCACCGCCATGTTCGAGGGGTTCCCGCATCGCGAGCACACGGCGCTGTTCAAGTCGTACTATCTGCTCCAGGCTAGTTACTGGGCGCAGCAGGCGATCGTCCTCTTGTTGCAGTTGGAAAAGCCTCGGAAGGACTACATGGAGCTGGTCGGTCACCACATTATCACGCTGGCTCTGATCGCCCTGAGCTACCGCTTCCACTTCACCTACATGGGAATCGCCGTCTATATCACCCACGATGTCTCGGACTTCTTCCTCGCGGTAAGGATAGCATGGAATTCTACCCCAGTTTTGCATTGAACTAATTGGTGACAGACTTCCAAAACCCTCAACTACCTCGATCACTTCATTACGGCCCCCTACTTCGGACTCTTCGTCGTCATGTGGATCTACCTCCGACACTTCCTTAACTTGAAGATTCTCTGGGCCGTGTTGACTGAATTCCGAACCGTGGGACCCTTCGAACTGAACTGGGAAACGCAGCAGTACAAGTGCTGGATCAGTCAGTACATCACCTTCGCCTTGCTGGCCTGTTTGCAGGCGGTCAACCTCTTCTGGCTGTTCTTGATCCTCCGCATCTTGAAGAACTACATCTTCAACAACGTCGCCAAGGACGACCGAAGCGACGACGAGGACGAGGAGCTCCAGGAGCAGGAGGCCGCGGCCGTCACCACCGGTGCCGACGTCCCCACGATCACTGCCCGCCACCCCAGCAAGGAAACTCAGGCCCCGCAAGTTCTGGTGAACGGCGAGCCCGTCAAAAAGGACTCCTAACTCTCTTAATCGGGAAACGTTTGTGTCTTTTGACGCTCTCCTTCATTTCTTTGGTCCATGTCTCATGGCCTAGGCAGATTTGCTCAACTACAAAAGTTGTCGATTATGCTTCATTTTGAACGTTTTTTCTTTGGTGGACCGCAACTAGTCTGGACATCTGAGCAGTCGCGCCCGGTGCCCATGGTGTATGACCTTCACTTCATTGCACAATCTTTGTCTCTTATATATTCGGTCGTCTGGTGTTCTGCGTGATGTAGCTGAGTGGATATAGTGATGATTCCATGAATGAGCGCTTTTTTGTCTTTGTTGTTGTTATCCGAGTTCGGAGGGAGCATGGAGATGGTGCGCCATTCTTAACTATAATCATAATAATAGAATTGCACTGGCACGGATGTGTTGGTGTTTCATGTTCAACTTCGCTTCTTTGATTAGTAGGTTGGAATGTTCTTGATGCTTGTGACGATTTAGTGTTCGTCCGATACTTCTTTGCTGCTTGCTCGACCAGATTTCCTTGACAGGCTCAATTCATCCGATTAATGTTATATTACATGTCAAGATCTTCAAAACTTGCTGTACTAGGTTGTGCAACACTCATGATCATAACCTAAGCCTGGGGCCGTTCGGGAGAAACAGTGCCCTTGACCTTGGCCGTCTCCGTCTCACCCTCGCCCTTGACGCTCTTCCCCGGCTCGTTTACGAAGGGGTTGTCTGTGGTGGAGTTGGAAATACCCTCCTGCTTAGCCGACGTGCTGGCCGAGTCGCCAGGCTCTTTACGACTATCAGGCTGTCGAGACATTAGCAACCGTTTCCGTCAATATCTCGCATGCGAATGCAAATATCTTACCTGGTCCGCATTCGAAGGCGGCTCGCCCAGCGATCCACCCTTAGGCTTGTCGTCGCCCGATCCCTCGTCGCTCTTCGGCTCAGAAGCCTGCTCAGTCTTCTGTTCGGCGTCCCGGTCGGGTTGCGCATCCGCCTCTTGGGCAGACGTCTCGGCCTCCTTCTTCTCGGCGTCCTCCGAAGCGTCGTGGTGGGCATCACCGTGGTGGCCGTGCGATTGCTTCTGCGGTCTGCTTTGAATCAGGTAGAAGGCCGCGGGACCACCAAGGCCTACGGATCCGAGGAGCCTATGGAATCATCGAGGGGTTGTTAGTCGGAGATTATTGCGGTTGCGATGCGATGCAATTGCATCATATGATGACCAAGCACTCCATTGCGACCCTCAGGCGGAGAAGCAGGATGAATGTGCCACTCGGAGAGAGGAATTGATGTTGTGAATTGGATGAAGATGAACGTACCATGGCAAATCACTCGACTTCTTCGCCTCGTGCGAGTGTCCTGAGGCGTATGTTCGACGAGCGAGCTGCTGCGCCGGTCGACGGGCTGTGGAGCCGGCGGCTCGCATAGATGCGCGGAGTAGATTGGCACGTGCGAAGAGCATTGTGATGCGATTATCGAGAGGAATTGGGTTTCAGAGAACAGAAAAAATCGAGGTGAAGCCGTAGAGAGAATGTGGGAATGGAATGACAGTTAATAGGAATGGGATTTGAGGGGAGGCCAAGGAATGCAGGAAGGAGGCTGGGATGACATGGATCTTGCTGCCACGGGCCCTTTTGGCCTCTCGGAGCTGCCGCTGCCGGCGTGGTCAGTGTGATGTAATCCCTTGCTGGCGGGTCACGGTGCCCTTCCTCCCTGCTTGGCTCGGTTTGTAGGTCTGGTTGAGGATGTCTTTCTGGGTCATTATGACATTCAATTCAATGTGTTTGGTTGGGTTGGGTTGGTTTGTCCGAGGTGTTCTTTGTAGGTAGTAATAAGTAGGCAGTAGGTATAGTTATGCTGAAGATGCTGAACAAAAGGCGGAGGATGGCGTGATCAACATACAAAGAAGTACTGAAGCTTCAATCTTCATACCAAGAAACTGAATTCTTGATAAGCATAGGGGCTTAAGAGAGATTAAAAATTAGCAAACATAAGATCAATTACTTAACTACTGAGAATACATATATTGCCTTTCATGTCGCTTCCCACTATCTACTTCAAACTATGCGCCGGAAAGCATGGTTATACATTCTCCGAAGGGTGACTCGCAAAACCCCCAATGGGTATACCATTGAAGCGTTTACCAACGAGTATAAGTCAGATACAAATAATCCGAATATAATTGGCAAGCGAATAACCATTCTTTCTCGAAGGTGAATGTAATCTGCGCAAGAGGTCTCTATGCTTCCCGAATGAGCTCCCCCCGTCTGAGGCCTCAGGCAGCCTCGACCTTCTCCGATCACGACGGATTGACGGAACGACGGAGTTCATCTCCATCTCCATCTCCATCTCCCACCCGACTCACCTTCCGGCTTTTTCCTTTAACAACTTCGTACTTCTCTCCTCCTGTGATACGGATCTCTCCACCTGCTTGGCGATAAAACTCATCGCCTGCTTCCCCACCTCTCCCTCAGAGCTTCCGTCTGCCTGCGGGGTCTTCACAGCCATGGCGGACCGACAAGCAGTTCAGCAAACGCTCAACAGCCAGCTCCTCAAGCTGGATGATCCCGATCCGGATATGCGATACATGTCCCTGAATGACCTGCTAGGAGTTCTCAACAACCCCAGTTCATCATACTTGGCACATGACCCAAACTCATCCACACGCCTCGCCGACGGCCTCCTGAAAGCTTTGGACGACCAACACGGCGACGTCCAAAACCAGGCGCTGAAATGGTCTGTTTAATGTTGTCTGCTTTTGAAATGCGCTCAGCTAACCTGCCTATAGCCTCGGCCCGCTTGTCGTTCGCCTACCTACCGAGAGCCTTTCCTCGATCCTTGAGAAACTGTCCAACTTGACAGCCTCGCAGACCATCGATACCTCCGTCCCGAACACCGCATTGAGAACCATCGTCACGGCCCTCCCCCGCCCCCAGTCCGGTCAATTGCCTACCCAGGAGGCCTCCATGGCCTACGCGGCGGTTTCGAAGGTGCTCATCCCTCGGTTGACCGGCCCGACACAGTCTCGCACAAGTCGACGGGGATCGGTTGTCAAGAGCATGCTGGAGAAGGATCCGTCGAAGGGATTCAGCAGTGATGCGATCGACGTTCTCATTCAAGTGGTCACCTGCTTCGGGCCGCTACTGAAGGAGGTCGAATTGACGGCGCTCCAGAAGTCAGTGATGGCCATCATCGATAATGACACGGCCGGCACCGTGGTCACGAAAAGGGCGCTGGCAGCCATTTCCGTCCTCGTCTTGCATTTCTCCGACAACCAGGTTGGCGCTTTTGTTGACGAGCTGGTCGCGCGCTTCAATGCCCCGCAACTGAGCATCGTCCACCGTCGTCACTTGATCGCCACGGTTGGAAGTATCACACGGAGCGCCCCGGTGAAGTTCGGTCCTCACCTCCCGACGTTGGTCCCGTATGTCTTCTCGGCGGTTGGGGAAGATGATCTAGATCAGGTAGGTTGTTTAATCTGCTCAAATGATGCTCGTGCGGTTAGTTGCTAATATTTGACTGGAACAGTAGCCGATTGACTCTCTCAACACTCATCCAGTGTATTCGGTGGCTTAGACGATGGATGTGTCTAGGTGGGAAGCATACAACACGGGAGCGCTTCACATGGACGCTCATAACTAGTTCAAGGACCTGATAGATTATGTCCCCCAAAATTTTCATGGTTGACTGCATGATTTACGAAAATAATGAAATGGATTCGTCCGAATACCCCAACCGCACCAATTTGATCACTGAGTTTCTAAATCTCATATCTTTGCGAACTTATTGCTTGCTCGGCATGTCAACCAGAGCTGGATAGAGCCGAGGATCTGTCGAAACATTGCTGCAGTTATTCATTGTACGTGCTTTGATGAGGCGGTCACATCTGACCGACACCTTGTTCGTACAATTCGAGCATGGAAGGAGAAAAAGAGTTCTATCACCAATAGCATTCAAAAACAATACAACCGGTCTTCGTTCTTACTTTTAAATTACCTACCTAGATGAGTCTCGTCCAGAACTTGACACAAATATGATTCTTCCTTCAACGCCCCTGCCGCTACTGTTCACTTCCCACGCCAGATTGTCCAGCTGGTGGTTGTTGACTTCCCAGAATTGCACCTTCCCTAGAATTGCACCCTCCCTAGGAAAGCCCGAATGGCCCATATCTATAACATGTACAGCTCTGCCCTACCAAGCTCACTCTGCAACATCAATGCTCACTCTTTTACTTCTCTTCATCCGCGCTTTTCTTGAAGCAGAAATCTATATAGGCCTCCATATTACCCTGCATCTTACAATTTCTCTTATCGCGGTGGTCTTCTCAAACATGCATGTACTTTCCGCCCTGATCGTATCCAGTCCCGCCGCCCTGGTGGCGTTTACCACTGCGCGTAACATTCTCCCCTCGCCTGTCGATAACCCTATCTCCTACATCCTCGGTCAACAGGAGGACAGCGCTACGGAACTGGGAAATCGAGCAGTCGGAGCTCGATGCGGCCCCGATTTTGGAAAGTGTCCTGATGGTCACTGCTGCTCAACCGCTGGTTTGTTATCGCCCCATTTCTGGACATGACGTGCTTCTAACTCCCAAAACAACAGGATACTGTGGCAACACAAAGAACCATTGTCGCTCACCCGACTGTCAGATCGATTACGGTCATTGTGATGCTCATAAGACCCCCGGAGGAGCTCCGACCGACTCCGTTCCCCGGCCCCAGCTCGGCCATGTTGCGTATGGCCCGCATACTGTTCGTTCTTGCTCTGTCCCGGGAACGGTTGCGTTGACGTACGACGATGGTCCAGGTCCATACACCAAGGATCTCCTGGACTTGCTTGACAAGTATGATGCAAAGGCCACCTTCTTTATCACCGGTAACAACAACGGTAAAGGGGAGATTGACGCACCTGACAAGCCATGGGTCGAGCTGATCCAGCGTATGCATCACAAAGGACACCAGATCGCAAGCCACACCTGGTCCCATCAGGACCTTAGCAAGATTTCCAAAGAACAGCGTCGCGTTCAGTTGCTGTGGAATGAGGTAGCCCTCCGCAATATCTTGGGTGGCTTCCCAACTTATATGCGTCCCCCATACTCCAGTTGCACTCCTGAGTCTGGCTGTCTGAAAGACATGGGGTCGTTGGGCTATCATGTTGTCCTGTATGACATCGACACGGAAGATTATCGCTACGATAGTCCTGCTATGATTCAGCGTTCGAAAGATATTTTCGATAAAAACATCGCTCGCGGAAAGCCATCCGACACGTCCTGGTTGGTGATCGCCCACGATGTTCATGAACAGACTGTGCACAACCTCACCGAGCACATGCTGAAGAAGCTTCGATCCAATGGGTATCGCCCAGTGACCGTTGGCGAGTGTCTCGGCGACAAGGCGGACTTCTGGTATCGTACAAATGTCACATTCGGCAAAGACCTACTTCTGCGAAAGCCCTCCGGGGTCAGAAAGGGCAAAATAATCTCACGAGACGGCGTGTGCAGCAACGGCATCACCTGCACTGGGTCCGCCTTTGGCCCTTGCTGTAGTAAGACCAACCGCTGTGGCAGTTATACCTCGCATTGTGGAGCAGGCTGTCAGCCTGATTATGGCAAGTGCAGAGTTCTCAGCGAGTCTGACAAGCACCATCACAAACACCCCCATCATGCACTTTCTGACATGGGAAAAGCTGCCTTAAAATCAGAAGCATCGTCATGGTATGGACGTGGTCCTTTTCTCGCAGGGTTGGTTCTGCTGTTAGTGGCACTTGTGTTGTTGGTATGAGCGCTTCTTTCCATGCTTTTTACGAAATCCCTTTCATCCTTCTCCTGTTCTCTTCGCTCCCAGTGGAGATTGTCTGAAACGTTATCAACTATATATGACTAGTTTTCCGCTCGTTTTGTACGCTAATGGTGCTGGCTATGGCATTCGCATTCTATTACTTATTGATTATGCTCGTGGAATGAGTGGTTTTCTAGCTCCTGTCGGATAGATAATATCATTGCTTGAATTATTACCTGATTGACCATCGTAGAGTTGTGGGATAATAGTAAGACTGGCAAGTCGATGCCCTGAATCTGAGAATCTCGATCGCGTAAATGAACAGAGAATATAAATGCTGTGATCATTGCGCATTTCAATTAAATTAATCGCTATGTCGAGCATCCATCGAATGAAAAAAAAAATATACAGTCAGATAACCATCAATCCAGTCCGAGCGTAACGTACCCAGACGAAGCAGAGCAAGATCCATCGGATGAATAAAACTAATAATCAGAGAATTGCTCCCATTGTACTCCCTCGAAACGCTGACTCCCTTCCCGCATCCCTCATCCAACGCCGGTTTCAAACAAGGCTAGTCAGATGATCAGGTATATTATGTTATGTGGTGTAATGGAATAGGATGGGATGGGACCATCACCGCTTCACAATCTTCAACAAAGGCGCGATCCTTGCCCTTCGACTTAGTCCGACTCGGTAGGGCACTTTGCTTGTTGATGAAATGGGGCTGTGTTTGTCTGGCCCTTTGGTTGAGTTTTTATTGGAGGTGGTATCGTTGTTGGGTGTTTCAGGGTCGGGCTTTTGGGGTGTTATTGGGGGGTTTAGTGGTGGATTGGTTTTGGTAGGGGATTGAGGGTCCGGAGGGGGTCGGTTTTGAAGAGAGGGATTTAGGTCAGGGTTTGGATTTGAGGATGGTTCTTTGGAGGGTTGTTGGGCTTCGGTTATGGGTTCTTCGGGTTGGTTGGGAGGATTGGTATCATTGGGTTTTTGGGGGCTGGTGTCTGGGGTTTGAGCGGCCGAGTCTGCTGGTGTTATTTGTTCTGAGGTCTTCTTTCTCTTGCGGCCTCGTTTCTTGGGCGCTGGGTCTCCTTGGTCGGGCACTGTGTCGGGTTGTTTGTGCTCGGTGGTTTCTTGCGGTGCGGGTGTTTCGATGTTGATTGAGAAAGGCGCTGACTTGACACTAAAGTCTTGAGGAGCTGCTGCGTTCGAAGGCCGTGATTCAACCCAGAGCACGTCGTCTTCGACGTCAGATTCGTATGTCTTCTGGAGTGTGACGGAGGTCGTTTTGCCGCGTTTGAGCTTCTTCTTTGCAGGCTCTTTGGCGGCTTTCTCTTTCTTTGTCTTTGGGGGGTCGGCGGTCTCAGTTTCTTGGTTGGGAGCGTGGACGGTGTTGGGTGCTGTTGAAATTGTTTCGTTAGGGGGCCCGTTCGATTCTGGTTCTTTGGGGACAGGCTGGACATCGTCGAGTTGGTTCGATGGGTTTGCAGTAGCTCCATTTGCCTCGAGGTTCTTTGTGTTCTTCGACGGTCGACCTGGCTTGCGCTTTTCAGGAATAGGCGGCTGTTCGACAGCCTCGAATCCAGCTGACTGGGCTAATTCGTCATCCCCGTCGACGTCTGGGAGACTCTGTTTCTTCGGCCGACCTCGCTTCTTCGCCACGGCGGGAGGGTCGGCGTGAACGGGGACAGAAAGCTCGTCCACACTTGTCGGGGGCTGCTGTGGCCCGTTCGGACTGGGATTGTTATCGCTGATCGATCTGCTTGATTTAGAAGCAAGAATAGACGAGTTCGGCTCCGTGTCGTGCGGCGAGGATATCGTGCCTTGCGTGGAATTCCACCGTCGCGGACTTCTTTGAATGGCCTCTGTGGGTATCGTTTGGTGGGATTTCAAGGTGGTGTTGTTTTCGGAGTCTGTGCTTTCCGAAGGCCGGAGGGACGATTCGAAGATATTGTAGGACGTTGCGGATTGCGTGTGGTCGTAGCTTGGGAGGCTGATGTTGTGGTCTATTGAGGTAGGCTCGTACTGGTGATAGGCGTCTGAGCTGTCCATGTAGTCATGACTTGGTCCATCTGGGGCCGGTAGAGAGACGTATGACCCTGGTGGTGTGGTCGCTTGAATATGGATTTCTGGTTGTTGAGGGAGGTTGTATCCATCGTTGTTTTCGTTCGAGCCATACTCTGATGGACCGAGTCGTGCCGATCCATGCTGAGCATCCTCGTCGTCGAATAATCGTTGCTGCGCAAGTCCAAACTCATTGATCATAGTCCCTATAAAATGACAGAACATATTAGTTGTCGGTTCCAGATAAGTCAATCATGCTAGAACATGCAGCGCATCTCACCACTTGATCCACCCCCCGCATTGGCAGGAATCCATCGTTCTTCCCGTTCCTGCTGCGAAGATGTTGTTCCCCCTTGCCCCCCCTCCTGAGACGCCAGGAACTGATCAAAATTGACTGCGATCTGGCGACTGCTATCCTCGTTCAGCGGGTCGTTCGACGTGTCTCGGTAGCTGGCGCGGTGATCGCTTTGGTGGATGACGGGTGGAGTGTGCGCGCGGGGCGGCCGCTCCTCCAACAAGGGGTCATCCTCGTCATCGGAGTCTTGGATTACACGGTCGAAAGACATTAGGAGGATGCGATTGTGAGTATTGACGGTAGCGATCTGTTGGTCTGGGCTGCGCCGGAAATGAGGAGTTAGAAGAATTGCTTATCTCCCTCTCGGCACGCGTCGTGGGTCGCCATGATGCGCAGCCACGTGATGATAAGGCTACTACTACTCCGTTGCTCAAAGCTTCTATAGACAATATGGTATTAGTGTGAGTGGATACATGACATAACTCATTCCATGGTGCTCTGCGGTCGCATCACTCCTCTGGCGAAGAATTCGCTGACAACCCCGAATCGGTCCTTCGACCTTTGAAGCTCCCCCTTGAACAGATCATGCTGATCTGCCGATTCTACCTGACGTTTGCGAATTGCCTTGATGGTCGAGTTCTGTGGTGCACATGTTGGACACTCCGCATCGTCATCCACCCTGTTCAGACAACGTTGGTGGAAAGAATGTTTGCAGAGGAAATGAACCGTTGGAAGGTCGAGGGATCCCCCACAGGACATGCACCGACGAGCCTGGAAAACGACTGGTTTTGTGCCCAGTTGCTCTAGTTCCTTTCGTTTGTTCTCAGTCTCCGTGCTGTAGCTTGATATGAGCCGGCGATTCTATAAAATTTGTTAGTTCTGAGAAATGCAAATGAAAGAAGGGAGACCTACGCTTGATATGTCTTTGCGTTCGCGCTCGATGTTGTCACTCAAGTATTTCTTTACCCGGCCCATTGTAACAACTGCATTGTTGCTGAGGGTTTGAATCACTTGGAGTGGCGACATTAACCCATCATCGCCGATTCTCTTGAGGACAACGTCCAGCTCATCCCCGGCCTCTTCCAGAATTTTGGGACTCGATGCGAAGTATGTCAGGGCGTCGACGTAGAGTTGAGGTTCGTCTGGTCCATATTTCTTCAAAGCCTTAATGGCACCATGCGTGTCTTTGGCGGAAGTGAACGACCTGAAAATATCCGAGCGAAGGCCTTCTTGCTCCCGCACCAAGGTTGACCCTTCTCGGAAGCCGGAGAGATCGGATAACAGTAGAACATTGGAGGTGGAGATGGGAATCTAAAGTTTATCAGCAACCATGGACCAAACGAAAATGCTAGGAACTTACATCTTTGCCCTCAATGAGCTGTTTGGCCTTGGTTTCCCATTCTTCCTTCTCCCCCGCACCCTTCTTGCGATTGGCAGTGTCCAGATACATTTCGAAAAGTGTCGTGTATAGATCCATCTTGTCGTCCTTTTTCACATTGTCTTGACTGATAAGTGCTTCTAGGAAAGCAATGAATTCTTGTGGGTGTCCAACAAAGGCAGAGAATGCTGTTCGTGGTTTGGGAACCTGATACTCTGGGATATGCTCGGTCGTCTCGTCCGGAGCTGTCGGTGCCGTTCCGACCGCATCTGCCCGCGTGCCACTGGTGCTCATCAGAGAGAGAGGCAGAAAGGCGGCCAGGTTCTGTAAGGTACTGCCTGACTGTGCCTGCGGCTCAGCCGGAAGCTCGACTTCTGTTCGTGGTTTGAATTGCCCCTTATAATACTCGATGAAAAGATCAGTTGTTCTCTGCGGGCAGTTCGATAATAAGACGCGCGCATATTTCATGAGGTAAGGATAGGCCTTCAACGTGTCAGCTGTAGCTCTCGCAAAGGTTCAATTGAACGTACCAGCTCAGGATCGAGTCGCCAGATATACTCCACTGCCTCCGCGTACTTCTTGGAGTCCTCAACCAGTATATCAACAACCATTTCATTTTCTCCATACTTAGTAGCCAGGTAGGCAGCTTGTTCGTAGTAGCCACCTTGTCGACACATCGCAATGGCAGTTTCCAAGTCGAACTTCAGCTCGCCCGGGGCTTTGATAAAAGCATCTAATTTGCTGGTATCTTTTAGCTTTGCGTAGCAATTCAAGAGCAGAGTTGTGTGATCCACGGTAGCTCGATCATGGTCGTGTAGCTCTTCGAGGTATTCAATCAAATTGTGAATGCGCTGGGTGTCAAGGTACTGGTGCAAAGTTAGCGAATGTCTTAACTACCGTATTATAGCTCTGTACCTTTCGAATGACTTGGGATGGCTCCGTGTTATCGATAGCCCTGAGGTATTGCTGCATTGCCGTGTCATAATCACCTCTCTGGTAGAGAAAGTCACCATATTTGCGGTAGATAGTGTTCTGCTGCAAATTATCGACGCCTGTCTTCTGGGCCAAGTTGATTGCTAAAATATAAAGATTGCGCTGGTAGAGGATTTCAAGCTTTTGCTGAAGGCTCTTTTCGCGGTAGCGAAAGATCTGGGTCGCGTTAGTAGTAGCTAAAGATCACCAGAGTCAAAGTACATACCTTTCCATCTGTAGTGAGGAGAAACATATCTCCCCATTCGATAAAAACATGTTTTACCGAAGACACGAGGGACTCGGAATGAGCGATAAATTTGAGATCCGTATCTAGCAGCGTGAACGTTGTGGTCGAGAAGATATCTTCGGACTGATTCACCCCAAAGTTTCGCAGAGAGTCTGACTTCGAAGCGCCAACCTTCGGAGGGCAAACTAAGGCAAGATAGTCCTTAAAGAGGTTTAGTGAACTTTTGAAACTCTCAAATGCATAGCTGGGACCACGCCCGTGCGGCCCATATGTGTATATTGCATCCTCTCTTGCAACAAGGATATATCCCGACTCCTTCTCCAAGGACATGCATCCAAGAGCGCAACCCGTATCTTCTAGGACGCGCGCTGGCTGGCCTTGTCCTCGCCCAGCGATGACCAAGGCCAATATCCGGCTTGTCGTAGAGATATAGAGTGTTGCTATTTGTCCGTGCTGCACCTCCAGACCGGTTACTGGCTCTTCCGACTCGAAAACAATACGTTGTCGTGCGCCGCGATCGTGGATCAAATCGCCGCGAATGATCGCGACGGAACCGTTGGCGAATCCGACTGCGACCTGAGAAAGGTCACTGAGCGCCGCAAATGCTGATATCTGTCCAATTATATTTCAGAAATAAGTTCCATATTTGTCTCCGACGGATACACATACCGGAAACAGTCTCCTTGCATTCTGTATGGACGTTGTCGACAAGCATCTGGGCGCCCCGGTCTTCTTCTCTGATTTATCAAGGGCCCAAACTTTAAGGAAAGGTTCGTTCAACAGATCCTCCGCGATGGTGACCAGAAGCGAAGAGCCCTCGATCTGTTTGATATGGGTGATGGATCCGGCGTCTGATGCCTTGAATGATCGGACGGTTTTGAAGCCCGACGAAACAATGTGAACGTGGCCGTCAGCGGATCCGAGGAAGAGGTTCGCGGCGCCGGTGCAGAGAGACGATATATCAGTCTAGCGTAACAGAGGCATCACAGATTAGTACATTGAGTAAAATGACCGGGTGGCAGGGCAGAGCATACATTGAACACCGACGCACTCTCCTCCGACAGCTTGACGGGAGAGACGTCGAAGAAGTTGAAAGCTTTCCACTGCAGCGAGACGAGTCAGTCAACACAAATGTGCGCTAGAAGCAGTTCCGGTAGCCCATACTGATGTCAGAGCCATTTGATCGTGGCCCACGCCATAAACCGATCACAGCAAGATGGATGAATCGACACACCGACGGGGGGGGGTTACGGTCTCAAAGGTCCGGTGTAGGCGTTGCGGAGCTCCGCCGCGCTACCTAAGGCCCGGAACGGCTGCCAACGTCATTCGCAGTCCCGCCAAATAAAAATTAAAAAGAACCACCCGCTCCAGGATTCGAACCTGGATCTCCGCGTAACAATACGGTTAAGAATAGTGAGGCGTGCTACCATTGCGCCAAGCGGGCTAGTGTACATAGTGGAGAACCGCCGGGGGTAGCTGCTTGCTATTGGTGAGTCGGCCTGAAGAGATCCATTTCACCTTACCATCTCTAGCTTAGTTACCTTCAGGTCCTCTACGGGGTACATCTGAATGCTACCTAGGTAACTGGTTGTGGAGACATCTAGAGCAATGATTTCACAAACGTCCTTCGTAAAAGAGTCTTCTATTTCTAATGTATGCACAATGTGTATGTCGCTTCTAAGTACAGCAATGCCAGTCAATGGAAGTACGATTCTCCCATTGTGATGCAAAATATGTCGAGCATTCATAGATCCAAAAAGGATAATCGATAAGGAATAAATGAGAAAAGGAAGTAAACCGAAATGAAACCACAAGACCCGGAAGACCAGCTTCTCCACATTAATAGACAGCATGTCCCAAAAAAAAGGCATTTCAAGCACAGCCAATGTCAGCCATGACTTATAAACACAATTGAATGGCTAACTTATCGGACCAACATCCAACCCAGCCTGTTGTGGTTCCGTAGATGGCGAAGGCCTGGACTTTGTAGTCCGACATTGACTGATTTCTTTGTTGATCTCAAAGCTCTGTTGTAGCCAGCTGCCTGCTTCGGCGATGGCTTGGCTAAGATTGAAGGTCTCTGCAGCCGGGAACTCATCCTGCGCATTCTGAGCTGTGGGTGGGGTGGTGCCGGTCAAGGTCATAGGTAAGGCACTGGGCTGGGTATCGATACGATGACTTTGAGCGGAATTCGGGACTCTTTCAATGCGGGAATCGAAAAGAAATTCGTTGTGTCTGGGCGACGTGGGCGACGTGTCGACAAAACTGCAGGTTTTTGCCTTCTTGCTGCCTGGTGCACTGGCGGGCGTCAATATTTGCCGATACTTCTCTTTCTTGTCGGTGCTGAACGTAAAAGGCGTCACGGCATCGATCATGCCTTGGGTGCTGATCATATGCGCCCCAGCCATACCATTCGCCCGGGATGGCTGAGAGCCTCCGGTATGGTAGTCAGGTGTGCTTAGTCGGTAGAAGGGTGTAATATTATTCGAAGAAGGCGAGATAGATCGAGACAGATCCGAGCCTCGTCGTTTTAGGACCGGCGTTTCTGACTCGTGATGCTGACTTTCGAGATCATTCTGAAAGGACCGCTGGGCGAGAAGGAGCGCAGCTTGCGTGGAGAACTGTTGATCGGGAACAGTGTCCTCGTCATCCTCTGTGCCACCCTTTGGAACAGCCGTGGAATGTAATGATGTCATGTAGCCAGATATCGCTGGATTCTGCTGGATGATCTGGGCAGAAGGCAGTTTTTCACTCGTATCTTTCGATTGATTGTTGGTTGATAAAGCTTTGTCTGAATGCGAGATAGGCACGTCGTCGAACGTCTTGGAATCGAGAGTCACCGTGTTGGACTCCTGAGGATTTGTCTCGTCTTCCGTCTGGTTCTGTCTGCTGGATTGTGTCGACAGTTCCTCTTGTGGTACCCGACCAGACTGAGCTGAGGACCCCGTTGGTTCAATAGAAGGAGGGAGGTATGTATGTTCCCGATTCCCGATGCTCGCAGTGGGTTTAGTGTTACCATTCTCCTTAGGAGTCGCAAACGGACGCTTCTTCCGACGGAACTCAAATTGAGGTAGGTGAGAGGATGAGGAAAGAACACTGAATGACGTCTCCTGGTCTGTACGCCCGGGAATATGTGGAAGTACGTTAGAATGAGAAGCGTCTTCCCTGCTGTTGGAAGGTATAGACCCGTTGGCTAAAACCAGACGGTCCGCCGAATGGGACACAGCATCAAGCGCTGCGGTAGGTGACCCGCCGCTCAGATGAGGCGTCGTTGTCCTGTGACGTTCGGGTCCTGGAGATTGGAGGTGGTTTGGAGAGGAGCCAATTTTAACTGCACGCCTCTTAGATCCGTGATGACGGGATGAGATCTTCGATGTAGGGGATGTAGGTGGGTCGAAATTATGAAACTTGATCGGGCGATCCCGGTCCTTTTTCAACCAGCTCTTATCGGTTCCTCGAATTGGAGTTGGATTGTCTGAATTCAATATTGTTTCGATCGTCTTTGACTTGGCTTTGGGGATGGAAGCGGGCGAGACCGGCCGTTCACTACGTAGGTGCTGTGCGGACCTAGGGTATGACGAACTGCCCTTCTCGTCGGGCACGACTTTGTTGCGTCTGGGAAGGGAGCCACTGTGATTTGAAGGCACTGTAGAAGCTTGAGGTTGGCGAATTTCCTGCGAGTCGGGGGGTTGACGCCGTTTCCGTGGGTTGGTTTCTTGTATCACCGGGCTGTCGGACCTCTCTACTTCTTTACGAGTCTTTCGGTTATTTTCCTTCGCATTTCCAGTTTGCCTCCGGTTTTTCCTCCATGGATTCGTCCACTGTTGGTCATCAAACGGCCCGCGCAAAGAAGCCGAAAGGATAAACAAGGGTTGGCCTTGAAGATACGCTCCTGCCAGCTTCTCGATCCTGCGGCGTTGCGCGGCACGGGCCTCGCTGTCTAGCTCATCGTCGGAGCCGACGATTCCGTCACTATCGAGGTCGGCGGATGAGGGGGAGCAGGTTTCCAAGGCGAGCGGGGAGACAGGCCGACGAGGTGGCATCTGGAATGGGAATAACCGGTGCGGTGAGGATTTAACGGATGGAACGGATTTCAACGCAGTAGCAGCGAGATGGCGGCGGCTGCATCTGAGCTACTGAGGGATGGGCAGCACGCAGAGGACGCAGGAACCGGATGGAAGTCATCTGGAAAGGAAGCTTGGTGACCTATCCAGCGCCCAAGTCACGCGAAAGCGAAAAAACCACTTAACGCGTCTCCCCACGACGATTGCCCGCCAACGTAGGCTTATGTAAGTGGCAGTTGTGCATCATTCATTATTATTGTGATTATTCAGCTGTGCATTGTTACTCCGTTGTACCGCACACAAACAGTGGCCTGGGCTTCCAGGAAGCGGTCATCCATGGGTCAGTCGCCGGGAGAACAACAGGTTCTCTAATTAACGTTGGCATTCATCCATGGTTTCCTCCTGTACGAATATGCCTTTATAACTATGTACTCTGTAAATGATCTGTTTCCCGCAGGTCTGGCAGTGGACTCTGGTTCCTGACGCCCCTCGCGTCGGGGAAACACGACAAGTGAAACCGCATGGGTCTCGAGGGAGGTACTGGGTACCGGCAACGTGCTGAGTCCAAAGCTGCAAAACAAGTACCCGATACTTGGTGTTTGGGCCGAGAAGTGCCAACTCATCCTTGCGCGATGCGGTGTATGCAGTGCGCTACGGGTCCAGGGAGGATGGAGTCAGGGATGCAAGGATGAAAGGCCCCCAAGGGATGCCAAAGGAGAGGAGAATTATGAGACAGGAGCATGCTGGAAACAAATCTCCCTGCACATGGCAAGGGTTGAACTTGAATTGAAGTCACGATCGAGTACTACTCCATGAGTCCATATACTCTAGGGTGCTGCATGGACGGACGGGGTTGCCCCGACCACCCGCCGGTGATCGATCGTTATTGAGACGGGCGCCACTCCACTTTAATTAATAACAAGATCAAACAACCTCGTTCATTATACTCCGTTCTCCGCTGACCTTCCACTTTCTCCCCTCTCTTTCCCTCCCCGAGTACCTATTCCTGCCCTCGAAACCCCCCTCCAATTCCACTCTTATTATTTTGTCTTACATGTTGTTGCAGCTGCATGGTGTATCCATTCAATGATTTGCGTACATTCTCTTCTATTCTTAGTTCATTCTATGTTTGTGTTCACACGGGGGCTTTGTGATCGCGAACACGCGCCGAGCTCATCTTAGACCCTGCAGTCGCAAATCTATTTAGAATCGCAAGAATGGGGAATTCGCCATGGCTCGACAGTCTCTCCGACGACTGGGTGCCAGTGCCTGCGACACCCACCAGTCCGGCGCCTTCTCGATCGATCGGCCATTCTCGGCGCTCCAGCCTGCAAAGCCTCCAGAGTTTCCAGGGCTCTCCTAGTCGCATTCCGGTCCCCGCGCGTCGCTCCGTCGAACCCTCCCCAATCAACGACCCCAAGAAAAAAGTGTCTCGCCCCTGCCATTTCGTGAGACGAGAACCCCCGACGCCCAAAACCCCGCGCACCCCCAAGACCCCCTCCAAGTTGCGATCCCCCGTCCCCGACAAGACGAAGAAGAGCCCCAAACCGAACCTCCCCTCGGGGCGTAAACAACCGTCCACCATGGATACTAGGTCTCCCCTACGATCGGTCTCCAACGTGTCCAACGTGTCCGGTCAATCCGCCCAACACGACACTGTGCAAGTACGACCAAATAAAGGGAAGGGGAAGGAGGGCACCCCGGAATGGCGGCGGAGGTTGGTCCAGGGAGAGCTACAAGCCGGCGAACAGCGCGATCTATTCGCTCCCATCGGACTGGAGAGCGTGTTCAAACCTCCCACGCCGCGCACCGAGAAGGCCGAGCACGAGACGATTCCGAACATGATGCAACCAGACAATTTGTGGGATTTCAGCGACGCGCCCGACAAGAGCTACGATGAACAAGGAGGACGGTCTCTGTCTGATACGCACAATGGGCATGGTGCGGGCAATGGCGATTCCTTTGTCGAAGATCCGAAATCATTACCAAGGAGACCGGAATCGCGCGACAGAGCAAACTCCCAAGAAAGCCCGCAGTCGTCGCGCACCGGCACGTTGGACAGTAAAAAGGGCGCGCAGATGCTCGATGTCGATCAAAACGACGCCTCGCGCAACGACACCCAAATGAGGACGGCTAGTGGTCTGGAGGATCTTCGCAACGAGGGAATTACGCCTATCACGTTTTCGCGAACCAACACCGTCGATGGAAACGGAACGTCGGAAGTCATCAAGTTCGCCCTGAAACAAGTCACGAACAAACTCGAGAGACTATCTATGGCGCCGGGAGAGCGCCCGGACTCAAGGGCGAGCGACAGCATACTTTTCAACCCGAAGATGGTCAATGCCATGGAAACCCTGCCGGACGACGACCTGCTCGACGTCACCAGCAATTCGCTTCCTCAAGACCTCTCCATGGGCACCTTGGACTATCGAGGTCGCGGAGCTTTTGCGAATCTGGGCCGCGATCAGTACCTGAGCGACGCTTCCTTCCATAAACGTCGATTCTCCCCGCCGTCCTTTCCTTCGCAGCGACTGTCCCCATTCATCCCGCCAAATTCGAGAATCCGAAGCTCCCCGCCGTTCTTCCAGAAAACCCACCCCGTGGCGGATCCCCCGACTCTTCCTCGACCCTCGTCGGCCCATGTCAAGACTTCTACGTTTGATCAATTTGAGGCGGACAGGAGCGAAATCATGCCTTCCTCGGGGAGTCCGCTGAAGCTTTTTGGAAACCATGACACGTTCACGAACAACAGGCTCCTGCGCCGTATGAGCCAGTTCGAGGAAACATTTGGCGAGGTCTCTGAAGAAGATGAACCCGTTTCGCCCTCGGAGGAAGCTCGTCGTAAGGGGGAAAACAAAAGCTTCCTCAACGTCAAGCAGGACACGTGGGGTGACCAGTCTGTTGGCAAGAACGAACGGCCCAGATCGCGCAACGCGGCGAAGCTTCGCGTCAGTCGGTTTGGTGATGGTGAACTGGATAACTTTGACTTCTCTGATACAAGCCCCTATGAGCCGAAAATGCTGAATCAGGATGCTCCGGATCCTGATTCACAAGCTTCTTCGCGTCGGCGGAGGTACCTTCGTCGCAACTCATCCAAGACACATACCTACGACTATGGCAGCGACCATTCAAATTCAGCTGAAAACATGCACTCAGTCGCTAGGTCAACCACGCCCCCCGATGTGGACCATACCCAGAAACAACGGGCTTACTCAAATGGAACCGCCGAGGAAGGATCCGAGATGCAATGGGCCCCTAACACCCCTGCAAAGGACCCAACGCCGAAGAGGCGCAGAACATTCCTGAGATCCCATAGTTCGAGGAAGCAAGACGATCTCGGCACGGATGACAGACAGAATCAGCAAACAGACACCCTTTCGTTACTACAGCGGAGTTTGATGCAACATGGTGTGAGAGACGAAGACAATGGCTCCCTGCTTCGACCGCAGTCTTCACAACGACCCAGGACACCGACCCCGAGTCAAAGATCTTCCACGCGAAAGAGATCCTTGCCAAGTAGGGACCTACCACCCGGTGGGCAGGATGAATTTGAACGCGAAGGATCTCCAGCGGATGGGGCTGTCCCCGTGGTTAAGGTGACCGGCGTCAAGGATGAGGCTCGGAAGGGGTCGATCACAACACAGGACTTTCTGAATGAGGCCACAAAAATCATGGACATCATTAGATCCAAGGGCAGAACTGCGCCGGGAGGGCTGTCTAGCGTGGAAGAATCCGACAATGAGGATCATAACCAAAACGAAAGCTACGAAGATGAATCGACCCGGGAAGAATTCTCTCGTCCTCCGAGCCGGGAGGGTGTGGATATACGCAAATTGAGGGAACCCCAGGAACAGAACCCGCGAATTTTGAGTCATTTGAAAAAGTTCCAGGAACAGGATGACCTGGATTTTGATGTCAACGCCTCTGTCATGTCGTTGCATCTTGATGATAACGAAGACTCAAGCCCTCCCCAGCACGGCGATCAGGCGGACGATAATATCCGGAATCTGCCGACCCAAGGAACCGACCAACACGAGCGTAAACTTTCCGACCCGACATCGGTAGGAGAGGATGATAGTCTCCCAGAATTGATGACCCTCAACACGCAAGTGTCTGGCAAGAGTTTGAGCGCCCGTTCTGTCCCCACTGGATCATCACAGAGCTCCCACGCCAAAGGCGTCCTCTCCTCGGACCTAGTATCTCACCTGATTCCTGAGCAAGTCAACGGATTAACCTACGACCGTTACAAGCATCAGTGGGTCAAAGAGAAACCGCCACCGTCGCCCGAAAAGCCGAAGGGAGACGAAAGCGAGGACGACCCGTTTAGGGATATCCCTGACCTTAGTGTTGACGAGTTGCAGGAGATGATGAGGATGCAGTCTTCTCTATCTCCCGAGCGAACCAAAACCCCCAACGCGTTCGAGGACAGCGCCGCTGCTCAAAGCCCACTCAGCGCTAAAGGTGCCTCCCCGAAGGCGGCGGCACGACCACAGTCTAAGGATGGAGAACCGTCCGTGAACGCCAGCTCTGCGCAATCAAAAATCTCCCGGGACACGTCTAGCTTGCGAAATTCTGGGACTCGAGCCACATCTTGGATTTCGGATCGCCCGAAAAGCCGAGACATCTCTAGCGAGGTTGAACACGAAATCCAGCTTCATGAAGGTCGGTTGTCAAAACTCCCTCGGTGCCAAAATAATGGCAACAACCAAGCACGGGTTGTCACTATCAGCTTTTCGTCCCCTCTAGTCTCGCAGATTGCTTACAGCGATGACGAGAGCCCCACGAAGCTTCGACGAGAGATGATTACGGATGGTGCGCACAAATCAGCCGGATCTGAGAATGCAAATGCTTCTCAAGAGCACGACCATTCCGACCAAACCTTCCCCAAACGTTCTATCTCACGCATAGACGAGACAGGGGAAGAACCCGCCGATGATTTGAGTCTGATCCGGAGGGACTTTGGATACCCGACATCGACACCAGTCAAACAGTCTGGTGATCATTCGTTGGTTCATTTCAGGAAAAACGATCATGATACCAGCTACAGCTTTCACCTTAGCCCTCTTCCCGATTTCACCGTCGATCAAATTGACCAATCCCTACATCTAGATATGAGCTACGTGGCCCAGCGCACGCACCCTACATCTCTGCGTCAGGTTCATGGTACATTCGCTTTGGCGACTGAGGAATTGGTCAAGCATATAACCGAGGCCCAACCTTTTGAGCCCTACTGGGAGCACGTCCGTCGATTAATCCTTCGTCATAAGGGGTTGATCACACTTCACAAACTCAGCGATTTCTGCCCTCGTTTGGAGGATCTGGATGTGTCCAGTAACCATATTGGGCAACTCAGTGGAATCCCTTCAACCTTGAGAACGTTAAAGGTCCAGTATAATTGTCTCTCCAATTTGACTGCGTGGGGTCACCTTGTCAATCTGCAGTATCTGGACGTTTCGGGCAATGACCTAGAGAGCTTGGATGGATTTAGCAGCTTGATCCATCTTAGAGAGCTTAAAGCGAACGACAACAGGATTCGAAACATCAATGGCGTGTTCGAGCTCAACGGACTTTTGAGTCTGAAACTGAGAAACAATGACCTGGCGGAGGTGGATTTTGAGGGATCTGAATTGTGAGTCTCTCTATTGCCAATCAGCACCCTTCTGCGTAATTATAACTGACAGTTACCGAGCAGAACCCGTCTACAAGAATTAGATCTTTCTCGTAACCACATAACGTCTATTCGAGACATCGATACTCTCACCTCCCTTTCCACGCTTGACCTCAGCTCCAACCAACTAAGTGAGCTCGGCTTATCGGAGTCTCTCCATGCCCTGCGATCGCTAAAGCTCTCCAATAATAAGCTACACAACCTAGATGTCAGCTTCTTCCCATCGTTGTCTCTTCTCTACGTCGATCAAAACTCCCTTACCACGGTTTCTGAGCTTGGTCAATGCCACAGCTTAGATGTCTTTTCTGCACGGGAGCAAATGATATCGAATGAGCACAATGCCGGGTTCTTTGACGTGGATCTAGGATTAGTCAAAGATATCCGCAAAGTATTCTTGTCTTCAAACAAGCTCTCTCTGCAAACACTTTCCCCGTCAGTGCCTCTCCTGCGTTTACAACTGCTTGATGCTGCAGCGTGTAGCATCCAGACCCTTCCCGTGGATTTCGCATTGAATTTCCCCAATGTCAAGGTCCTAAACCTTAACTTCAACTCTCTGGCAAGCATCAATGAGTTGGTTGGTGTCAACTGTCTCTCTCGCTTGGCGCTTGCTGGCAACTGCCTGTCAAGGTTGAGAAGGCTAAGTCAGGTCCTGAGCCGGGTGGGACGAACCAACAAGGGAAAGGTTTCAACCCTTCAGAAGTTAGACATCAGAGGAAACCCGTTGACTTTCCGGTTTTATCCTCACCCTGTTAGAGGCAAAGGAAGACCGGAGAGTCCAAGAAAACTGAAAGCGATGGAGCCTAGGCCAGCCCGATCGGACAACATCGGCTTGGATCTTCCTTCCGTACTCGCCGATTTTGGGCGCCGTGGAGAGATGGTCCAGTCCGCCATTGGTGAGGAGGACGACGATATCCCGGAGAAAGACGTCGAAATCGACGATCCATATACCCTCCCACCAGCTGATCCCCAAGCCGACCAGAAATACTTGGCCCATCTGGACCAACCGACTCGACTTCGTCGGAGGGTTCTGGAGCTTATGCTCTTCGTGGGAACCGGGGGATCCGTCAAGCTCCTGGATGGCTTGGAGCTGCGGCCAGCTTTAGAGGAAGGGTCTGACATGGATATCGCCTGGACTAAACTGGAAAAATTGGGCGTGCTTAAGAAGAAGGCGATCACTGCATAGTTGGGGCTTTTTTTGTTCTGCATTTGGGTTAATCTAAGGACATCGCCGGTCACACCTTTTCTTGTGGAGATTCAAAGGTGACATTTTGCGTTTCAGGCGTTGTAAACGGACATACATCTTGTCCTCATTTGAAAGATATGGATAAAATCGCAGGCGTTGGTTTCTTTATGCTGTGATGGATGGACGGATGGATTGGTGAATTGTTTGATTGATTTGCATACCCGGCGTTTCTTTTCTTCTGAGCATTATTCATGGCACATTGAGCGAGGTCACATTTGGATTATACATGAGCGACCTGTTTTTTTTCTTTTTAGTATACCTTGATCGTTGTGAGAATCGAGTTTTTCTTCTGCTTTTAATTTTCTACTTTCTCGGCCTCAATTGAGCAGGTGGGTAATCATGCATTGTATATCAGTGCTAGTGATTAAAAGCCATAAAATTCATCTCCGTTCATCTTTCGCTATCATAAATCTTATCATTGACGGGTTCTTTACCCCTTCTTCTTTCAAAATCACTGTTTCAATCTCTCCATTGTTGATCTATCGTTCATTAAAAGTCCGTATCTAAGCTCTTCAATTGAGTCGCAAACGTCTTCCGGACCCATTCCATATAAGCCTTCCATTTGTGGTTATCCGCGGACGTCTCGGCGTTCGGGAACGCCTTGCTCAGTTCGCGAGTGATCTTGAGGACACCGTTCGATGCTTCCTGCGCCTTTTCGATGTCCTGCTTCACGGCGTTGTCTTTTGATTTGAACGACAAGACGACGCTGTAGCGTTCTGAGAGGGCGTCGAGGTATCGTTGCGTTTCTTCGGGGGCTAATGTGATGAGCTTAGAGGTCATGAAGTTGCTGATAGTGCGGATGTCTTGCTCGTCGTCGATTCCGGCGAGGATGCGGTCGAAGAACTCGGAGACGTGGGAGAGTGAGAAGGCGGTGTCTAGCGAGGCATAGAGGGTTTCGTAGGCGCTCTGGATGTGGGTGTTAGTTTCGGGGTTTGGGGTGAGGAAATGGATGGGTGGAAAGGTTGAGTTTACCTTGCGCAGTTCAAGACCATCGTCGACCTTGTGCTTGAATGGGCCCATTTGGACTTCACGGATGAGCTCGGGTTTAATCTGCGTGTCACCAAAGACTGCCGGGAGGAGCTCGTTGAGATGGGGAAGGATGATGTCCATCTTGTTGTGGAGAGCAGAGTTCAATGTGGTCAGAGCAAGACGGTGGTTGCCGAGGTCACGATCGCTGAGCATATTGACCAACAAGGGAACAATCAGCGGTCGGAGCACATCGTTATAGGTATCCCTCGAGTCGGACAAAGTGTAGCGGAACGCAGATATGACGACGCCGCGAATACCGGCATCTGAGCTGGACAAGTATTCCTGTGTGGAAAATGAACCATTAATGGGAAGCCTAATGAGAGGAGGTGAGGCGTCTTACCTGGAAATGGGGAATATAGGCAACAGGGTCAATCAACGCCAGTCGACCAACACATTCCGCACCGACAGCACGGTTGTCCTCCTCTTCTGAGACAAGGAGGAGGGCCTGCCAGAGTTTGAGAGCCGAAGGAGCCACGTCGGGACGAACGATTTCGGGGTGCTGAAGCAACTCCTTCACTGAATGCAGGAGCAGGTAGCTTTGGGGATTCGACTTGTCCAGGCCATTCAGGATCGTAGGCAGGTAGGCCTTCACGTTACCGGCAGCAGCATTGCCAAGAGACGCGGCCGAGGCGAGGCGGACCTTGTCGGATTTGGAGTTGAAATGGTCGATGAACAGGTCTGGTGTTAACGAGCACTTGGGCCCCATCCGAAGACCGATTTCTCCCAGGATGGCAAGGGCGAGGCATTTGCGTTGAGCATCCTGTGCGGTCTGCAGCTCTTTCAAGAAATCCTCCATCTTCACGCCCAACTTCGGTCCACCATGGACAACAAGAGTGCCGATGGCCCGCCCGACAACGGAGGTGTCGCCGTTGATGCCAACGTCGCGCAACAACCGTCTCATCAGATCGGCCCCGGCCTCCTCCTCTCCGATCACTTTCACGAGCAACAAGAGCGCCTTCAGGACGGTGCCAACTAACGATGAAACAACAATCGAGCATAAAGCAGAAACCAGACCCTCGTTGACCAGAAGCTGCGCGTTTCCAGGCACAAGCTTCGCCAGGATGATAAGGGCAGGTGCAAGGAAATGGAAATCCTCGGCAGTAATCAGAGGCAGCAGCGAATCTTCCAAGTCCTTCATGGTCTTGTTATCGTAGTGGGCTCGGGTCTTGGGGTTCATAGCTAGACTACGGAGAGCTTCCAAGCTGGCACCTCGGAGCACGCGATCCGACTTGCGCAGCTGAGCACCGAGTTCCGCAGTGACTTCGCTGACCCATGTCGCTGGAACGTCTGCCTCGCGGCTACACAGGACAGCGATGTCATCCACGGCACGCACCGCCGAAAGTCGGGTAGTCTCATTCCTCAAGCGATCAACCAAAACGAGAAGACCCTTGGAGCGACGGTCTAGGGAGAGGAAAGACGGTCCGTTGTCCCCGGAGGTTCGGGCTATAAGGACACCGAATACGTGAATGGCTCGTTGACGAACCTCCAGATCGGCGCTCGTATCGGCGATGCGATCGTGAACCACATCGTACAGCTTCTCCAACTGGGACTGCAGATCCTGAGAGGTTGTCGATACCCGGGGCGGGGTCAGAGCCTTGACGATCTGTTCAACGGCACCAAGGGCCTCGCTGCTGACTTTGTAGTTTCTGTCTTTGACGGATCCAATGACGCCCGGAATCAAGGCAATCAGGAAGGGGAGAAGAGCATCCGAGGTGTGTGTTTCGGCGATTGCGGCAATGAGACTCAAGGTCTCTACCTGGAGGGTTCCCGCGCTGACGGCGGCTCCCGCTGGGGCGGACGAACCACCCGACAAGGACGCTGATTTCAAGACATCCGCGATCGGGTCTTCAATCTGTTGAAGATGGTCTGCCAGCCCGCCATACCGAACAAGAGCCAAGCTCTTCAGAAGAACGATGATAGCTTGCTTCAACGGAACAGACGCCTGCTTCCACATCTTCACAATGCTCTGTACGATGATAGGCACCGAACGGGCCAGGTCGGCCTGAGGACCCGACTCGGGCGACGATGGAGCAGCAACGGGAGTGCCGACCGCGGACGAGGTACCGATACTGGGCTCGAAGTCAATCATGTTCGCATCGCTGTCCTGCCGTCTTCTCTTCCTCGAGTTTTTCGATCCGCCAACGGACTCCAGGAAGCCACTCGACGTGATGATCATAGCACCGTCACCAGTCTTGCGAACCAGAGCCGTCATTGTAGAGACCACCTCCAGCTTCACACTCTCTTCTCTTTCCTTGCTAAACCGGGCAATGAGGGCGGGCGCGATTTGCTGGTACAGGGACGGATTGGTCGACGTGCGGCCGCGCTCATATGTCGAGATAACGGAGTAAAGCAGCTTTGCGGCACAACGTCGAACCTTCCAGCTCATGTCGTCAACATCACTATATCCTCCCTCCTCCTCGAAGTCCTCGAACTCGTCGTCGTCCAGATCGGGCTCCTCGGTGCCATCGTCCTCCGACCCATCGTCCTGGGTGCCACCCATCTCCTCGTCTTCTTCGAAATCGGCGACATTGGGGTCATACTTGAGAAATCTGAGGGCTGATTTCACGGTGTTGAGCAGATAAGGCTGCATTTGTTGGCTGCACGAGCTGATCAAGGCTTCCAGCGTGACGAGAGCGGTTTCGCGGAGCTCGTCCGCCTGGGGATCGTGCTCGTCATCATCCGAGTAAGACGACATTGCGTCGGAGAGTAGGGTAATATCGCAAGCAGGGCAAGGTTTTCAATGTGGTCAGGACAGCGGATAGTAAGTCAGAGGGGCGTCAACCAAGGCAAGTGAGCTTGAAGAGAGAATGGAGAGGAGCTGGAGTGATGGAGAGCTTCCAGCTGGACCCCGCGCTAATCCCGATTGAATTCGGCCCCACGTATCCCCGAGTCTCCGGTCTTGGCATAAAAAAATCCCAGGAGAGTCGAAGTGAAGGGAGAAGAAAGAGAAGAAAGAAGAATGTCCATCGCATTCACTGCTGTAGAAAATCAAAAAGATCCAGTGACGAGGAATTGGACTGGGCCTTCTGTTTGGAAGCCAACAGAGCTTGCAACCCGCCCTGTTTTCGTGCTTTGGCCCGTTTCTTACTGCTAGCATTGTCTGCCGCCTTACCGGGCTGGTTGACTTCTGCAGCATCGGGGGCCTGCTCAGCAGAGGAATCTCCTAGGGGTTTAGACTGTGGGGTTTCTAGCTTGGGTTTAGTTGTAACCTTTGGCCGTGCTGCTCCCATTCGAGAGGGTTTGACCGTCCGTCGACGACACCGAAGACATTTGTAGACCGTGGCTCCATGAGCAGCAATTCCTTTCGCCGCGGAGGCTCGTTGCAGGCTCTTTTCCTTAGTAACGTGAATGGTCTTGGTAGTTCCAAAATTTCTGGTGCTCCCGCAAGCACCACAGGACGTTTCTTGTTGGCGCGGGTTCAGCGGCTTGCATTCATCCAGAAAAATGTGATTGTGAACCGTCATTAAATAGGCTGCGGTGGAAGGACTCCCGGCATTCAAGGTGCTAGCAGAGTCCTTGAGAAATTTCAACCGAGGATTATGATCACTGAAAGGCATGATGACAATAGGGGAGTGAGCAATGGTACAAAATATTCAATAATGTTTGGCCGTGAGGGAAGGGAGATGTTGATGTTCCTTATAGATCTGGGGCCGAGCAGGTGATGATTGGACCCAAAAAGGCCGGCGACCCGCAACGGATCTTCTTCCTCTCTTCTTCTTCTTCCTCGTCTCTCTGCATTCACCACCTCCCTCCCTCTTCCTTCTCCTATCCCTCACTCGACGTGTTGGAATTTCCTCTCTTTCATCAATCTATTGTAGTTTCCAACCCCTTCCTTCTTATTGTATTCATCTTCTGATTTTTCCTTCTCTTCTACACCTCTTCAATCCCGGTCTCTCTTGACGGCCAAGCCGAACCTCGCTGTTTACTTATCTCGTTCTCCACACTCGATTGACTGGACGATCTAACACCCTTGCCTACCGACATGGAGGCACCTCCCTCGACCTCGGCTTCTATTCGGGTGGCCCTTGAAGGCTGTGTGAGTTTCTTTCATCTTTTTTTCTGTCTTTGGAATAATTTTCCCGGCCCTCGTGATTCGCTGCTAATACAATACGCACGCCAGGGTCATGGCTGTCTTCATGACATTTACGCATCAGTTGAAAAGTCTGCCGCACTGAAAGGATGGGACGGCGTGGATTTGTTAATCATTGGGGGAGACTTCCAGGCATGTGCAACCCTGCCGCATTGATTGTCCGAGCTCTAATGTCCGACTAGGCAGTTCGCAACTCAAATGATATGGCCTGCATGTCTGTGCCGCAGAAGTACAAAGAACTTGGCGATTTCCACGAATATTATAGTGGGAAACGTACCGCACCCTACCTGACCATCTTCATCGGCGGTAATCATGAGGCTGGTAATCATCTGTTCGAGTTACATTACGGCGGTTGGGTTGCACCGAACATCTACTACTTGGGTGCGGCGAATGTCATCCGCTGTGGCCCTCTTCGCATCGCCGGTATGTCCGGAATCTGGAAAGGCTATGATTACAGAAAGCCCCACCATGAAAGACTCCCCTACAATCGCGACGACATTCAATCTATTTACCATGTCAGAGAACTTGACGTTCGCAAGCTGCTCCAAATCCGCACTCAGGTTGATCTCGGTCTGTCCCATGACTGGCCGAAGCAAGTCGAGCTTTCGGGCGACTATGAAACCTTGTTCAGAACCAAGCGCGGGTTTCGTCAAGACTCACAAGAAGGAAAGCTAGGAAACCAGGCCGCGAAATACGTTCTTGACCGCTTGCGCCCCGCATACTGGTTCTCTGCCCATCTGCATGTGCGGTTTGCTGCGTCCGTCCAGCATGGGGAATACGTAGTTCCGGGAAATCCTGTCAAACGTCAGGCAACCAGCCCCCCACATACCACTCCGCGAGCTCCAACTGTTCCTTATCCATTTGGACTGGATGGCGCCTTCAACTCTCTTTTGACAGTCGAGGCAGGGGAGGTTCAGCGCCCGCGTCTTCCACGGCCCACTAGAAACGCCCCGGTCGAACCTGAGCTACCTTCCATTCGGGCAGGCCAGGAAGACCCCATGGAAACGACTCCCTCCAACCCACATTCCGAGCCTACTCAGTATCTGAAAGAGGCGCAGGAAGATCCAATAGAAACCACTCCTTCCAAATCACACTCTGAGCCTACTGAGGGTCTGAAAGAGACTGAAAATCCGGCTGAGCCGCGGGAAGTACTCAGAACTGAGGACCAAAACGCTCCGAATATCCAGACTCGTACAGCGGCATGGAATGATTTTCACTCTGTTGCTGCTAAACACGAAGCAGCCGAAAATGCTCGCTACTTACAGGAGCAAGACAGCAATCAAGGACGCGAAATTGCCAATTCGATCTACAACGAGACCTGGCGCAAAGTCGTCCATGACCAGGACGGAACTGGCAGGACTCTAGATAGTGTTGTACGGGACGACAACACCACTGATCCTGGAAGCAAGAAGCAAAAGCTCCAACACGAACCGGTGAAAAATGCAGACGAAATCGATCTTGATATGGATAGCGACTCTGAGCAAGAGACCCCCAGCAAAGCCGGTGCCAAGATTGAACCTCAGGCCGCGCCTGAAACCCCCAAGGTGGATTCTTCTAATCGGGTCGATGAGAACGCTTTCTCCATCCAACCTCAAATTCCTTATGCTACTGATTCCGGCGTTTCTGGAGAATTACGCAGCCAGCTGCCTGCCAGCTTTGCTCCTCCTCCCCAACCCGAACTCTCCCAGCTCAATGACCCTCTGCCTGATGCCATCTCCAATAAAACAACCCACTTTCTCGCATTGGACAAGTGTCTTCCCCAACGTGAATTCCTCCAGCTAGTGGAATTTAACACGGTTTCTGATCTGGGCGAAGCTCAGTGTGAGCGTCCTTATCGCTTGCAGTATGATAAGGAGTGGCTCGCCATCACTCGTGTATTTGACGATCATCTCATTCTCGGAGACCCGCAGGCAAGAATACCTTTAGACAAGGGTGACGCTTTTTACAAACCCCAGATCATAGAGGCCGAAAAATGGGTTGAGGAACATGTTGCGAAGCCAGGCAAGATGACTATTCCGGAGAACTTTGAGCCTACCGCACCTGTCTATGATCCTAGCGTCCCTATCACCACCGAGGAGATGCCGATTGAATACACCAATCCTCAAACCGCCCAATTCTGCGAACTCATTGGCATTGAGAACAAATTCCACATGGGCGACGAGGAACGCCAAGCGCGTATGGCAGCCGGTCCCCGTCCTGCTGATCCCAGAAATCGTCCTCGTCGCGGCGGCGGTTTTGGGCCTGGACGTGGTCGAGGCGGTTATGGACGCGGTCGAGGAGGTGGACGTGGCGGTCGCCGCTAATGCCTTGCGTCGTGTCTGTATCCACAATCGCAATGAGCTCATGATCATTTTTCTTTTGTTTTGTGCACTATGGGTTTTACTGGACGCGAAGAAACAAAGGCAACTCGCTATCTTCGTTTATTCTATTTGAAAAAGAAAAAGAAAAAAAAAAGGTTTACTGTCGATTCAAGAAAAGGGCTGGTCTGAGATCCTAAACTGCTTGCATTCATGGGAGAAATGGAATTGATCTTTGAGGGCACCCAGTCGAAAGAATACCCCATTTGCTTTCGTGGACCTACGTTTTCGCCGCAATTTCTGAATCATGTTTCATTAAAAGTACAAGTGCCTAGAGGGCTAAAGCTAATTTCATCAATGATGTCTCCATCGTCTGGTTGCAATTAAATCTCGTATATTCAATGTGTCCGTAGGACCGGTGACAGTCATATAAACATGAACAATTTCTGTCATCATCATCAACAATTAACAAAGCCTATTTTTCACTCAATTTCTTCAATCCTTGGACGTCCGCCAACACCCCTTCCTGCTAACGGATCAACCTGCAGACCAGCGATCCGATCACCCAATTCGAATCGAGGTTCACCAGCATCATCCCCCTCATGAACCCCGATTCCCCACAGCAGCGCCTTCTCCAACCAAGCCTCCAAGCTCTCATTCAACACACGAACATGCCCCCGCACAATCGTATCCGTCTCGCGGCTTTCGACGAACACCAAGCTGCGCAGCATATGCGGTATGTTCCCGACCGTCGTAGGATTTTCCGCATTCCAGGAATTCCCTGTCCCGTCATCAGAAAGCGAGAAGCCAAACCCGATGGCGTTCTTGCCGCCTCGCTCCCGAGACGCCTCCATGGCCTTGAGGATGTCGAGAAGGAGAATAGCGCTGGCGCGTCGCAGAATGGCAGACTCCGGGTCTGGTTCTAACATCAGGGTTGAGAGCGCCATGTCGACGGCTGACGCGACGACAGAGGGACCGAGGCCGACGATGTTGGTCTGCACGGCTGTTGCGAGGACGGAAAGCGCCGAGGCTCGAACTCGTAGGTCGTCTGGTTCTTCGTCCGAAGAAGCTCCAGCGGCCCAGGCTGAGATAATATTTGCTGAGTTGGCGGCTTGTTCGGGGGACTCGGTATCGGAGTCCTCGTCGTGGAGTGCGGCCTTAGCCTCCTCTTGTTCTTTGGAGGTTAGAGAGGCGGTAGAGAATGTCCAGCCTTCCGGCACAGGCGGTTCCCGGTTTTTGCGCTCTTCGCGTTCTTTCTGTAGTCTTTCTTTCTCGAGTTGTTGTTTGCGAGACTTCTGTGCTTGCGGCTTGTGTGCTCGCCTTCCGGCAACGGCGATCATGCCGTCGCCGAGAACCTTCGCGGTGCCTCCGGTTAGGGCTTCGCCGAGATCCTGGACGGTGCGCATGAGAGATTCGCCGATCTTCAGTCTTTGGTCGAGAGTGGCGGTCTCGGTTCGGTCGGCATAACGCTCAACGAGCGTTTTGGTCACAGTGCGTGGATGGCGCGAAGCGAGAGTGCCAACGAGCTTGATGGCGTTGAGATAGATGAACTCGTCATTGGAGGAGGTTTCAGACGGGTCTGTTATGATAGAAAGTAGTAGAGTGAGTGTGGATTGGATGTCAAGAACAGGCGATGCTTTTTTGATCAGGTCAGAAAGCAAGGAAAACCCTTCGGCCTGTACCGGAGGAAGATCGGAGTTAAGGTTCGTGAGGGCTCGGCGATGAGTATCGAAATCAGAAATCTTGGAAGACGACTTCTCTTGGCCTCCTTCCGCAGGCGATGCTATGTGGATTTCTAACAACATGGAGGAGGTTGTTCCCTGTTTTGCGAGTGATGCGGGGAGGTATGTGATGAGCTCGTCCAGTCTTCCTTTGATGGCTTCTAGAACTGGGATAGTTTCTTGCGATGCGGAAAACTCGGGTGAGGCGAGGACAGTCGATAACAGACTGAATACAGGGGGTAATGATTCAGCTGAATCTGCCTCATTCGCGGACTCTTCGCGTTCAGTGTCTTCAGTATCAACGATATTGGCCAGGGAAGAAAGAGACACTTTCAGAGAACTTTGCGCCTTAGTCTTCTTCTTCAGGACACTGGCACTGTTAAGTTCACCGTCTATGATCTGCTTGACTAGCTCAAGGACTCTGAGAGGACGACGGGAAAGAACGTCTTTGAAGTTCTCCAAAAGCGCTTCTGCAAGTTTCGCGCTGACTAGTTTCCGCATGATGTCGGTGGAACCATCGTTGTCTTGGGATAGTTGTAATTTATCCGGCATTGCTTTATCAGAGGAAGGCCTCACCAGCCAATTTTCGCTCACGTAGAGGAAAATATCACCAGTACACTCTTCGCTGCTGGGGTCTGTTCCTAACAAACCCACAAATAGTTTGGCGCGAGACTGCAAAGTATCCAACAGTCGCACAACATTAAATTGATTCCGGTCTTCGGCTTTTCGCCTCGTCAGTGACAGTCCGTTCTCTGGTTCAACGCTGTAGGTCCACGATGAGCCTCCGTCCCACAGCAAGTGGTCTGCCAGCTTTTTAAGTGGCTGCATTCCCACCGAAATACCAAAGTATGTCCGTAATATCGTCATGACATTCTCATGTAGTATTGTGTGTTGATGTTCCAGAGCAAAGCAAGCTAGACCCCAGAGGGGCACAAGAATTGGATAAACAACTCTCTTGACAAGCGCTGGGTTTGGAGGCTGAAGGACCAGACTTCCCAGTCTATCGACCGCCCGACACAACATAGATTCGCGAACAAGCACATGCTGTGGTAGAGTCTCGTCGGTGTCGCTCGGTTGGCTCATCCAAGTCATGGAGGGACCATCTAAACCTGCCGTGAGTGTTTTGAATATGGGTTCCAAGAATATCGAGTGGCCGATCGTTCCAGGGGCGCCATGTGGGCGCTTTCCAAGGATTCCGTTGCCAACCGTATAGGCAGCGGTTTTCCTCAAGTCCGGGTCATCGCCATCAATCAGAGCCAATAACTGTGGAGCAATTATAGAGAAGTATTCGACAGGGTCCATTCCCTGTGGTACCGAAGACAACAAGCGTGAAGTCTGCATGATCGCTTGTACGGTAAAATGAGGGCCATTAGAGGCCGCGGCCTGTGCTTCTTGTCCCATAGAGGGGCTGAATTGCGTTGCCAAGAAAAATATCGTTTGAACCAACCCCTTGTTACGCAAAGGAACTCGGGATAGTTGGCTGGAGATGGTATCTTTGAACCATGTTGCCGGGTTGGCTTGCAGAAAGTTCGACAGAGTTGACAACAGAACCGAGCTCGGAGTGCTGCGTCTACTTAGTTCACGCTCTCATAGATCAGATAGTGGGACCTACTCCTTAATGACATCCGTAAACACGTTCCGATACCATTCTTTCCTATCATTTTCCAGAGATTGTGAGTTGAAAGCTAATTCTGCAACTCCGCTTATAATATCACTCAAGATTCGACCACGGATCACCGGTTGTATGCTAGGCCGTTCATCAAGAACAATATCTGACAGAGTCGACATTATACGATCCAAAAGTGGCTCATTTTCACACGAGTTCTTTGTGGTCTTTTGATCTTGAGCAATAACTCCAGCGGGCAGTATAGATATCACTCGCTGCTGCAGGGGAATGCCCACTCCTGATGAGAGCGACGGGTACACTCCCTCTATTGCAATCAAGTCCAGGAGGGCATGAAGCAGGCGGCGTCGCTTTGCATCTTCGCGAGCAGCATCCTCCGCGCTCTGGACGGGCTCCTTGGCATCGTTTATAGGAGCGACAAAGGCGCTATGGATACGGGCAAGTATATGCAATGCTCTATCAATGACGTTGGCTCGCTTGGAGGCATCATCCAAGGGAGTGTTAGGAATAGCCTTGGCAAGAATGTCTAAAAGAGAGCTTCCTCGAGACTTTTGGAGTTCCTCTTGAATCGAGTCAGCGCTGAATCGTACTGGTTAGAATTGAGATTCACATGCCTCGTTGAAGTACGGGAATCAAAAATTCATCGGCAGAGTCGAAGGCTTCGCGAGCCGCCTGAAGATCACCCATATTCTTCCCGGTTAGCCCTTTACTTCGGTTTGAAAATCTTCATCATGCGTCTGCAAGTTTTACCTGAGCGGCGCTGGATGAAGTGGATCATGGCGATGGAATCGAATTACAAAGCGATGCGGCCACTCCCTGCACGTGACTAGTTGCGCTAACCCTCTTCAGACGTGAAGTAATTGATGCCTTAGGCATTTACCCTGGGTGCACTACGAGTAGATGAGAAGGATGAATAAAAATAACCTGTGTTTCATTTGAAAATCTTCTCATATCGTTTACTGTTCGGCTTGGTTCTCGATTGGAGTATCTTAAACATAATCTCATTTCCTTATGTAGCCTATATAGCAAGAGATATTTTTCATCTGTACTCACAATGTCCGGCGAAAACCTCTCTTCAAAAATCCAAGATTGAAACTGAAATATGAGTCTATCATCATCATTAAAAATAATTCGAGATTGTTTCTATCTATGATACATATTATATTAAGCTAAACGCACTAATCATCTTGTGCTAGCATATTTGAACCGGTATCGTGAGCGAAACCTTTGACTTAGTCCACTGTCCCTCGAACCGAACATGTAATAGGAGCTTTAGTGCATATGTGCGAGATATAAGGCATGAGTAGAAGCTTGGTGGCAGACAAAGTTTCTCCGGAAGGGTTATCGGCAACTCTAGAACTGCTGTATAGGTCATATCGGCGGTGGCATTTGTGTCGCACGGGAGGTCTTCACCAAAAGACTGCTTTCGCCATTCCATATGACTTTCAAGTGAGCTGTGCAGAGGTATGGTATCTGAGCAGTAGTCCTGGCTTGAGATCCAAGAAGATGGGTCGGTCAGGTCTGGAAAGTCTGGCCAGGTTTCCGTTCCATATGTCGTAACAGCCTTGAGTTTAAGATCCAGATCCGAGATCTCCGGCAATGGGTCTTGTCCGGCGGCTATGTACTGCAATCTGAGTCTAACAAAGCTGGTTGGATTTGTCTGAGCTCGTATAGCTGGTGGTTGTTCCGCCCATGCAGACAGAAGCCCTACCTGTCGTCGACGGAGTCCCTTGGCAATCTGTCTGTCCTGGCGCATACAGTAGAAATTGCTACCATCAGGAACCCAGATCGGAGGCCTTTCTTTCCGCCGAGGCTTGATGTGTATTGGGTATGACCACTCTCCCACAATCGTCGGACCTCTATTCTTTTGCGTCTTGCTGGAATGGATCCTAACGTGTTTACGGTACGTGATGGACAGTATCGTAGGAGTCATGTCATGACACATTTCTTTCCCGTCATCTAGATCAAAGGGAGAGCCAATACTAGGGGGGAGCTGAGTATGCTCCCAGTAAACCTGCTCATGATGGCGATGGTGGTGACAGATATGATGCGGTAACTCGGCAGGGACCACGAACTCGAATGGTATGCGATATTGCGTTCCGGCCTCAAAGGAGTTAAATATGCCAGATGTATTGGCCCCTAGTGGCTGCTTCATTTGGAGAAATGTGCTTGACGCGATGGACGGTGGGAGCGGAATGTTAGTTCCGTTTTTGTCAACTTCTATCTCGGCTCTACCTAGAAAAGAGTATCAGTCTCAAGATGCTTCCGAACTATACAATATAATAGTATTCATACCTTCAAATGATACATTCAGTTGTTCGGGTAATATTCTTTTTTGGGGGGTCAAAAGCACCTCGCCTTGTATTGTGTCTCTAATGCCGTAGCTTTGATGGTTGGTTGCTAGACAGATTTGAACTTGAGGTGGTCGCTGAAATGTCATTGTGCTTGTTACACAGAAGTTCTTCATGGCTTTATTTTTAAACGAAGGTCTTGGACTCTTGTAAAAATCTATTGCATCTTTTTTATTTCTGCTCTCCGAACCGATTGCCTATCAATTGACATTTTTTTACTTCGGCATTTGGGACATTTGCCGAGCCGCCACGATCTACTTAGACTACTCCGTATGCGTACCGTGCTTCAATGTTCGAGTTGTGCTCGGTTTCTTCTGAACTACCTTTGAAGAAAACCCTAGATCTATTGAAAGCTGTTGAATAGGATATAGCAGATTTGAAGAAGTTGAGAATATGTTGTGTAGATGGCATACCAATGCCATAAGTTCATGGAAGGTTCATCGATCGGCAAGATGGAACGTTGCCGATCGATGAATCATCCGCCACCCTTGCCTCTCGGTCAAATGTAGTCGCGCCGGCTGCTTCAGACCTTCCTCTCCAGTCTAACCCACTGGCCAGGCGGTAGCACAGGACTGTTCAAAAACGGATTTGCATTAAACCATTCCTCCATGCCCGTGCTCAAGCATCAGGCCAAGCGACAGAAGAAGAAGCCTGTCGCGTACGTCATTGGATTTGCCTCCCCACTCAATGCTCTGATCTACTCTGACCTCCTTGAAGCTGCCATCGCTGCCACTCACATAAAGTGAAATGCTCTGGCGAACAGCCCTGCGCTAGGTGTTGCCAGGCGGGATGTGAGAACGAGTGTCAATACACTCTGCGCGACCGCAAGTTAAAAGTCAATGAGAGGTACTAAGATCTCTTGCATCGCTTGAACCACGTCTTGTACCTCGGAATGCTTACAGCCGATTAGCTATCTGGACCAAATCCTATCGGAGAATACACATCTAAAGGAACAATTACGCTCTTCTCATACTCCCCAGTCTTCTCCAGCTCATCTGTCAGACACGGTTCCGCCGCAGGACTCTTATCCTGCCGTGCAGAATCCCCTGATAGGCGAGCGTGCATGGTTCTATCCATATGATTCATCCGCACCTCCAATCTACATGGGAGACGCCGCCTGCACGGCCTTCGCAACAAGGCTGCGGCAATTTATTACAGATAACCCAAATACATCACACGTTGCTCGGACCCAGTACACTCCCGAGTCACTACTGCTAGAGGGTGAAACGCAATGGCCGGGACTCGCCCAAGCCCGTCTATTAGTCCGCGTTGCGTTCAATCAACTAAGTCGTGTCTACCACCTGTTCTTGAGGAAGAGTACCCTGGAGCAGCTGGGAAATATCTACCGCACGCCGTCATTGCGAGATGACCCCGCCCTGACCTGCAAGTTCTTCGCTCTCTTCGCTCTAGGGGAAGTCTACTCTGCGCGCACCGCCTCGCCCTCGGGAGGTCGAGTACCAGGCACGAGATACTATGTTCGTGCCATGAATCTAATCCCAATAATGCCTGAAAGACCTAGGATGATTCATGTAGAAAGCCTGCTGCTGCTAGTATGATACTATGATTATCCCCAGGGTGTGGCCTTTCACGCTAACTATTGTCCAGTCATTATTTTCGTACTTCTTGAATCGACGTCATTCGGCATACATGCTGATTGGAAGTGCCATGCGTTTAGGTCTGGTCCTAGGGTTGAATCATAATATCCCAGTCCGTCAATGTACTGACCCCGTCGAACGCGAGCATCGCGTGCGACTTTGGTGGGCCATCTACATTTTCGACCGCATGTATACGTCAAAGATCGGGTTTCCTCTTCAGATCCGCGACGATGATATATGTGTTGATATGCCTGCAGATGTCGATTCCCCTGTGGCCGGGGAGCAGTTCTCAGACACCGCTTATCTGGTTTCTAGCATTCGACTGGCACGCATAATTGGTCAAATAATAGACAAGATATACAGCCGCAAACACCACCAAGAATCATTCCTTCAACGGGAGCAGCAGCTTTTGCTTGCACTACAGGAATGGCTGCAATCGCTTCCAGCCCACATCAAGCTAAGACCGGAAGACTCTCCACCTAAACACATTGTTTCCCTTCATCTTCAATTCAACCAGGTTGGTATCACCCCGTTCCCCATGATTTCATACATTAATCGTAATATAGTGCGTAATCCTGGCAACGCGCCCAATCATTCTCCATGCCCTCTTCCAACGACGCGGTCAGCGTGAAAGCCACGAAGATCTTCCACAGCCAGTCATCACTCTTAGTGAAGCCTGCATTCATGCTGCGAGGCATTCGCATGCACTGGTCACCGACGAATGGGTCAATGGATCCCTGCCAATGTATGGTTATTTCTATGCTCAGTATCTCTTCTCTGCCGTCATTGTGTTGGTTATCTCGAGTCTACTACCATCCATCGGAAATCCGACCGACCTAGAGTCCCTTGACACGGCCGTCGAAATCCTCCATAGAATGAGCGATCACGGGAACCTTGCAGCTGCGGAGTTCTACGAGAATCTCAGACGAGTTCAGGAAGCTCTACCAACAGACAAAAGTGCTAGTGCCGACCACGATGACCACACCCAAATGTCAGGACAATCTCTCTACAGTCCTATCATCCCAACCACCGGAGCACACACTGTAGAACCCGCGGCTGCTGCCTTTGCCGGGTTTACTACAGAAATGGCGTTCTTGGAACCTACCATGCAAGATTTTCTAGGTAGATCGGACAACGAGATGGATTTAATTGATCCGGATTTACTTACAATCGAAGGGGCGACAGGGCTGAACGCATGGCCAACGTCGTTTTGGTCTTAACAGAGACCTACTACGGAGATTAGAGATGTATTAGTTTTGTCGAAAGACTTATATACCCTGCTACATATATTACCATTCTCAAGAAACATTGCATACTTCAACGACCAATTTCATTAAAAATTGTACTTTGCCAAAATATATTTCTCAATTGAGGATCAGCATACTATGATGGCTGTGATTCTATGGGTTAGGTTAACCAGCTCGACTGAATCAAAATATCCAATGCTGTTCCCCGGCGCAATTAATCACAGCGATTGCTTCTCTTTACTTTAGATTGTGGTAGGAAGTGCATGCATCCCCAAGGATTTAGATTGGAGAATGTCGATAAGCAAGTCGCCTAATCGGGTTAGTCTTCCGCCGGGTTGTTTCTCGATCACGTGATTGCGCGTCGCGTCCCGGCTCCTCCTACGAGCTAGCTCCGCCAGCTTGTTTATCCTCCTCCCTGATCCCTCACTACAGCAGCAGCAAAAACAAATCGCTCTCAAACGGTCTTTCTGCAGGACCAGTCAGATTTCCTGTTGTTTTGGACTTTCAGTCAATTCGATCCTTGATCTCTCAAAGTTTCTATCGGCCTCGACCTCTTCGAAAACCCGTCGGCGCGTTATCTCTATGGCTTTAATTGTCGCTAAACCTGGCCCCTTTGCCTCACCAAGGCACCTTGTACAGGCTACCCCTCTAGCTTCTTAACTTTCGTCATTTGCATCTTATGTCCCTTTTATAAAGACAGTTTTCTATGAAGGCGCATGTTTACCATAGGAATCTAGCTTTAAAGGTGTGATGAAAGTTGAGAGCTTAACCCTAATGTAACCCAGTCGGTCGAAAGTTTCGCGGTTTTGCGTGGCGGAAATACCGAACAGTTGAGACGATTCTACCCAGATTCGAGCAGATGAAAGGATTCCGATGTCCAGAGCCTGTCAGGCAACAAAAGACGGTTTACCATGCGTCTTGAAGTTTCTTTTGAAACGCGCGTCGGTTCACCTATGCTGGATCCACACGCTGATCACAATGGATGGATTTCCCTAGGCCTGATGACCCAGAGTATTGGGAGAGACAATAGGTGGAACATGTCGGACACCCAGATGGTACCGATGGAAATGCAGTTGCTGGTATGACAAATTGCACATTACAATTGATCAATTCGAAAACAATAATATCGTCCTCGGGCGTTTGCCTACACGCGGCCATAAAGCCAGCATGCGAAATGGATCCACTCGTCAGCATCATCTTCTTGATAATCAATGTCCAGGCATTTTTGAGTCAAGGGATGTAGCGAGATTCATTGGCATGTTGTGTGGAATGGTCTTGGCTAGTAATTGCTGCCTATGCAATTTCGTTGAAACCTTTCGGCTTATTGTCGCCTTCCGGGCATTGATGAATAATTAATGTGCAATCGCTTACCTGCTATGCGGCTGTTGTCCTCCATCTCCCATCTACCAGAGCTCTACCGTCTCGTACATGTTCCCAACCTCGAGTTTCCTGGGCAACTCGTACCTATTCTCCAACTTCTGATCTCCGGTTTATTCATTCCATTTGGAGGCTAGGGGTCCCACAAACACGGCACCAGTCATCGATTTGTGCTCCGATTGGAGATCCTGATCGTCCGTGTTAACCATCTCTTTGCGATGTAGATTGCAAATAGATCGATGGGCGCCGATCACGGCGGCATTTTGTCGTCACTCTTCTAGAGAAAGAAGCGGTTTTTATGGATGTTATTTGTCCGCTTCATTCATGCCCTCCAAAGCCTCCTGGTGCGGAGAGGAAACAAAATCTTATCCCTGGGGGTACTGTACTACACACAAGGGGCTCAGGTTTTGCGATTGTGATACGCTAATTTGATGACTCGGACGGCGTGTTGATGAAAGGTTGGGAAATGGAGATTTTGTTTTCAAGGCATCCGACCGAACCTGCTTCGAAACGATGAAATTCTGTCCCCGCAAAGAAACGTGAGACCCCGATTGCTGATGCTAATGTTCTTGGGTCGTTATCTTTATCCTGGCGGTTCAACTTTCGATTCTCGGTGTTTAACGACGATCTACTCTCCTTGTCCCCCAATGGATCTCTTGGAAACCAGCCTTTGAGAAACAACGTTGCTACGATTCGGCTGTTAAAGTTGCTCTCCTCACCGTGTGAAGATCGACGTCTGTCCTTTGGTGATAAGCATGCCCCTGCTATGCCCCGTGTTCGGCGGTACGGGTAGTAGTGAGCTTTGTGGGACCTCCCAGAGTGATCAAAGCCTAGGCTTGTCTGCGATGTTTTCTGCTGTCTTATTGCTATCGGGAGCGGGATCCAAATATCTGCGTGCATTCAAGGACCGGTCGAATGGATCACGAAGAGAGTATACATCAGCTCGAATCATCAGGAGAGTGGTCGTTGTGAGCCCCGTGTTACCAAGGCCGAACGTCCGGACTGGTATCGACTCATCAACTGCCGTTTCCTTCTCGGAGGAAACGGCCCTTTTTTTTTCTTATAAGTGTCCCCGATCTCGAATTCAAATGACATAGCTAACTACTCGGAAGGACGACTGATTCCCAAATGCCCTTGAACGGTGCTTCGAACTTGTTGGTCATCTTTGGAGACGGATCTTGGGATAATTGTCTTGCCATTGTGTCACTCTGGAACTGTGAGGGGTTTCGGTGGCTCTTATACTCATAAACAAAGCTCGCAGTCATTAGAAATGGAACACTGGATTACATGAACAAAATGCGAACATTCTGGCCGAATTCCCTCGTAGTGGTAGCTCGGAGCCCATCCCACTCTAGGGCTGACTAATGCCGCGGCTGCCCCTCCAAAAAAATTGCCCCGCCTCGGCGATAGTGGAAGGGCAAGGAACGTTCGGGCGATTACTGGCCATAATTTTTTTCAGGTCTCTTTTCATTTTAACTTGTCGCATCGCTTTCACATTTTCCCGTTTATCTGTGGCTGCAACAATTTTATTTTCAAAAGCTTTTCATTCCGCGACACTGTCTAATATTTTCTTTTAAACAAACCCCCACTTTTTCACAATGTCGACAGAATCGAACGTCGAGTCGCAGTTCCAAAAGCCCGGTGACTTGGTGGAGCGAGATGAGGACACTGGTGTGATGCAGGTGGAGAGTATGTGCATGAACTGCCATGACAATGTAAGTTTATGCCTGTTGGTCTGAGAACGAGGAGAGAGAAAGGAAAAGAAAAGCTCACAGATCGCGCAGGGAATTACCAGACTTTTACTCCTCCGCGTGCCCTTCTTCCGTGACATCATCCTGGAGTCTTTCGAGTGCGAACACTGCCATTTCAAAGACAACTCCGTCAAATCCGCCAGCCAGATTCAAGAGCAGGGATCCAAGTACACCCTGGACGTGCAAAACGAAAACGATCTCCAGCGCCAGGTCATCCGAAGCGATGTGTCGATCTTCAAGGTTGAATCGCTGGGCATTGAAATGCCCAAGGGCGAGAGTCAGATGACGACAGTCGAGGGAGTCATGCAGCGCATTCACGAGTCGCTCTCAAGTGAGCAGCCTCTGCGGAAGGCGCAGGCGCCCGAACTGCACGACGCTCTCCAGCCCATCATCGACAAGCTTCAGAAGATCCTCGACAGAGAGGGATACCCCTTCACCGTGTCCTTGGACGACCCTACCGGCAACTCGTGGATTGCGCCCTCTCCCAACGATGGAACCAACTACCGACGCCGCGACTACCCCCGTACCCACGAGCAGAACGAAGAGCTTGGAATCGCGAGTGACCCTAATGCCGTGAGGACCGAGGGCAAGAATCTGGAGAGCGCTGACAGCATCGACGACTCCGAGATTGTCGATGGACAGGTGTACAGCCTGCCCGCCGATTGTCCCGGCTGCAACAAGGATTGCTTCGTCAACATGAAGAAGATCAACATCCCCTACTTCAAGGAGGTCTTCATCTGGGGTACTGTCTGCGACCACTGCGGATACCGTACTAGCGAGGTCAAGACTGGTGGTGAAGTTCCCGACAAGGGCAAGCGCATCACTCTCAAGGTCGAGGATGAGGTGGATCTTTCTCGTGATATCCTCAAGTCCGACACCTGCGCCCTGCACAGCGACGAACTTGAGGTCTCGGTGCAGCCCGGTACTCTGGGAGGTCGTTTCACTACCGTCGAGGGTCTCCTTACCGAGATCCGCGACCAGCTGCGCGGTCAGATCTTTGACATCGACGACACTACCAGCACTGGCGGTGACAGTATGGCCGTTTCTGACAAGGAGAAGTGGGAGCGATTCTTCAACCGTCTCGATGCCGCCATCAAGGGAGACCTGAAGTTCGTCATGACCATGGAGGACCCCATGGCCAACAGCTACGTTCAGGACCTGTGCGCCCCTGCCGTGGACCCCAAGATCACGATCGAGGAATACACCCGAACCGACGAGGAAGAGGAGGACCTGGGTCTCAAGGACATGAAGGTCGAGGGCTACGAGGCTGACACCGAGAAAAAGGACGAGCCTGCCACTGAGAACGCCGAGCAGAAGTCGTGATTGATATAACTATACCCCGAGGTTTTATCTTTCCCTTTTTATGACGTGCATGATTATCTTCTCTTCTTTTTTCCTCTTTTGTTTATACAGTAATGTCCTTTGCATACACGGTGGTTCTATCCACCCAATGTGTTTGAGTTCTTTTACGTTTCTAGATATCCGATGCAGATGTGGTGTGTTTTAGTGGGTGTGGCCGGGTTGAATGTATTTTCTGCTTTGCATTTTATGGGACGGTTGGAAAAAAGTTTAAGAAATAAATGGATTTTTGAGACTGCTTTCTTTTTGTGTTGGCATGACTTGGAATAAAGAGGATCGTTCCAATGAAGCATAGTTTTCTATTCTTCAATGAATGTGCCACAAGCACCTACAAATCTGAGTAGCTGTTACTACTATACTATCATTCATAATCTATCATGACTTTTACGCATTTCCTGACGTTGCTTGAAACTATGGAGTTCTGGTTCATGAAAATATCATTATTTTGACAGGTAGTTTGGTCTGACTCGTGCATTGAAAAGCGATCATGTCTGCCTTCCAAGCCATAGGAACTCGAGAATAAGCCAGAAACCCATTCGATTAAGAGGGTATGGTGGCCTCTTGCAACCATGTAGCGGGAGCCTACGGCCCAGTGATGCTTTGAATGCCGCGTTGATCCGGCATGAAAGACACAACTGTCGATGGCGCTTTGAGGACATGCATCACGAGCAGGTAGTCTCTTCTAACAAGACCGGTCGTGGTTGCAGCGGTATCGTCACTCTTCTGTGCTGCTGAATAGTTCTATCCCAAGGGCCACCCCCTCATCTAATAGCAATGCTACCAGATGAACATATCGGCGATCAACTCAACCCTCCGGTTCACTTCGCAAAGGGATTCGCATGGATCGTCACCCTATTGATCCGAAGCGGCTCATACTCCGTCTCGCCTTCCTTTGGCTGCACCACCCGCCCCTTCTTGTCGATCTTGACATTCGCCTTCTCCAAGCTCGACAACACATCCCCGCCCTCATCCTGCGCCGTCAGGTTCAACACCTTCCCGAACACCGTACTCGCGCCATCCAGATGCGGCGCGGCCCCAAACGTAATGAAGAACTGACTGCCGTTGATCGTCGCGCCCGTCGCGCCCTGCGATCCAGGCGCCGTGCGGTCCTTGACGGGCCGCGACGCCATCGAGAGGATACCGCGCGTGTTGTGTCGCAGGGCTGGCAGGTGGATCTCTTGGTTCAGTGCGCCGGGGTGGTTGATTGACGTTCCACCTTTCGGGATGTCGTCGAAAGGAAGCATTGTTTTGGTAGTGTTGGAGGTGGCGGATCCCGCGGGTCCGAGGGATATGTCGCCGCCTTGGATCATGAAGCCGGGCATCATCCGGTGGAATGGTGTGTCGTTGTATGCGCCGCTGGCGCAGAGGGCGATGAAGTTCTACGGAGAGGGGAGGTGAGTATTATCGTACTTGGTTCAGTTTGTAGAGCGTGTATTCATTGTATCTTTCTTGGGAATGACGGTAACGAGGGAACTACATACCTCTGTCGTTTTGGGTACTGCTTCGCAGAAAAGCTCGACTTTCACGTCGCCGTGTGTGGTGTGAAGCTGGACATTGCGGGGTATGATTAGCAAGGATTTCGCCGTAGTGAGGAGAAATCAGAAATAGAAAGATTGCCGAATACTCACAGTGACAGACATGATGAGTTGTAATCCACAGTGTTCGTGATAGCGAAGAGGAATGGGCGAAAGTCGGACATGAAGCTTCTCTGGACTGACGTCGCGGAAGCAAATCCGCCGGTCACATGACTGGCGTCGATATAGCAACGAACGAGGATGGGATGAACCACAACCCAGCCATTGTTTCGTGAACCTCGCCCAACCAGTCCAGCATGAATAACAGACCTGTCGAACAGGCTCTGGGCACACTGGTGCCTACCCACGCAAATGATATCCCCCCGGAACTGCTCAGTTTGGCTCTTTCGCTTGTTGCGCAATCGCGAAGCTTATCTAGTAGTCTCAAGCCGGAGGAAGAAATCGCACGGCCTTATGCCTGCGCTGAGATTGCGTGTAAAAGGTATTTCCCCCATGATTTCCAAGCTTCATCAGCGACTCGACATATTAACCTATCTTTTTTCTCAACTGCAGGCTAAGCAGAGCCCTCAAACTACCTCCCTTACTCGGTCATCCACCATGCCCTCCACGCGCATATAAAAAGCTCTACTCCTTCCTCGACCGCTCCCTCTCCTCCAGCACCGCCGGAACAAAGCGCCCTGCAAGCGGCTCAGCCCCCGGAACTCCCTCGCGAGCGGGCTCTACCCCGTCCACGCCGACAAAAGAGTCCCGACCAACCCGAACACCATCCAAAGCAGCAGCCGCCGCGCCGCGCGGTCTCCAAAACACCCCCAGCAAGTCCACGCCCTTGAAGAGGTCAACGACTCGTCCGGATAGCCCCTCCGCCTCGCGCACCCCTCGCACATTGGCCAATTTTCGTCCCAATGGCATCTCCGGCGCTTCTATTATCCCTGATGCCCCCGCTTGGGTGATGAATTCCATTCGCACCGTCTGTAAGACGCTTTCTACGCCGGCACCCCGAACAAGCACTTGGTCCCGGCCTCCGATATCGCGCACGCTTCCGCCGCATGTCTTTGCGGGTGTTTCGTCCATCCTGTACTACGTGTCTAAGGTTTCGGGCAACACTGAGGGTGAAGAGGACGGGGAGGAGCTGGATGAAGATATGCTCGAGTTCGTGGAACCGGTCATCCTCGCGAAAGACAAGGACAAGGACGAAGAATTCAAAGAGCTCGTCCAGGCCCTGATCGTCGCTGTTTACTTCCTGGTCCTTGCTCGGCGACGAACCCCGAGCCCGGTGGCTGAGGCCCCCTCCGGCGAAGAGACGCGCAAAATGGACAAGAAGACGTTCTCGGAGATGCGCCAGACTGCGCTGACGAGTCTCGGGCTGCCTACGTCGGAGCGGAGACATCGCGACGACGTGGATCAGTGGATTGCGCTGATCATGGAGCAGAGCTGGGCGAATGGGAAGGAGTGGTTCGAGAATATCCCGCAGGCCGGCGAGTTGGATGGCGACGAGGCGTATCTTTCGGATGTCGGTGCCGATGAGGATGATGGGGCGTTGAGGGATGGCAAGCGGCCGAAGATGATGGGCAAGAGTCGGACGTCGCTTTTTTCGAAAGATCATGGGAGAGGTGGATTGCTGCCTGGCCTGGGGACTATGATGCAGGATCGAGTGGATTATCTGAGTGAGGACCGCAGGGAGGATTATGTTGAGTGGAAGGCGGAGATCATGGCGAGAATCAAGCAGATGGAGCGAACTGCTCAACCTGTCGCTTGAAAGCCAACTGCAAAACATTGCCGAGAATACTGAACCAGGTCATACTGGAGTCGATGGAGAACCTCTCGTTTGGAATTAATTGTGATACCCTTAGAATGTCAAGACGATTGAAAAGTCCAAAATCTAACCATTGTATTTCTAATATGTTGTCGAGTCTAGCTGCCAGAGATAGAAACAAGCGAAACCTCGATTTAAATCGAGACTTCCATATCCAAGAAGGTTGTTGCTGCTAACAGCGCGCAGAAGCAAAAATAGGTATCACTGTCTATAAAACCCCCTCAATGCAAAAAGACACAAGCAATTTATCACAAACCCATAAACAAGAAGCAACAAGGGTATAAGAGACCAAAGAGAAAAAGACAAAAGAATCTAGGGTCTAGCTTTTAGTACCAGATACTCCGTGTTCGGTGATGAGGAATTGATTCCTGGCCATCGCTTTCCAACTCCTTCATCGTGTCGTAAAGGAAGAAGTCTATGAGGATAGCGTTGAGGCCCGGGCCCTTGACCTCGTGTACACTTTTTTGACGACGTTTCTGAGTACTGCACTTCTCTTGTTCGGCCTTCATGTCAGGGGTCTCTAGATACTGAGAAGGGCCGTCTGATGTGCTGTCGTGAACCGAGGCGGGGACCAGCAACTCTTTGGCCTCTGGGTGCCGGAATTCGATCTCACGTCGAATTAGCTCGACGCACCAGATGCTCGTCGCGCGCAATTCAACTTCCCAGGTCGACCCGCTGGGAAGGATCTTCCGGCTGCGGATGTGGCTCTCGAGAGGAGGCGAGTACCTGAGACAGCCCAGCTGGTGCAGCATTTGAGGGATCCGATAGTCTATGAATTGGCAGAAATGAGTATTTGGAAAAGTTGGTTCGCACCTGGAGCAACATACCGGCAAACATGGTGATTTTGTCGATATCATGGAATTCGCCAAAGCCTTCGCCATTGAAGCACGCCCACAAGTCGGCGATGAGAATCTGGGCCCGCTTGTACAGACGGACCCTACGCCCCTGGAAGCTGGTCTCGTCACGGAAGCAAGCAAAGTTCTCCGCCAGAAGGTTCACGAGGGCAGGGGCAGAGCGGCTGGAGCTGTATATACAGTTCAAGAAGTTTCCCTCAAAGTCCTAGAATTTGTCAGGGTTACAATTACATGATGATCGTGGCGGAAAGAGTCTAGACATACCTTGCATAAGACTCGTCCGGCCTCCTGTAGACATTCGAGTCGTTCTTTGAGCAAGGGGATTTCCTCGTCGGTTGCAGATCTGAAAACATGCCTGAGCAATTCCTCGGTACATTCATCCTCGTTGGCCCAAAATTCGGGAGTGGTGATTGGGATCTCTGCGAGTTTTAGTATCGACGTTTCATTTGACACCAGCAGGGGGTTCGACAGGAAGACACCTACCTTCATCCAGGGCTCTCTGCAGAGCGGCGACTAGACTCCAGTAGCCGGTCCACTTCCGTCCGCGATACTCAATGGCGAAGCGTTCCTCACTCGGCAACTCGGACCAGAAACTGTAATTGAGCAGGTCCATGGTGAAGACGAAATGGACGGTGGCCTCGTCCTTGGTCTTGGGGTGCAATTCATGTTCCGACCAGGTTTGCGTGGAGTAGCCTTTCTTCTGCATCTGGCGCCAGATCATTTCGGCAGCGGCCTTGACGTTGGGCGGGATCAAGGCGACGTCGATGGCATTGTCGAAGACATATTGCGCATTCTCTAGAACTTTAGTCTCCGCTGCCAGAGGGTTTGCCGGCCCCCCACCCAAGCCGAGGGATTTGCGCAGAAGAGCGAGCAACTCGGGATCGGCTTCGTCGTCTGACATCTTGGTTGCGCGATTGATATTGGAGATTCAAAGACGAAACGCAAAATCCGCGGGGAAAGCGCTGAATGATAGAGACTCAAGCGGGAGAGAAATTGAAAACAGATGGAGAAATACCCGCTTCAGCAAAGACCAAAGAAAAAGGGAGCGAGCAGAGAAAAGAAGGGCACATTTAGCGCATGGAGTTCTCCACGTCAGGCACCAGAGAGGAACGGTTTGTCGTTGACCCAAAGAATGAACGATCGTCCACTTCACCCACCAACCTACGGAGTGAGGGAAAGTGGGTAAGGCAAGACTCTTGTGTCTGGTCAGTGGGCAGTTATTACTGCGGTCGTTTGTATGACCCCGAAAAAGAACAGCCAGGAGAACAATGAGGGCAACTAAAAAATAATGGTGGATAAAAGTTGTTATCGATAAATCCACTTTGAGACTCCTTATCGTCTTAGTCATCTTTTTTATTTTTTATTTTTTATTTTATTTTTATTTTTTTCATTTTGCCTCTCCCGTGCCTCAAAAAGGGTCCAACCAAAGAATAAGCACCACTAGTCCTGCTCAGCTGGATCGTTATTCGCGTGATTCTCAAGGATCCACGTTATGAGAGACAGGGCCTGCCATTCTCGGCTTATTCTGCCCCGTAGAGACTCTCTCCCATCCACCCTTTCTGGAACGTTCCTGAGAGTAAACAGTTGGAGCCATGGGGTGGCAGCCTGGCAGCCTGGATGTCCAGGCAGCAATGCAAACAGGTGCAAACAGGTGCAAACAGGTTGACCTCAGCCGGATCTGCACCACGTGACCCTGCAGCATCCCGACGGGGCATTGCAGCTCTGAAGGTGCGACGCTCCTCTGTTTGGCCTCTGCCAGACCCGGGATCTGATCTGTCCAGTCTCTTCTGTAGATGCCGCAGGAACAAGAGGGGGGGAATTAAGATTGATGTCTTAGAAAGTGTGTTACGCCGGTAGAGACGGGGGTCTTAGCATGGATAGTTACTAGTTACAGAGTTAGCCCGGGATGTGAGAGTAACAAAGAGGGAAACTGCGATTGCCTCTCGTGGGGACCCAGGATGACCGAATGAATGGGATGTGAGTTTGGCCATGTAAAGCTTCGTCGTGAAAACACAAGGGGAAAGAGCAGTCGGGCCCGTCCGATGGGACAAAGGGCATTTTTGCAAGCGGGCGATTGCTGTCGTCATTGCAGTCACTTCCGGCGGAGCATCTCGTCGCCCTCAGCTCTCCGGCGTAAAGCAGTCAAGCCTTGCCTGCCATTCACTTCCCTCCCCACACTCCTTCGCTCCTCTCCCCTTCCCCCCCTCCAATTTCTCCTCCACCCTCCGTGTCGCTCCCTTGGCGATGCCTTTCAATCCACTCTGACACCTGGAATCTCTTATTTCTTTCTCCGTGCACTGTCGCGCAACCATGGCGCGGGATACTTATTCGCAGCGCTCCCTCGGGACCTTGTCTAGGCGCATCAAAGAGGTACCTCACTTCTTTCTCCCATCCTGCTCCGCACCTGTCAGCTATCGGGGCTTTCGGTGCCCTGTTGATCATAACTATAATGCCTCTTGTGCTGACCCCTTCAAAAATCATAGTCGCGCGTTCTTCTCGTCGGTGCCGGTGGCATCGGTTGCGAACTGTTGAAAAACCTCCTGCTCTCCGGCTTCGGTGAAATCCACATCATCGACCTAGACACAATAGATCTGAGCAACCTGAATCGCCAATTCCTCTTCCGCCTCGAACACATCTCCAGGCCCAAGGCATTGGTATGTAGCTTCCAGGTCCTCCGCCCTACACTGCAACTTCTCTTCAACTCCGGATAGCCCCAATGTCGACACCCTGTGTTGTCTCTGCCTGGCAATGATTTGACATGACTGGTCGGGATACAGGTTGCGAAAGATGTCGCTCACAAATTTAACCCGAAAGCGACGCTGGAAGCCTATCATGCGAACATAAAGGACAGCAGATTCAACGTGGACTGGTTTGGGCAGTTCAAGATCGTTTTCAACGCCCTAGATAATCTCGATGCTCGTCGTCATGTCAACCGAATGTGCCTGGCTGCGGATGTACCGTTGATCGAGAGCGGGACGACGGGATTCAACGGGCAGGTGCAGGTGATCAAGAAGGTAGGGCTGCCTGGTCGCGGACTGCGGATTCTTCGGCTGCGGTGTTGGTCTTGATTGCTGATAATCTGACAGGGTGTGACCGAATGCTACGATTGCAATTCCAAAGAAGTACCCAAGTCGTTCCCCGTTTGCACCATCCGCAGCACCCCGAGCCAACCCATCCATTGCATTGTCTGGGCTAAAAGTTACCTCTTCCCGTGAGCGCCACCCCCATAATCACCATGCTTTCGGCGCATTAAACCGACTGACATCGCCTACAGTGAGCTTTTTGGCATCAGCGAGGACGAAACACCTGAGCTCGACAATACGGAAGATAACGAGAATGGTGGGTTTTAGTTTCTACGGTTCAAATAGACGAAGCTAACCAAGATCTATTTCAGCGGAGGAGATTGCGAATCTCCGGAGAGAAGCCCAAGCGCTGGCCGAGATCCGCCAATCTATGGGATCCTCCGAGTTCGCCCAGAGGGTGTTTGAGAAGGTGTTCACAAACGACATAGACCGGCTACGTGGAATGGAGGACATGTGGAGAACCCGCGAGCCTCCCACGCCGCTCAACTTCGAGACGTTGCAAGAGAAGTCCACCAATCTCCAGCCCACCGTATCAAATGACGACCAAAAAGTATGGTCGCGGGCGGAAAACTTTGTTGTTTTTAAAGACAGGTTCGGAGTGTCTCTCCCTAAGTTTCGATGATTTGACATTTAACTTACACTATAACAGCCTGGATCGACTGAGTAGACGCCTAAGAGATCTTCAAGAGTCGTCGAATGGCGATACCAGGCCAACCCTGACCTTTGACAAGGACGACGTTGACACGCTGGATTTCGTCACAGCCACTGCTAACCTGCGCGCCACGATATTTGGGATTGACTCGAAATCCAAATTCGACACTAAACGTATGTGTGCCACTGCCACCGGCCTTTTGCTCGTGCTGATTGTATGAAGAAATGGCCGGAAACATCATTCCTGCGATCGCCACCACGAATGCGATGACCGCTGGACTTTGTGTTCTACAGGCCATGAAAGTGTTGAATAATGATTACGAAAATGCGAAGATGGTGCGCTGTAACGACTCTACTACTTCATACTTATATTAACTTTTCTCCCACCAGATCTTCCTCGAGCGTTCGGGGGCGCGCGCGATAAACTCCGACTCACTGAAACCGCCAAATCCCAATTGCCCAGTATGCTCTGTCGCCCACAGCAAACTCATATTTGACCCGGATCGTGCTACAGTTGGCAATCTAGTGAAAGACATCCTTGAAGCGCAACTTGGCTACGGAGAGGAAGTATCGATTAGCACCGAACAGGGAATCCTATACGATTTAGACTTGGAAGACAATCTTCCGAAGAAACTATCTGAGATGGGAATTCACAATGAAACGTTCATCACGGTCGTGGACGAAGAGGATCAGGAGCCTCGCGTGAATCTCGAACTAATCGCCTCTACACACAAGTAAGATACCCGCGATTTATCCTTGGCCGGCGATTGCTAACCAACCCTTAGACCTAAAAGTACCGACGAGGAGAAAACTGTCTCCCTAGTCAAGCTACCGGAGATCCCGCGCAAACCTAAGAACCCCGCGCCCGCCCCTGAAGAACAAACGAACGGCCATACTGGCGCCGGCCGCAAACGTGATGCCGAAACGGCAGGCCTCAGCAACGGCGAGGGTGAAAGCGTTAAACGAGTCGCCAATGTGTCTGCTGCCGACGGCGGACACAACGGTGAACGTAACGGCGACGGAGCACATCCGATCGTTCTTGATGAGGCGCAAAATGGCGGAGCCATCTTGATCGACGACGACTAAATGATACCAGCGAAGATAAGATATAGAGTATATGGACTAAAAGGGCTGTGTTACCATGATAAACTCTCTCGTCTTTAGAGGATCTTGGATGCCAGAGTCCGTGGGTTGGTCGGTCATGTTGGGTGATTCCTTTTCTCACTTCTCATCGTTTTCTTCTCAGTTCAATGTTTCTTGTAACATACGTCATGAGCACGAAGTTTGATCAGAATAGATTTGTTATCTGAAATTTGAAGTTATACAAGTACATTCCTCGTCAATAACTAGGCCAACCAACTACGTTACACAGCGCTCAATCCCCCGTCCAGATTGAGCACGCAGTTATTGGCATATTCGTTACGGGCCAGAAACACCGCCGCGTCCGCAATCTCATGTGGCTGGCCAAATCGTCGTAGCGGAATGCACTCTTTCAGCCGGTTGGTTTCGCTTCCGCTGAAATCTAGAAAATGTCAGACCATCCCTTCTAAACCGGTCCATTTCATATCAACTCCAAACAAAGACACGACTTACCCGCAATCATCGGCGTCTCAATATACCCCGGTACAATCGCATTCGACCTTACCACCACATCCCGCAAGGAACTCGCAGCCTCGACGCTCAACGACCTCGTCAGCCCCAAAAGACCCGCCTTGGAAGCTGCGTACGGTACCGCGCCCGTTCCCCCTTTCACGGCTAGCAGCGACGAGATGTTAATGATGCATTTCGACACCGGTCCCGTGCTGCCATCGCTGTCTTTACTCCGGTTCCGGAGTCGACTGCGGATCGAGGCGCGGAGTAACGCGCGCGATGTCAGCATCGCGCCTTCGAGGTTCGTGCGCAGAGTTTGTGAGATGTCGGCTGGTTCTAGCTTGGGGAGGATGTTGGAGATGGAGATCCCGGCGGCGTTGACGAGGATGTCCACGTTTTGCTGCATTCTGTTAGATTCATTGTGTTCTGGAAGTATATCTGCACGGTTCAATTGATTAAGATGGTTGAGAGGGTAGGGTAGGAATACCATCGCCTTCTCTAGTTCGCGAGCCCACCCGCTCGCCTCTGATACATCGCCCACCAGTAAACTGATCCGATCCGACGCAGGAACCAACGAGCCCGGTGTTCGTTCTGCCGCAGGTGCATCGCTTTCCTGGTCCTGTTGCTGCGTTCCATCCTCCTCTTCTAAAGCTCGAGTAGTGGCGACCTCTCCATCCGGAAGCGTCAGACCCTCGTCAACAGACGTAGCTCTCTGCAACCGCGCCGCAGCGTAAATCAGTCGCTCATAGGACCGTCCTACAACGATGACCCGGTCTGCGCCTTCTTGCAGGAATCGTTCGGCAATAGCGTATCCGATCCCTGAGGAGCCGCCTGTTATCATGCATGTGCGGCCGGAGAGTTGGTTTGTGCTGTTTTTGGTGACGGGGTAGTTGTCTTTGATGGGGGTAAATGAGATGGTTCGGGTTGAGATGGGGAGTGTTAGTGGGGATCTGATGGTGCGAGGGATGTGTATTTTTGAGGAGAAGATGAGGGATGGTTTTGCGCGAGGACGCAGGGGGAGGAATTGTTGCATTTTGTAGAGTGTTCGGGTTCAGCGTATAGTTGATGCAGGTTTCATTGTATGTTGATGGATGGATACGGTGAAACCGGTTGTTGTCCGGGCGGATAGGAGTCGAATGGCTGATTTAACCCCACTTGTAACCAATTTCATTTAGATATGTGACACAAAAGGTTGAAACCTCTGCCCTGACCGAAAGAGAAGTAGAAGTAGAAGTAGAAGATGCAGCGGAATTCCGTCACCAGCTTGAGCACGGACCACCCGCGGGAAACCCACGCGATTCTCGGCGCCGCCGCCTCTTTGCTCTTCTGCCTGGACTGCTCCATGACAAAACAGACACGCTCATCTACCAGAATGGCTTCTTCATCCTCCCAGCAGTCCGAATACGTGACGCTAGTATCAGGCGATGGATTCGAGTTTGTGATTCCGAGAAGCACGGCCTGCATTTCGGGGACAATACGTCGGATGTTGGAGCCGTCCAGTAAGCATTTCCTTCTCTACCCTTGTTCTCGTTGTCTTCCATGGTTTTCGACATCGGATGTTCTTTCGGATCTTCTGGATCAAATTTAAAATGGACTTCCATGACTGACCTGTCGGTGGTTGCGCGTGCAGGTCGATTCTCCGAAGCCATAACGGGTCGCTGCGTCCTCGAAAATATTAGCGGTATTGTCCTGGAGAAAGTCTGCGAATATTTCTGCTACAATGAGAAGAATAAGAACCAGAGTAACGTGCCGGATATGGACATTCCGCCGGAACTGTGTCTGGAGATGTTGATGGCAGCGGATTATCTGGATACGTGATGTCTGAGGTGAGATTTTGGTGTTACTGGATCAGGACTGTGCTAATGGTTCTGGTTTTAAGAGTTGATTAGATCGTTTGATGTGCATGGATTATGATTACATTCGGATACGTCTTCTTTTATGGGCTGGAGTTATAGAATGGGCTGGTTGTATTTCTAGAATTTACAGGGTATAGAACTGCCGATGGCGTTGGTTATCCCGGGTTGTTCTTTTTCGGAATCCTTTGTCGTGAGTATGTTCTCAAGATCTCGTCTGAGGGTCCAGTTATAGTTCCCTTTGATTAGTTGGCAGCCTGGCCCTAGGCACACCAACCCCTAAGCAAAGCTTAGCCATCTGGCATCTAATATCCGACCTTGCTCCATGGACGGACGTTTCTAAAGATGATGGCAGATCAGTTCGACATCTCCGTTTTATCGAGCCCTACCTCCACTCTTCCATGGATGGCAGGGTCTCCTTCAAGAATGCAGGAGAGACATGCTTGCCTCCATCTAGCTCCGCTATACTGCAAGGGTCTCGGATGGAATGCTGTCGAAACTTTAGTTGTAGCGTATCAACCAATGCTCATCGTCCTTTGGGTTTGGGTCGAGAGAAACCGCCATTTTTGTTTCCCTTCGGAGGCTCAAATGCATACAACTTCTCCTTGCCAAATGCTGCATCGGCCACTCGGAGATAGCTCACCACGCCTTGGTCCACAACTGCCAAAATGACACTGCGGTACCCCTGTCGTAGGCGCATGTAGAGGGCCCGGCTCATCTTCTCGCCCTGCGGCGGGTCTAGCGGGGAATTATCGAGCAGGCTGCCTAGCTGGGCCATCGTGGGCATGGTCGTTTGCTCGCGAGCGTCGACAACGGCGATGCGGAAATCCGGGGGAGGGGGGGCCGTCTTGCGGAAGGCCGTGGATGGCTTGTAGATATGGAAAACGACGCGAAACGGCGCCGACGTACGTGGCGTTTCGGTCTTGGGAGCGACAGGGTCATACCACGGGATGATGGCAAGTTTGCGATAGACATCCTCTGCAGAGTTTAGTATCATTACCATAATGATTTCAACAGCACGGGGTCACTCACTATAGCTACGATGGATTCCCAGACCGGCCGCGGGCCCAAGGGCCGTGGTGTTGGATTTATGAAACCAATCCAAGAACCTCTCGTAGATGCCGGCCAGTCCAGGTCCTTGTGGCTGAGGCGGGTCTGCAGGAGCCGGCTCCTCCACATCGTCGTACCATCCGGGCGCGCGAAAGATCGAATAACCCAAGCGCTTCAACCCGGTGTAGACGGCAAACCGCTCGACGGTCAACCCTCCACTTGCAACGAAGCATGCATAGGCGGCCTGCAGACTCATTGGGATCGTCGGCTCCTCTGTATCACCACCCTCGTCACATCCCACCGACGAGGCGGGCCACCGGATGTCCAAGCTGCCTCGTTCCAGGAGATACAGCGCTTCCTCCGGCAGCAGCCACACGCGATTCCAGCGATCCGCCCGGCCGATTGATTTGAAAAGGTTGCCCTTGGGGATCGGGACGCAAACACACGAGTCGGGGAAGATGTTGCCGAGCCCCGTGTCGGCTGCATTCGTCGGTTGAGGTTTTATCTCCGCGTCGTCCTGCGACGCGCTGGGTTCAGGCGCATCCTCTGCTGTCGTCTCCGCCGTCTTGGGAGTGGCTACCGAGGGAGGCGGCGTCGGCCCCTCAGGTGCATAGTACCCCACGACTCTGTTCTTGGGGTTATGGAGTCGAGGATGCGCAAGGGCATTGTGCATCGCCTCGCGCGAGGCGGCGAGTACATCGGCCTGGAGGAGGGTGGGATTGGGTTCGAAATCCTTTTCACCGCGCTTCGGCAGCGTGGCATGAGACGAGTCTGTGAGACTATTATGATGTCAATTGGTGTCACAGGCTAGTGGGGGGCTCGAGTGAAGCGTCGCAAACACAAGTTGGTTGTAGAGGTGACTAACAATGAGAGGTTGTTCAACATGCGAAAGTCCTGGGTCTCGTCCGACAGGTCGGTCTCAAAGTGTGGCGCGGAGTCATTGGAGGGGAGATGAATGGCAGCCTCATCTGTGTCGGCCATTTTGGAAAAAAAAAAAAAAAAAAAAAGGGGGGGCTCCCAAACGTGGGGAGGGAATGTTGCGTTGCTGAATGTGTTGAACTGGGAGAGAGAAAGAGGAAGATAGAGAGAGATGGTCAAAAATCTCGGCGGTCGGAGCTTATCAGATCAACCAAATCAGTTCCGCCCGCATTTCGTCCACGTCACTTTCCCTTCTACTTTCTTCCTTCCTGTTGACTATTTACCTTTCCTGGTTCAGGACATTATTTGGTTTTCAACTATGTCTGATTCAACGGGGCTTGCCTCCAATTACAACGAGGTCCTCTCGCAGGTATGTGACAAAAAGTTCTCTTTCATACATTGGCGACCCCTCCCTAAATTGCAGATATTCAGATCTCGGTGAATCTCCACAATGCACTAAACACATTCGGTGCCTCCTCTCCCCAGTATCAAACAATCCTGGAAATCCTCAAAGATACCCTCCGAAAAATGGACCGCGACCAGGACCGCGACGCCCGGGCCTTGGATGCAGATACGCTGAGTTTGGCGCTGGGGTTCTTGGAGATTGGAAACGCGGCATCTGGATGAGAACAACTGCAAGGGACCCCCCTAGACTCGAATGACACCGCGTTTCATAATCCTGGCTTCGCTTGGATGCTGGCCTGCTGCCACCACGGCAAGATGGAGACGACGATCGCCCCATCACTCGCCTGCGGAACAATCTGCCGCTCCCTCTATTGAGGGGTATGTTGGTGACTGAGCTGGTTGGCTCATGCTGTGGTACCTTCCTTCTCTCTCGCGACTTCAGAGGATCTGAGTCACCACGGATTGGGTTGGTGGCTGGTTTCAAGATTCGGACTGTCAATCTTACACATTTAACATGAGGATACACAGCTTGAGAGCCACACGGGCATAGATTGAGTGCACTTTGACTCCCAAAAATACTCCTTCCTGGAGCTAAGCAAAACCAACCCCAACACCCCCTGTTTTCCCTGGCCAGCTAAGTGACATGAAAGATAATAGAAAGACAAAGGTGGCTATCAGGAACACCATGCATCAACCAAAAGAGAAATTGCTGAACTCCGGGGCCCATGCATTCGTAAAGACATGATTGTGCTATATTTGATAGCAGAGTGGATCGGAAGTGATATTCGTGCGCAGGTCGTCTCCCGTCAACTTGATAGATGGGCAGTATATAGAATGAGTATTGCATATGTCCAAAAGCCAAACTAGGACAGATCGGTAGATTACGATCAGGGTATTAGCACATTCGAGCTGATGTGGGAAGATTTGATCAGTCGATTAGCGGCTTCTTCTGTTTGCCGACAATGGCCACCCCCAGATGCCGTAGAGCGTTGTGATCGCCAGGACGGACTATCGAGGGCAGTGGTAGCATGGGGTTATCGGGGTTCACATGGACGGCTTCTCGAGCCGCCTGCTCGATGGCCTCCATTTCCTCCTTGCACCCGGCGTGGTCAAGGGGACAGACAACGATCGGATGACGAATGATGATATCTCGTGCGGAAGAGAGGTGCGCCTAAAGCGTCAGAGTCAGTTATCGGTGCATAAGAGGGGCAAACACGGAGCGACAAGACCGACCTTTACTATCAGATAGTATTCGATCTTATAGAGGCTCGCAGTGGTTGTAAATCCGCTGACAGCATAGGTGGGAAAGGGCGCTTTCCCTCTGGGTAGGATTCCCTCCGCATCCCGCATGTCCTTGGCCGGAAACACCAGACCCAGATTTGTTAGGTAACCGGACGGCGGCAGTTTCATTCCTACGGGCTCGGTTCTCTTGGTCAATGTCCGCACTTTCCGTTGCGGTTCGTCGCCTTCGTGGTTGTAGATAATCTCTTCATCAATTGCGATGGTGATCTTGCTGATGGTGACCCTCCGCGCCTTGCTAATCCAGTCCTGGTTGGGCGACAGTTTCACGTACACGCTGACCGGGTCCAAAGGGCCGTAGGACCATCTCGGCAACGATATCCCCAGCGTAACCAAGTGGTCGCTCACCTTTTCTGCAGACTCCGGGCGATTGTACATGCCGAACGTGGACAGCGTATCATATCGTGTGATAGGCACGGGGAACGAGTATTTCCTCTGGTCCGAATGCCCCTGCTGCACCATTACCACGATCTCGTAGTAGGTCTCCGCCGTGCGACTGGGTAATTGCAAGCTCGCCGGGGGGACTCGTCTGGAAGCATCGGGACCCCCACGCCCGAACGGAATGAACAGCACAAACGGCAGATCCATTGAGATCACCTCCTCGAATTCTCGACCCGCTGGACAGCGGAACAGCAGCATCTCCTTGCCCACAGTATCCGTTATTTCCTTCCTGGGAGGCGCCAGGCGTTTCTTCGCCATCGAGTCGGCCGAAGGGTGTATTGTCTCGCGACGATGCAGGGAGATAGTGATCAGTGAAACGTGGACAGGGGCGGTGACGCCCACGCTGGGTCGAATCTCGACTTTGCCTTCAATACGTGGCTGGGTCGCCGGTCAGCAGGAGAGCTCGCTGGCAATAGGGCCCCGTGAAACCCCAACGAGACAGGATCGTACTCACCATCGTTGCAGATATACCGGGGTAACCGATCAGAAAATTGCCATTCGGCGGCCCCGACACTCGCACGAAGGCGGCCATGCTGAAAGCGCTGCACCCGCACCACCATGGGCACGCGGCCGTTGAGAGCGAAGCACTCCGGGGGTACTGCGGGGAGGAAACAACCTCGACGAGCCAGATCCTTCTTGACAGTTCATAGAGAGGGGAGGAGACGAGCGATTGCCGCTTGATCGCGCTGCGCCGAGAGCCTTGCGCAGGTGCGGTAAGCGGCCGGGCTGGAGGGAGTTCCTCGGACTCGGACAAGGACCAGGCGGACGAGTTCGATTGACGCACAAGACAGTCGATCTGGATTTGATAGAGTCTAGCGGAATGGAGGGAGAAGAGATCGGAAGCTGGAGAATGGCGGTAAAAGAAGGACTGGTGAAACGACGAGGCGTTCGAACGGGAGGGCAGAAGTCGCAATGAGAAAGTGTTTATTGCCGCCGATGTGGGGGAGGTGAAGGAGAGCAGAAGCAGGTCGAGTCGCAGCGGCTACGGCCAGCCTCGCCTCGTTCACTCTCTCTCTTTCTCTCTCTGCCGTCACCGATCAGCGTCCGTTTCATGCTAAAAAGCACGCGATTCCTCCCCCGTTCTTTGTCTCTCATGTACTCCTACTTCTTCTAGAAAATTGACTATTGACACATTACTAACTCCGGTAATCACCTGGTTGGCGCCATTCATCCAGAGTCCCTCTTTCCCCACATCATGCATCTACTACGGTCCATTCCTTTAGTGCCGTCGTCGCATCTGTCAAGTATCTGCGGTGTACTTCGTATATTCTACAGACTTCCTCCTCGAGTCGTCATCAAATAAGCCCAAACACCACGAGAGCAAAGGGGAACTGGGAACATCCCTCGCCCTTGAGACACCTTGAGCCACGCCATGAGAGATTCCGATCGGTTGCTGCTCACTGCAGAATGCAAATTCACAGCTCGATCGGCTAAGATACCCTGGGTATTAATACGGAGGGGAGGCAGGATGGACGCTGATTGTCGCCAACTAATGCACGCCGTGGGAAGCCCATCGACGATTGGCGGGGAGCGCCCAAATGGCGGGATTCTCGGAGCATCTAGACCGTGCCAGTCCACCCTTACCGCGGACATATGTAAGCTGTAGGCTGGAATCTGGAGGGTAGTCTGTACAGGCCGGGCTGGTGCAGAGTTGCAAGTCTGTCGCTGCGGTCGAAGCGAGGGCGTTCTCAGGCAGATAGGCACCGCGATCTCACCACTTATGTAATCCCCGACTGGCCCTGCCCTCGATTGCCTCTTGTCCGATCAAACTATCTCAGTAGATCCTCCTGATGCTTTCAGTAGTACCTCATCCATACACAGGAGAGATCTCGATCCTCAGGAGATCTTCTGCACGACATCCTCCCAGTCCCCTTGGATGCCCGCAAACTGTACATGAGCGGACCTCCCGTTGCCCGGTGCAACAAGCGATGACATCGTCATTCTCCACAGCCCACAGCTTGGCCAGAACCATACTTCGACCTGCTCTGACTTCTACTGCGAAAGACAAATCCACCCTTTATTTGCTCACAGGCTGATCTCTGCTCCGTCCTATCTCTACAAAGCTCTCTCGTTCTACTACACCCGCAAAGATGCCGCCTGCTCGTCGTCGCGGCGGTAATACCGTCGCTCAACGCTCCGGCCAGTCCACCCTATCATTCGGTTCCAAGTCCAGGGTCACCAAACCCTCTGCCACCACCCCCTCCCAGAAGTCAAAGGGCCTCGATGCCCTCACTATTCTTCCCGGGAAGCCGTCCCACGATGCGATCTCGGAGCCGGAAGAATCACCGGCGACCCCCTCAGAGCCCCATGTGGCGGAGATCGCCGTGAAGGATCAAGCCCAGACGGAAATCCAACAGCCTTTGACCGAGGAGGAGGAGAAGGCGCTCAAAGTCACGGAGCAGGACCTACGGCAGTATTGGAAGAAGGAAGAGGCCAAGAGACGGGCCCCTCGAGGTTGGTTTCAAGTGACCCCAGGCCATCGGGGCCGTAGCGGCTAACCATTCTCTCCTCCCCAGTGCATCAAGGGGAGCTGTCGTTGCACGAGAAGATCTTACGACTCTTTGACCTCTCGAGTCAGTTTGGGGTATGTTCAGTCCCATTCATCGTCTCCGCCCTCTTTCAACCTTTCCCCCCTTGTTTTCACAAAACAAAAGACTCCTTTGTCTAACCATCCGACTAGCCGTGCATCGGAATCGCTCGACTAAAGCGTTGGAGGCGTGCCAACACGCTAGGCCTCAAGCCTCCCATCGAGGTTCTGGCTGTGATGTTGAAGAATAATGACGATGCGAAGCAGAGAGCCTACGTCGATGAACTCATGTCTTGAGTGTTTTGGAATCCCCAAGGGCGATCAGATCGACCCGTACTTTTTACCATGACTTAATACGAAAAGGACCTACGGAGTATACGGGCCTTTATAATTAGGATGAAGCAGGGCGTTAGGGATTTCTGTACATACCCGTTTGAATCTGACATCTCCGGTGTTGTCTGAGCTCATCCTTTCTACGGTCCTGCATATTGAGCGGTCATAGCTTTAACAGTTGCATCTAGTTGAAGAGAAGCAGGAAAAAGGAGCTCACCCTCGTTGGCCCAAACATGCGTTGGCTCGCTACATGTGATGGTTGCAATCGTCTCCCGCTTGTCGCACGGTTTATATGAACTGTCCAACCTATGGAGCATACTGGCCTGTCAGCAAAACACCTGGTTTGACCTTGGAAGTCTCCACCTCTAACAAAGGATTTTAAACTGGCTAGAACAAGCAAATCCACGCCTCTGCGGTGCTACCATGTCTTTCTTGACTACCTGCTTGGCAACGGGCACGAGGTGCATTGCCATCCACAGAACTGCAGCCGCACAGCAGAACCGCGTCCCCTCGCCAAAACCCCTCTTCCAGCAGGGACAAGGTTTTGACTTCTGGGGTACCGCTCGCCGCATGGTGGTTCGGCGTCAGAACCCGATCCTGGCTACCCTGGTCGACTTCGTGCTTATGGCTTGCAGTCGGATACCGGTCCAAGCAGCGATGTTACCTTGGCTGTCGTTGCCGATGCGCTTCCATGGACCCTTATTAGCTATTTGTCTCGTCATCACATGGGTTTGCCCCTCTAACTATTTCTTGCCTTCTTACACGGCAGCAAATATTCCGCTAAGCGCTTCGCTCGATGCTACATATCCATGCAGATATCATCCGCTTGGTGGCTATAATTACCTCCACTCATGTGGTTCCACCATTTTCACGCCGGTGGCTTGCTATTCCACTTTACATGTGTTCTTTGTGTAGTGTTCCAGAGGGGGTACGCGTTGTAGCTACACCTGTACCACGTCAAGACGGAACTTCATCGATCTCAATGGCGGGGATGACTTAAACCTGGTCGGTTATGCTTTACCGCAAAGGTTACATGGTGCACTCGCCGACGCTTGATTGGGTGTGTTCGGACCATGTTCAGAGACTGGCTCTCGCGATGAGCGCACAAGTCTGTCAGTTAGACGTCAAGCTTCCTCCCAATCAGTCGCATGTGACGCAAGATCCAAAGAAATCGAGCCCCCGGGTGAAGAAGATATAAAAGCCCCTCTTATTCTCTCGCTCCCTCCCCGTTGAAGCTCTTCTCGTCCACCAACTTCCACTCGTTACGTACTGGCCAATCCTCCCCTCAATTACTACATTCGTTTCTAACCCAACCAAAGCGTGTATTCTAGTGTCGAGGTTTTATAAGTTGTTTTATCGTTCCTGGGTTGCCAAAATGAAGTTCTCTGCCGTCTTTGCTGCTCTGTTGGCCGCTGGTATCGTCAGTGCGCAGTTTGGCAATATTCCCCAATGCTCGGTGAGCTTTGTCCAGCATGGTTCTTTCTACGACTTCACTGACCTCTCTCGATAGGTGCAATGTCTGCTCGACGCGCTCACCAAAGATGGATGCGATCACTTGACTGATTTTGCATGTCACTGTCAAAAGCCCGGGCTAATCCAGACGGTCCAGCCTTGCGTCGAGAAAGCGTGCGCCCAGCCCGAGCAGGCTGGTGAGTAATCGATCTTCACCCCCGTGCTACGGAGTATAGGTCTGACTCTTTCCTCACGATCCGGCATAGCCGTCTCCAGTATCGTTGTCGACCAGTGCTCGAAAGCCGGTCACCCCATTTCTGTGCCGCCGGTTGGGGGAGGTGGAGGATCTGCTACATCTGCCCCTTCCTCTCAATCGGCATCCACGACCTCGGCGGGCATGACCCTTCCTACCGTCTCGTCTTCGGCCCATGGCTCATCGGGTCAGGCCGGGTCTTCGTCTCATCCGGCTTCATCATCGCCAGGCGGAGGTGCAGGGGGTGCAGGCGGGGGCTCGGGCTCAGCTAGCCATACGCCGTCCGGCTCTGGCTCTCCCACGTCTTACGCACCCACGGCCACCTCGTCCACACTCCTCGCGACCGGCGCGGCTTCCCATCACAAGGATAACATGGTCGGTGTGGTTGTTGCTGCTGCGGCCGCCGTTTGCATGTTCTAGATCGGAAATGTTTCCGCGACTTGCTTTTTTACGAAGTTAATGGCAGATTGGCTTGGATGATGAGATGAGATGGACCGTCCCTGTTGCCTTGTGATTTGTGACACTGTATGTCCATATACAGTAACTGCCTTTCCCTGTCTCGCTTCGTTTACTCTATCCTGTTCCATTATTCTCTTCTTCCCTCTGCTTGTCTACTCTGTTCCTGACCGAAATCGTGCCCTAAGCTCGAGAGCCAGGGCACCAGATGAAAGGAAGGTATAGAGAGCAAGGTCATCCGCACTCATCTTGCTTGTTACAAGCTTTGTTTGTGTGTTTCGGGTGCATTTTCTTCTCAATATTTAATGTAACTTCTTGCTCTTGCTATACGATGATACTCGTTGCTGGGTCTTTTCGGAGTATTCTCGAATGGTTCCCTTCCCTGTAGAGTCCAATCGTGCCATGTAAGGTACTTCATCCATATGGGTGACTCCTATTTTTAGAATTGCCAGTTCCACCCAAGTCGTTATGCAATGCCAAACGATTAAACAGCTAACCGAATGCAGGGGACGTCATCGGCAAACGCACCCTCTCGGCCCAACTACATCCATGAACATAAAATGGAGATCAACTTTGCCTGACGGTCCGTCATTTTTTTCATCTTGCAACCCTCCCTCTCTTCGCTTCTTTTCTTTTCTTCTTTTGTATCCCCTCTTATACCCCTCTCTTCCATTCCTTTTTTCTCCTCCCCTCTTCTCTCTCACTCTTCCTTCCTTCACCCGCCCAAACTCAACGACAGCATGACCTTCACGACCATCTCCAAGTACTAGTCTGTTTTCCTTCTTTCAATGAGCTCAATACCGAAGCTCTTTCGGAGGCTTTTTTGAGCGAATTAGAAAGTGCTCATGGTAAGGAAGTCACAACAGACCAGTATCACTATATGGTGACCGCGCAATGATCGAAATCCTGATAGATCGGGAACTCTGGTAGAGTACGTCGATAGGTATGCGTGGTATTTAGCTCTCTGGCTGACTTGAATAAATCGCTTTGCAAGCTGGCTGACGATCGTCGATTCAACGCCTCAGAATCTGTTCCCTGTTGGTTCGATCGTCGTCCCATTCCTGTGCTCATCGTTGGTCTTGACGCCTTCGCCTTCGCATTTTCATCATCTTCCTCGATGCTCCCCACCTTTTAAGAGCTATACCTACACGTTTGTCTGGTTGTCTATGGTCATATAATTCTGCCTTGATAGCTTGTGAGTATTTCACTGCTCGCTAGGTACGAAAATAAAAAAGGTGACGGGCTTTCGGACATCCTTCACACCCAGTTCTCTAACGCGAGTACCAAGAGGACGTTAGAATCCTACGTATCTCTCTGGACGACTTTGGTACAGAAGTTCCAAAACAGAACCGGTCGGCTTCATTTCTCATTACTACCGACCACCAGGACAAAAGGCGAGAACACTCAGGGTTTATTCTTGTTTATAACTTTGCTGTGGCTGTCTGCAGTGGTGGTGAGGTGAGGCCTATGTCGAAGGCTGCATTGATCTACTAAGTGTATTTCTTTCTTTCCCTTTCCTCATGTTGCTACAGTCATTGACTAACATGTCAATACAGCAACAAGAAAGCAGACAAGACGATACCATCTCTTTCTCCCGACAATAAACACTCCTGGTCTTGAACATTCACCAGGCCTGACCTCACAAAATCGTTTTCAACGCCCCCTCTTTAGACACGGTGGTAGAGGTGAACGAGGTGAACGACAAGAAGATTGACATCGGGTGTACAATGGTTCTACAGAGTAGGTATTTGGTGTGTGGTGGATGCTTGTGACAGGATCAAGTTTGGTTTATATGAGATACCTAGATGACGAAATGAGAGTCCGAAAGGTGAGTCTCTAACTGGAAACCCCATGCCGTGGTACGACACTAATACGAACTTATCATACATAGACCCCTGAATACCTCATTCAACAGACCTTTGATTCTGTGTTTTCATCATGGGCCGTTCTACCCCCGTGGCCCGTTCTACACCCCGTCCAAAACTTTCCCGCAGCGTGTCCCCGCAAGAGTCCCTCGGTGGCACCCGCTGGATCGTGGTCCATTTCCACGAGTGGGTCCCAGCTGACAACATCGACATCATGGAGGTCGTCGTGCTCGAGAAGATGCGGAGCCGCGAGTATCAATGCTACACCGACGAACCTTACGAGGACTACTACACCTACAAATTCGAGGTGAACATCCCGGCTAATGTGGAGTCAGAGAAGGGTTGCCATAACACGGCTGCTATACTCGCTTTATTGTCATCTTGATCTGATTGAGATTGGACGACATTTAAGTCTACACTAACAAAGAAGCGATGCAAGATCTCCGACCACAGGCTTCCGTTCGCGTGCTCCTGCGATTTCAACAGCCTCTCGGCTCAAACACAAGAGCCGCTGCACGATGCAACACTGATTATCACACCGACAATGGTACTTGTTTTGAATGGTGCAGCACAAGGAGAAACTCATCACTCCTCATCATGAAAAGCTGCAGCTGAAATGATCGAAAAAATGGATCCGTAAGAAAGTTGACGCCGTCGATGTTCAGAATGGCAGTTGCCGTAGTGATGTGAGTGACAGTAAGACTCGGTTGTGACATGGTGGTGACAAAGGAGAGAGAAGACCAAAGATAAGATCGTACACTAATGAGACACTTACCATGAGAGGTACGCCTTGCGGTTTAAGTATTGTTCTGGGGAGATGAAGGATTGCTGATTGATGTCGGTCCATCCCACATGTCCATCGGCATCCCGTCGACATTTGTTAGTCGGCATCCCACCCAGTGATGATCATCAGGGTTGGTTAGCCTGATAGATAAGTTGGTCAGTTCAAATCATGACGTGGTGTTAATCACCAAGCATTGAACGACCCTTCTATCTGCATGCATCTTCACGATGTCATCGGCTCCTTCTCCCAGCTTACCCAGTCGCTCGAACTCACGCCTAAGTCTCTGCTTGGCTGAATAGAAAGAAATAACAATGTTATTGAGTGATATCGCTGTCGAAAATAGTGTGGAGAATCCCAAAGTACAGGGCAAATATGCATTACGCTCATCATGCCAACGCCAAAATAAACAAACATGGTATGAAAAAGTAACACGGGTCTTGAAATCAGTAATAAGACATAGTATATAAAGATGCATCAAGAAAGCCTCGAGAAATCTATGGCACCCATAGTCGCACAAATCCTCCAACTTCCTGCCGACAAGTCACACAACTTCCGTAATTATTCATAGCCAGATTGACCCGACACTCCTCACACACGCAGAGACATCGACAAGGCCAGGTGATAATAGATCGCGAGTTCATCCGGCAAACCACGCAGGGAGGCCCACTAGGTCCAAGCCCGGAGGCTCCGGATTCCCATGTTTGTCCGTCAACGGGTGCTGCTTGAGAGCGACGCGAGAGGATGAGCTTTTCTAAAATATCGCTCTCTTCTTCCGGCGTGGGTCTTCGTTTCTCATTGCTCGACGTCTGAGCGACCAGGTGAGACGTCCTAGAGGAAATGAGAATCTGGGCTCGCTCGCGCTCCACCTGTTCTCGGAACCGACGGCGAGTCAGAACCCGACCCTCCTGCCCAGCGGAGAGATGCGCGGCGAGAATGCGCGCCTCTTGTCTACTTTCCTGGTCCCGCGGGTCGAGAAGGCGCGCAAAAGAGCTGACGTCCATGAGCGATTCTTGAGCCGGCGTGCTTTCCCGAGAGAATCCGGGTGGGAAAGGCTCGGCCAGCGTGGGTGTCCGGCGACCATCGGATTCGTCCTCCCATTCGGAATCGGCCACTGTAGACATTGAGACGACGCTAGTCGTGTCGTCCACATCTTCGACAGACGGGACGTAGTCGGCACTGTGATCTTGGTTTCCCCACGAGCCCCCGGCTTTCCACCAGCTATAGAGCGTTTCGTCGAGTCGCCCTTCATCTGTCGGTTTCCAGTCCGCGGTATTCGAACGCTCCCGCTTACGCATCTCTCGTTCGACATCGAACTCGTGATCCCCCGGTAGCTCTAGCTCGCCGTCTTCCGTCAGGATCCAGAAGTCGTACGATTCGACCTTACCGCCGGTTTCTCTCTCCTGAACCCCCTTTCGGCGAGGCCCTATAAGCTTCGCTAGCCACTGTGGGCGTGCCGCGATGCCAAACTTGTTGAGCAACTTGTCTAAGCCGCGGGCCAGCCACCCTAAAAGAAGATAGAAGATTCCTCGGAAGAAAGAGAATCCATGGTACCATCGGATCGCTCCCCGCAATACACCGACGCCACCTGCATCAGTCCTAGAACGTACTGATCGAGAGCCATTTCTAGGTTTCTCAATTTTCTTCTCCCGACCATATCCACTCTCCCACTCAGGCGGCGGTGCCTGGAGCGAGTCGAAATTCATGGTGTCCGCGCCTTCGAACGGCGCACCTTGAGCCTCAGTAGCCCAACTCTCGCGAGGTCGGTGTCTTCGTCGGGACGACTCAATCTCTGCGAGGCGATCCTCCTCCAACCACGTCATCTCTCGAGCAACCACCCCTTGGCCTTCGTTCAAGAAGACTGCCTCACTGGCAGCAAACATAGCGGTGTATCCGGTTCGAAGCAGAGCAGTGTAAAAGTCCTCGTGTCGATTGAAGCGAAGATTTTGGATCTGCGAGGCGCCTTGCATGTTCTCATGGGCCACAGCAAACCGCTGTCGAAGCGACGGTCGCGGAGAATCGCCTACAGGCAGCGAAAAGGAGGTAATGGCGAGTGCGATGGAGTAGATGACCCCGCAAATGATAGTACCGATGAAGAGGGCTAGATGAGGTATAAACCCCACGATGCAAACCGTTGGGAACTTCACCACCACACCGTCGGGTGCCGCAGCCAAGCTGTTGAGTAAGCCCCATGCCATAGTCGACATAAAGCAGAGACCCCAGAAGGCGGTGTTGAAGAAGCGATAACGGTTTTGCTTTCCAAGGATATCCAGCACGTTCGATGTTAGGCTGTTGCAACACGATATTAGAGCGATAAGAAGCAATTCCGGCGTGACGTTCATCCGCTCCAAGACTTGGGCTCTGCTCAAGATTTGAGCAGCCGATTGGCTACCATCGCCGGAGTCTCCTTTGCTAGCACTCTGCTTTGGCAGACCGAATAGTCCCAGACCAAGGGATTGAGTGATTGTCGACTCAGCCTCGGCAAACGCGAGCGAATGCTCAAAGATCGACATCCCAGATTCCGTCACGACAGCCCTTCCTTGTAGCGCGCACGACAGAGTATCCACGAAATGATTCAGACAGAGGCGGAGAAAGACCGGCCACAGAAGGCCAAACGATCCATGCGAGAAGTCCGACGCGCTCGTAGGGCGACTCATGCGCACCGCACTGCACGATTGTTCGTCCGTTTCCCATGGTAGAAGCGTAGATCCCAGGGAATGTAAGAAGCCTCCCCCTCCCCCAAAGTCAAACAGCAGTCGCTTCCCGGGTGAGCCGTAGCGAAGAAGCGAGTAATCTGGGGAGGTCTGGCACCGTATAGCACGGAGTACGGAATGAATTTGAGTTAGGAAAAGGAGAATGGGGATGATTCTCAATGCAAGTCGTCGGGTCCAGTCAAGATGGATAGGGCGTCTGGTGGATGCATATATCGTGATCCTATTTACAATAAGGGCCTTGGGTTGGTCAGAATCATTCAACCGGGATGCATGTTCTCCGGCGAAGGGGATCTTACTACCGTGAAGCAGGCCAGTGACCACCGACTGGTGAGGTATGAAAAGAAGCCGCTGAATCTGATCAACGCTTGAAGTATATCGGCAAAATGGCTTCCGGTGTCAGCCTGGCCGACAGCCTCCGCCACTCCTTCTCGAGCAACATTCGCAGCCTGGGCTGTTGCAGCTGCCACGTCGCCGGCCGGTGCCGCACCGGCGCCACCTCCCCCGAATAGAGTAGCCATTTGCTGCAATCCCACCAATCTTCCCAGGCGTCTCGGCAAGGTGGAGAAGGCAAAATGTTCTGCTTGATAGAGTCCCCGGAAGGGAAGGGCGAGAAGGTCACGCGGAGAGAGTACAGATGTGGTGATGGTTGTCGTGTTTTTGAGTGATTGCGCGGCGGCTGTGGTAGCAGCCGGGCTGTTCAAGATGCTTTCAGGGCCTTGCAGGGCAGACATGGTGGGAAAATGCGGAATCTCTATCCCTCCGAGGGATTCGCGGTGATAAGAGGATCATCCGCCTCGGAGGCGGGACGGAAAGGAAAGAGGGAATCGAAGGATAAGGATCACCAGGACAAGATCAAATGTAAAAGGGAATGTAAAGCGATCGTCCAAAGGGGCTTCATAAACCCCTAGTCGGGCAGGACAGGCAAAGTGAGAGGAAATGAAGGAGAGAGTGAGATACAAGATCGATCTGATGGACCGGGGACCAACTTGTCATCCGCGCTGGCGTTGGGGGGGAGAGGGCACTAAACCCGCTTGGGACGGAGGGATTCGCACGTGCCTCCGCGGTGGTTCTTCGCTCCTTCCTCTTCCTGTACGGAGTCGATGCAGGGTCTCAGGGTCTCCGGGTCTCTCTGGGATCCCCCGAGTAGACTACAAAGCTTCTCGATGACTTCCCCAACAAACATGGTGTGGTTATCGCCACCCAGACCCGAGCCGAGGTTCCTGTCTCAGGCATTCAGGCACCAACTCGGACAGACCAGACTCTGTTCATTTCCAACTACGGAGGTGAAAGTGCAACGGTGGTCAAATTCGTCAATTCATTTCATTTCAATTATTCTCGTGGCGGACCTAACAAAGCCCCCAATATTTCCGAGCAAATACTCACTAAATCCCCCGGCTAACCCTGATCACAGCTTATACATCTCACTGCGGCTCCGTGCCCCGTCGAAAATGCAGGTGTTATCCAAAGGCACGTACTGCCGGGTAAGCACCTTCAAGACCTCCTGGGCGACGAGGCCACCTGTCAAAGCGGAGATGTTGTGGAGCTCGCCGCCTTCGGTGCGTCGTAGCTCCTGGACGGCATCCAAAATCCGTTGGTAGGCGTCCTCGTCCACGGCCGAGGGGTCATCGCGATTCAACGCACCGACGATGCGCGTTACTTGAGCGTTCCACGTTGTTTCATCTGCCAGGGATCCGGCCGCTCCCTTTTCTTGGACTTCGGTCACGACGCCATCTAGCGCCTGGAATGCGACATAGATCGGCATCAGGGACTCCTCGTTGCCCAGCTGGTTACGAATGGTTTTGAGAGTGTGTGCGTCGCCGTCCACGCGCGGGATAGCACGGCCGTTGATGACCTTGATGTGAGCAGCGTTTTTGCAGAAAATCTCGATTTCCTTCTCTTGCACTTCAAGGAAGCGGCCTCCCTCCAACTGGGCCTCCAGTTTCCGAACAATTTTCGTGACCTCTTCCACGTCCTTCTTGGCCTTTGCTTTGTAGATGTTCTGCAGCGAAACGTAATCGGCCGATTGGGCCTTCATATCGGGGAGCGAGCCCGGAAGAGGCAATATTTGATGTGTCTCGTAAAACTCTCGGACGGCCGCCGCGATGAACCAGAAATCCGTCGACTCCGGTTTGATGTTTTTACATTCCTCCGCCTCGAAGATCTCGCGAAGCGAACTACGCAGGCTGAACGGGTTCAGCGCCTTCAGCACCGCGGCAACCGCTTCGTCATAATTCTCCTCGCCGCCTTCCGGGTTTTCCGTTCGTGCGCCAGATCGCACTAGCTCCCTGAACTCGGTCTTCTCCTTGTAATTGGAAGGGACCTTGCCGTCGTGCGTTTGCTTCCACTGCTCGAGATAATGTAGGAGCAGTAGTAGGTACGGCACGTGTCCGTGCTGATGGTCGTCCAAGCTATCAAGGGCACCGATCCGCTCAGCAGCGGCCGACAGCTCGAGCCAAGGAGTGAGGAGACGAAGATCTTGCGTCGTCTCCGGATCTGGGTGCGTTTCTACAATAGGAAACAGTGGCGGCAACTGAACAGAAAAGCTAGAGTAGAACCCGACGGAGCGCAGATAGAGCACGGGAATGTTGTACTCCCTCGCGGCATTACAGACGGCATCCAGCGACGAACGCTTGATCGGCCCCGAGATCACCACCAGCTTGTGCAGCGGGAGAAACCCGGGATCGGGTAAAAGTTCCGTGACAGGCTGCGGTTATCTTTATTAGCATACACGTTTCTTGTTTGCTCGGTTCAGGAAGAGGGTGCGCGAGATACCTTTGAGTGGAAGCTCCCGTCTACATCCGGGTTCAGCTCCTTCAGCAAACGACAGGTTTCCTCGGCTCGGGACTTGCCCAGACTCTCGTGCTCGAGAAAGAAATTCACCCCCAGATCGGCCTCGGTGACGACGGCGGGATCGACAATCGTGAATCCTCCAATGCCAGGTAGGACGAGGTTCTTAAGGGTCTCCACTCCCGCTACGCCCGCCACGCCGGAGTCCTGGGCGGACCAAGGCCCGTCGTTGTTGATCAACAGCACGCGGGAGTCTTCGAGAGCTTGTTGGCCACTCGCAGCCCACAGACGCAGTTGCCGGTCATATTTTCTTTCCTTGGAAGACGGCCCAACCAGGGCGCTGGGGAATTCGTCCGTCATGAGGGGTAAATATGACGGGACGAAGATGGAACGAATAGGCGGAAATGGAACTGGATGGATGGAAAGGAACAGAAAAAGAAAAAGATAGAGATAGGCCAGGTCGAGTAATTCAATCAGAATAGCCCGCCTGGGTGAACCGACTAAGACTGGCGATCGTCTGGACGGTGTTGGACTGTTGATGACCCAGAGAGCCGCCCGTCACCTGACGTGAGGTCGAGGCCTGAGGCTGCCAAGGCCCTATGACGACACTCCATATTATTCTAGTCAGTACTATTAACTATGCACTACGACTGGTCTCCAATTCCAAAATAATTCCTCCTACATTGAATCCTGGACGGAGCGGAGAGGAGCGCCCCGACCGCGATGCACCCCGTTTCCCCGCCATGTGGTGCAGTTCCTGTGTAAGTCCTTCATCCCTACTCAGTGCCTATCTACCGTAGTAGGTTTCTTCCCCCCCACATTTGATGGTTTGGTTCCCCTCCCCAATCTGGTATCTGCAGCCGCTAGAGCGAGTTGTGACTCCTCTTTCCTATTTTCTATTTATTTATTGATTCTCTCTTAGACTCCGGTTCTTGCGCCTCGCTGTTCCTCTCTCTTCTCATCTACGTTTACCACGTCTCCTCTCTCTGCGCCGTGCCCCGCTTCGTCCCGCCACCTGCCGTCGTCAATCCACGTCCACAATGGCCAACATCGTCGAAGAAGCCAAGCGCGCCGCCGGTAAGACCGCCGTCGAGAATCACTACCCTAAGGATGCCAAATACGTCGGCATTGGCAGCGGTTCGACGATCGTCTATGTCGTCAAGGCCATCAAGGAACTCGGCATCGACACCTCCAACACCAAATACGTCCCCACCGGCTTCCAGTCCAAGCAGCTCATCCTCTCGCACGACTTGACCGCTATCGATTTCGACTCCATCCCCGAGGGAACCGTCTTCGACGTTGCCTTCGACGGCGCCGACGAGGTCGATGACGATCTCAACCTGATCAAGGGCGGCGGCGCCTGTCTGTTCCAGGAGAAGATCGTTGCTCTCCAGGCCAAGGAATTCATTTGTGTCGCGGGTCAGTAGCGACAGGGGGTGGCCGTGTGTTAGCCCAGGGGAGAGACATGAGCACTAACCCGTTGATAGACTCGCGCAAACTCCAATCCCGTCTTCTGTCCGGCTGGAAGTACATCCCCATCGAGGTGGCCCCGTTCGCCGTCCATCGGGTTCTCTCCGCACTCAAGGAAATCGGCAGCATCAACCCTACCGTGCGCTTGAGCCCTGCCGCCAAACCCAACACTTCCCTGGAGGGTCCCCTCAAGACCGACCAGGGATTCTACATTGTCGACGCGCCCTTCCAGACCCTACTGACGAAGGCGGACGTGGCGGCCGGTCAGGACGGCAATGGCAAGGGCGGAGTCTGGGAGGTCGAAGCGCTCTCCCAGGCCATCAAGCTGATTCCCGGCGTCCTGGACGTGGGTATCTTCTCCGGCCCGACGGGCCCGCAGGCTCAAGCGCAGGGTGGCATCGGAGGCCAGAAGCCCGTCGCCGCCTACTTCGGTATGCCCGACGGCTCCGTGTCGGTCAGAAAGGTCGCTTAGAGATAGAGGGAGATATCTTTACCGATTACATGAGAAACGCTCGGTGGATGAGATACGGTGAAGAGATTTAAAGATGATACCATGAAGATATTAGCATAAATTTGGATATTCCCTTTGGCATAATCGACCGAATCAAGTACGGTGGAGAGAAAGATAGAGAGAGGACTACAAGGTGGTCGTTTCAGATCCAAGACCTCATGGCTAGTTATAAGCAATCTCAATGTTCATTATAGCGGCGACTTACTTGCGATTGTTTATTTAGCGCCCTTCCCCTTCGCCTCCGTTTCTCCCAGCTCTCGCACGTAGATCGCGACCGTGCCCTCGGCCACGTCGTCCTTCCCATCTTCAAACCCGGGGCTGATGGCCACCGCCAGATACCTCCCGTTGCTGCTAAAGTCCACCGCGGCCACGCTCGACGGGTACTTCTGGTACTGCCGGATTCTCCTCTTCGCGATGCCATCCCACAGGGCGACCACTCCGTCCCCGCCGCCCGACGCAAAGGTGCCGTGGACCGGATGGAACGAAAGCGAGTTCACCGGGAACACCACGTCCACATCATCCGCCGTCTGTCGATGACACTTGAAAGCGTACTTCCGTGCCTGCGACTCGGCGGACGGGTCGAACCACTCCACCGCCACTCGCCCTTCGATGCTCGACGACGCATATCCCGCATCGTCGGGCATGCAGGCCACGCTGCGTGTCATGAACTTGAGACTGCTCTCCCGCCGCTGCCACGGCTCCACCTCGACCTTGTTCGGGACCGCCCCGTCCGCCTGCGCCGTGAGAAGCGCCAGGGCTTTCAGATCGTAGATATTCAGCGCGCGCGAGGCCATAGCGACGACCAGTTTCGTGGCGGTGAGAGACATAGAGAAGGGCTTTGAGGGGAGGGGGATGATCGCGGGTATAGAGTCGGTGCCGTCGGTGCGGTGCACATGTAACGTCGAGTCCCAGGAAGCCGAGATCACCAGGCTATGTTCCTTGCTGTAGACAACGCTTCGGACACCGGCATCGTGGCTGCTCAGCACCGTCTGAGTCGATGAGGTTAGGTCGATTCTGTACACCATTAACATCACATGCCCAGCAGAGTCGTCCGATCGAATGGCACTCACTTCTTGACGTCCCAGTCCAAACCGGCCGTGTAGATCTCATCCTCGTTTGCGCCAAAGCACACGTCCAGCACCGGGGCGCGGTGCTCGAATGTCTGTAACAACTTTCCCTCCCCGACGTTTCCGTTCTCATCGCGCAGCTCGTACAGGTAGACGTTCTTATCCCACGACGATACCACGAATCGCGTCGAGTTGGGATCGGGGGAGAACTTCAGCGCCGAGATGGCGTCGGACGGCGGTGAAGCGACAGTGAATTGATCTGAGAGGTAATCAGCATTCCAGGCGCTCTGTCAGAAATCATCAGGAAACTTACTTGATGCCATTATTTGGGACAAAGGAGTAGAATTGGCGCGCTGCGTCTAGCGGACGTGGATCGCCCGGCGTCATCGAAGCTTCGTTCTTTCAGGTCGTTTTCTGCCGTCCACCACCGCCTTTGGATATTCTCCCCGCCATTATCGGCCGCCTTCGAGATCCTCCTCCAAACTTCTACAGGTCGATTTGATCCGATTTCTCCCTTTTTCTTCTGCAAGGTCTCATCATGCCCTTTGCACAGCTGGTCATCGGACCCCCCGGTGCGGGCAAGTCCACGTACTGCAATGGAATGCATCAGTTCCTCGGTGCGATTGGCCGCAAATGTTCGATTGTGAATCTGGACCCCGCAAATGATAAGACGTCGTATCCGTGTGCGCTGGACGTCCGCGATCTCGTTACGCTGGAGGAGGTCATGAGTGAGGATCACCTGGGTCCGAACGGAGGCATTCTGTATGCCATGGAGGAGGTGGAGGAAAACTACGAGTGGCTGGAGGAGGGGCTGAAGGAGCTCGGAGGTAGGAGCATTCTTTACGACGCACAATGATCTTGCTTCATCTACTGACGAACCATATTGGCGGGAACAGATGATTATGTTCTATTCGACTGTCCCGGACAAGTCGAGATCTTCACACATCATTCGTCGTTACGCAACATCTTCTTCCGACTACAGAAGTTGGGATATCGAGTGCGTATACTTCTTTCCCTTCATCTCATGGTCTCTGGAAACACCCCACTAACAAGAACTGACAGCTGGTCGTCATCCACCTAATTGACTCCTACAACCTCACCCTCCCTTCGATGTATATCTCCGCCCTCCTCCTCTCCCTCCGCGCCATGCTCCAAATGGATCTCCCCCACCTCAACGTCCTGACCAAGATCGACAACCTCTCGAACTACTCGCCCCTCCCGTTTAATCTAGACTTCTATACTGAAGTGCAAGACCTCAACTATCTTCTTCCGCATCTCGAATCCGAGTCCTCCCGCCTGTCGCACGAGAAATTCGGACCGCTGAACAATGCCATCATTGAACTCGTGGAGGAATTCGGACTGGTTGGCTTCGAGACGCTAGCTGTGGAAGATAAGAAGAGCATGATGAGTCTACTGCGCGTGATCGACCGAGCTAGCGGGTATGTGTTTGGGCCGGCGGAGGGCGCCAACGATAGTATTTGGCAGGTCGCAGTGCGGGAAGGACTTGGGACGATGGATGTGCGCGACGTCCAGGAACGGTGGATCGATGCCAAAGACGAGTACGATGCGAAGGAGCTCGAGGAGCTGGAAGCCGAGGCGAAGGCGAAAGAGGAGGCTGCGCAAGCTGCCGGGGCTACCGCACCGACAGATGACTTTGGGGACGATTACGATGACGATTTCGGGCGAGGGCCGATCCCCGACGGTGGTGTGAAGGTAGTGCGCAAATCATGACATGAAATCTTGCTCGTTTCTATACTATACATGTGTATCATAGGGTATCTTCTAATGACTTCAAAACTTTCGCCCAATCATGACTGATGCTTCGTTCTCAACCAACACCGCTTGTCTTGTTGTAATTGATGAATCAATCATCATCACTCTCCATCGCCATGTCCTCATCATTATTGTCCCCCTCGTCGCCCATAACCGCCGCACCCGCATCATCCTCCGCCAGACCGCAAACCAAATCCCCCAAAACACCAACCTCCTCCGTCTGGCGCACCCGCAAGATCTCCCTCCTCGCGCGCCGAATCGCCTCCTCCTCGGCCTTCCGCATCGTCCCGGAGACCCGGATCACGCGAAACACGCACGGTCTTGTCAGCGCCGGGCCGGCGCCTTTCGATCGACTGGGGTTGCCGTATTCCGGTACGTGGGACATATATGTGAGGGCCGTCCAAACGAGACGGAAGGACGCGCGGGGACAGCGGATTATCGCTGTGGATGTTGCGGGGGAGAGGTATTTTACTAGAAAGCCACCGGATACCCATGTTAGTGATCTGCGTTTAGGATAAAGGTAAAAGAAGGAGGAGACGTGCCGCTGATACCACCGGCTCCGACACCACCTAGTCGACCGATGCCCCAATCGCCAAAGGTTTCGGCTACTTCTTCGCGGACCATCTTAGCCAGGAGACCTGGCGTTAGCGCGTCGGATGTAGGTGCGTGGATCTGGATCTGGGACTGTGATCGCGACGAGACATTTTTGTGCTGGTGTGTTGTTGAGGGCCACGATGACGGGTCGGGGTAGAGGATGTCGAGCAGGAGGTAGCGGTGTTTGAGACGGACCATTGGTTCGGTTTCTGAAAAGTTGGGTGGTGGTGGTTTTAGCCTGGTGGCAGATCGATAATAGGTTAGGAGGTAGTAGGTGGTCGCGAGAATTCGAAAAGTCGAAGAGTTTGTCTGAAAGGAGAATTGAAGGTTCAACGATGGAAGCGTTGGAGTATGAAAGTCCGACAAGGTCAGGCTTTTCGCCAATCCGAAGTGGGGAAAGCGGCAGATCTTCGCTCCCTTCCAGAAGGACGCCAGAAGGACTCGGGATATCGACAAGACTGTATAGTGTATACAACACTAGAATTTACAACTACAAGGATCCAAATAGAATAAACAATTGAATTGAACGGTCAACGGCCGTACTCTTGTGATTCGTCTAAAACCAGATGCTTACTGCACCATGCTCAGTTGCGTAGAATTCATCAACCTTATCAGCTGGTCATGCCACATGTGCACACTATAGATTGTAAATTGGAAAAGGAAAAGAGGAAAAAAGGAAATCAATGCAAAACGCAAGCCATCATAACTCCAACGTCAGATAACATGACGGATTTTGACGAAATTACCAGCATCCCACACTGGCCACTTCCACCGCATAAGAAAAAGGAAAAATCAGAGTATTAGTAATTCGGTATATGTAATTAGAGGTTGACCTCGACACGGCCTTCCGAGCCACCCTTCTGGAGAGCGGGGAGCAGGTAGGTGATGTCGTCCCAGGGGTGACGGTACAGACCGGTGCGCAGACGCTTCTGGTCGAGGTAGTGGGCAATCAGACCCATGCTACGGCCGAGAACGAAGAGACCGTTCAGGACACCCATGCGCATGTAGTCCTCAACCTCCTCGGGGGAGAAAGCGCCGCAGTTGCGCATGAGGTCGACGAAGCAGACAGCGACACAGCCGTCAACGTTCAGGATCAGGTTGTCCTTCTTGGAGGTGGTGACGGTCTCGACAGCGATGGCGTAGTCGAGCAGCTTGGTGCTGGGGAAGTGCTTCTTGGCGTACTCCTTGACCAGCTCGACACGCAGATCGGGGTTGTTACGGGACTTGATACGGTGACCAATACCGGGGACTAGAAGGCAGGTTAGCTAAAGATCCAATGCAGAGTTGAAAACGAAGGAACGTACTCAGCTTGTTCTCCTTGCGCATGCCGTCGACGAAGTCACGGGGGCTGAGACCCTTGTCGAAGGCCTTGGTGAACTCCTCGGCGGCACCGTCAAGGGCACCACCGAAGCGGGAACCGATGGTCAGCAGACCGGAGACCAGGGCACTGATCAGGTCCTTGCCGGCACGGGTGGTGATGATGGTGTTCATGGCACCGGACACGGCGGGACCGTGGTCGGCAGTAAGCATGAGAACCATCTCCAGGAACTTGCTGGCGAAGCGGGGCAGGCGGCGGCGGAACCACAGAAGAGACATGACACCACCGATACCAATGTCCTCCCTGAAGACATCGGAGATGGGCATACCGGCGTACAGGAGCTCCTGGCCACGGTCGTCGGAGATGGTGGAGATGAAAGCAGCGGGCTTACGGACGAGACCCAGCTCCTGGGCCCACGAGTAGTCGATGGGGATCTTAGGAACGGCAGGCTCGGGCTGGGGCTTGATGAGACCCTTCTGGACCTCGGCGTCGTAGACCTCCTTCAGGGTCTGGGGCAGGTCCTCGAAGGTCTCGGGGACGTGGATACCAGCCTCGCGCATGGCCTGGTTCTTGTTCACAGCGGTCTCCAGCTGGGAGTTGGCGGAGGCACCGGCGTGACCGAACTGAACCTCGGTCTTGAACATGCTAGCGCAGGTACCGATGGCCCAGGCGACAATGGGCTTGGTGATGACACCGTTCTTGACGGCCTCGATGACACGGTACTCCTCAACACCACCGACCTCACCGAGCAAGAGCAGGATCTTGCAGTCGGGCTCGGCCTGGTAGCGGAGCAGATGGTCGATGAAAGTGGTACCGGGGTAACGGTCACCACCGATGGCCACACCCTCGTAGACACCGTCGGTGTTCTGCGAGACGATGTTGTTCAACTCGTTGGACATACCACCAGACTTGGAGACGTAACCAACGGAACCCTTGCGGTAGAGCTTGGAAGCAACGATGTTGTCCATCATACCGCCGGTGTTACCGATCTTGAAAGCACCGGGCTTGATACCTCCAACGGTAGCGGGACCAATGATGGTGATGCCCTTCTCCTGGGCGGTAACCAGGATCTCACGAGCACGCTGTACATCCAATTAGCTGAGTTTTTGCGTTCAAAGAGCTTCAATGACCACATACACGCTCGGGGACACCCTCGGCAATGATGGCGATCGACTTGATCTGGGGGCACTGCATCAACTCCATGGTGGAGCTGTAGACGGAACGGGAAGAAGCGAAGTTGACAACGGTGTCAACGTCGGGGTGCTTCTCCATGGCCTTGGAGACATCCTGGTAGACGGGCAGAAGGGTCTCGCTGGTTCCCCAGTACCTAGATACGGGGTCAGTATTTCAGCCGACAGACTATGTGGGGGGAGGGATTTCTATACATCTTGCTCACGAACTGGCCACCGAAGGTGTAGATGATACCGGCGACGGAGGGCGTGCTACGCTTGCAGATGAAGTCGAAGTCGAGCATACCCTGGACAGCACGGGGCTGCATACCACTGCGATGACCGTCAGCTCCTGTCCTGCGGCCCGTATCTTCGAGTTTCCGGGGCACTTACTAGACGAAACATCTTGTCTTGTTGTGGAAGAGGGTGTGGCTGTGAGGGGAGAGCACTCGGCTGGGGGGAGCGAAGCGGGTGATGTTGTCGTTGGCGTTAGAGCCGCCGGCGCTGACCAAAGGAGCAGAAGCAGGCATGATGATCGATTACTCTGTCAATTCCGGGAGAGTCAGCATCTGGTGTACAAAAGCAATGATGACGGTCAATGACCGGGGGACTCCGTCAATTGTAGGCAAGCAACGAATTGATTGCGATGAGCTTGAGAGCTTGCACTCGGGCTCTTCACGTACCTGTCAACAGAGCACTCTAAACACAATTCGTTAAAAGAGGATTAAAAGTATTATTAGATAGAGTAAGAGGGAAGAGGAGAAGTAGGTTGAGGAGTAAGTTGCAATGATGACAGCAACCTAGGAAGAAGAAGGGAGGGGGAAGTATGGGAAAATGGGAGAGAGAGGAAAGGAGGGAAATGACAATAAACCCAAGAGATGGAGAAAAGTAGAATTGGAGGGGGAGGGCAGATAATGGATGAAGTGGATTTGATGGGAAAGAAATGGAGAAAGTCGAATCGATGGGAATAATAATAGTTCGAGGGCAATACAGCTGTAATTTTGAAAAGAGACAAAAAAAATAGTAATAATCAAATCAACTAAAAAAAAAAATAAAAAAAAATAAAAATCCTGATTTAAAAAATAAAAATAAAAAAGACCAAACAATGGAGGGGCAACGATATCGGGACTGCGATGGGGTCAGGCATGTTCGGGCTGTACGGAGTACGGTATCGTACCTTGGAAGCTGGATACCTTTGGCTGGGTCTTTCACCAGTTGGGGGAAAGCGTCAACGTACTCCGTGTACGCAATTGAAACTAGCGAGGGGATAATAATAACTGATGGGGCGATCCCACGTTGACCAGGCACCAGTATCTAATAGAATGAAAGCATTGACGAAGCTGGTGGACGGAGTACGGAGTAATGAGTATACAGTAGTGACGGGATGGGAACGAGGTGCAGGAAGTATAGAATCTACCGGGTACATCCAGTCCCTGGGGGGGATCCTCAACAGAGTCTGCCGCCGCTCACTCGGGCTGGACGCCGTGGACTGTCGCGCTGAAGATGAGCTCGGGCGGCCCCGTACTCCGTAATACGGCGAATATCTCGTCCCTGCCCACCTGGAGGCGTTCCGGTTGGGACCAGCGCAGTGGAGATCCCTCCCAATGGGTGCAGGGACGGGGCCGATACGCAGCGCCCGGGAAACTGGAGACGCCACTTAGCGGCAGCTCGTCCGAGGCGGTGCTCACCGACTCGACTTGGATCACGCGGTCGTTGTACGTACTACTGTACCTTGTCGCCTCAGGCATCGATCCTGCCGCATCGGCTAGGAGCTGGTACTGTTTAGAGTAGGAGAGTCGACGTTTCTAGAAGGGACGACAGTGCCCAGATCTCCCATATGGCGTGTGGATTAAAGACGGTTGGAGGCTGAAGACTGACATCACCGGGGAAAAGTCTACGGCGACCTCATGGCATACTACAAGTATCAGACCACTTTGGCCGACTACTGGAACAGTTGTCTCATGGTGTCTGACGGGGTCGTCAACAGAACCGAAGCCGAACCCAACAAAAAAGGCGCAGTGCATCCGGAGCAGACCGTGAGGGCGCAAAAAGGGCCGTCAAAGGGGGTTCAGTATTGAGGCTACAGCGTAGGGCAGATACTGAGGCCTAAATACCCGCGCCAGTCCCCAACGAAGACCAGTTGAGACCAGCGACCCTCAGGCTCTAACTCCGGCCCGCTTTTCCCCACCCCACCTCAACACCGCTAATCGCTTTTGGGAGGGGGCTTGACCCGCTCCCTGCCCGAGCTCGGCCCTGAATAGCTGTCCGGGCCCCGTACCGGCGGTGTATCCCCTCGTATCGAGTAAAAAAGAATGAAAAGAAAAAAAAAAAAAAGAATTCCCCTCCCCCTCCAAAACCTCCTCTCTCTCCAATTGTTGCCATCAACAATCCCGTCAATTCTCGGTCAGTATTTTTCAGTGTTTTGCTTTTTTCTTTACCCAGAATTCTTCCCCTATCCGTTAATTTCTCTGCGCCCCATTCCTCCTTTGGTAAGTAAAGATAGTTGTTCGTTTCGGTGACTATCCTTTATTACCGCCAAGCCTGGGATTAAAACAAGAACTTTTTTTGTTTTCCTCTTCTCTTCCCTTCCCCTCCAAATTCCCTCTGTCCTATACTCTCATACCTCTCTCTCTCTACCTACTCTTAATCTGGGGTTGACTTTCCCATACTACTCACTTCTTCTCTCTTTCTCTAACAATCACCTCTTAGACCTTTCTCCTCCCGCTTCTCTCCTCTGATCCTCTTCTCCCTCATCACCCTATACTTCTCATCTATTCATCATGTCCGCCAAGTCGATCCTCGAAGCTGATGGCAAGGCCATCCTCAACTACCACCTCACTCGTGCTCCCGTCATCAAGCCGACTCCTCTCCCTCCCTCCACCACCCACAACCCTCCCTCTCGTCTTGCCTCCATCTACTTCCCCGAAGATGCCGCCGTCAAGGATGTCCTCGACCAGGCTGAGGTCTCCTACCCTTGGTTGTTGACTGCCGGCTCCAAGTTCGTCGCTAAGCCCGATCAATTGATCAAGCGACGAGGCAAGAGCGGTCTGCTCGCTCTGAACAAGACCTGGGCTGAGGCCAGAGAATGGATTGAGGCCCGCGCCGCTAAGGACGTCCAGGTTGAGACCGTCACCGGTGTCCTCCGTCAGTTCCTGGTCGAGCCTTTCGTCCCCCACCCTCAGGAGACTGAGTACTACATCAACATCAACTCCGTGCGTGAGGTAAGTCAATACACCGTGGTCCCGCAGATTTGGAAAAATTGGCATGAACTAACGGTCTCTCTCTCTCTAGGGTGACTGGATCCTCTTCACTCACGAGGGTGGTGTCGACGTTGGTGATGTCGATGCTAAGGCCGAGAAGCTCCTCATCCCCGTCAACCTCAAGAACTACCCCTCCAACGAGGAGATTGCCGCTGCTCTGCTGAGCAAGGTGCCCCAAGGCGTCCACAACGTCCTGGTGGACTTCATCTCCCGCCTGTATGCCGTCTACGTCGACTGCCAGTTCACCTACCTGGAGATCAACCCTCTGGTGGTCATCCCCAACGCGGATGCCACCTCCGCCGAGGTCCACTTCCTGGATCTGGCTGCTAAGCTCGACCAGACCGCTGAGTTCGAGTGCGGCACCAAGTGGGCTATTGCCCGCAGCCCCGCCAACCTGGGTCTGGCTGCTCCCTCCCGGGACGAGAAGGTCAACATTGACGCTGGTCCCCCCATGGAGTTCCCCGCTCCTTTCGGTCGTGAGATGAGCAAGGAGGAGAAGTTCATCTCCGACATGGACGCTAAGACCGGTGCTTCCCTCAAGCTCACCGTTCTCAACGCCAGCGGCCGTGTCTGGACCCTGGTCGCCGGCGGTGGTGCTTCCGTTGTGTACGCCGATGCCATTGCCTCGGCTGGCTTCGTCAGCGAGCTCGCCAACTACGGTGAGTACTCCGGTGCTCCCACCGAGACTCAGACCTTCAACTACACCCGCACGGTCCTTGACCTGATGCTGCGCGCCCCCACCCACCCCGAGGGCAAGGTGCTCTTCATCGGTGGTGGTATTGCCAACTTCACCAACGTCGCCTCAACCTTCAAGGGTGTCATCCGCGCTCTGCGTGAGGTTGCCCCCATCCTGAACGAGCACAAGGTCCAGATCTGGGTCCGTCGTGCCGGTCCCAACTACCAGGAGGGTCTGAAGAACATCAAGGCCGTCGGCGAGGAGCTGGGTCTCAACATGCACGTGTACGGCCCCGAGATGCATGTCAGCGGTATCGTGCCCCTTGCGCTGCTCGGCAAGAAGACCGACATCAAGGAGTTCGGTGCTTAGAAAAAGAAAAAATTCTTTTTTGTCTCCTTGCTTTTTATCTAATTTAATCTTATGTGTGTCTCCTTTTGTTATATTCCTGAACGCATGGCATGATATGGTTACTCTTTTTTTTCATATATTCACTTTTTTTTTACTTGTGGGTAAAGTCCAAATGGAAGTGGGGATGATACAATCCTCGGTCGATAGAGCGATTTGAGGAGAGGGGGAATATCCATTGTACTGGAGTTGGTGTTTCTAGACTTGTTTCCAGCAGAGTCTATGAAGTTTGTCGTTTAATACAAGACACGATTACGTCCACATTCGAGATCTGAGTAGTATTTGTAGTTCTGAGTTTTTGTGCACGATGTAAAATCTGCTAGAATTGTTCCTCTTAACACAATCATAGTAGGACCTGCAAGTTCTACGCGAGACGTTACTACGCGAGATGTTAGGTGGACTTATTGACACCGAGAATATTCGGAAATATGTTCAATATATTACCCCGACCCCATAAGTCCTGTGTGATAGAGAAATAACAGAGAAATAACAGAGAAATAAAAGAGAAATAAAATAATAGTGAAAATAGTCAAAGGTGGGAGTGTGGATGCCAAGAAATATAGGCAGGTAGGGGAAGGTAGACAGAAGTAGAGTGATTCACCAAAAATACAAGATGTCCAAATAAGCATCAGGAAAAAATACCACTAAATCAGGGTCCACAGGAGCTACGAGCTTAAGTTTATTTTACATTTTAATTTTCCCCTGCATCAGATCTAAGATTAAATTAGCATCACGATTATCAAGGTGGGTTGTGGATTTTTTTTGGTCCCTTGGTGGTGGTGGTGGTTGGACTTCCGCACGTCCGAGACGGGAGGCTTCGGGCGTGTGGATGTGGTGGACGGTGGACGGTGGACGGGACGGGCCTTTGCAGTCGAGGCTTGCAGGGTTCCATTAGTCGATCGAGGGGCGTGCGAGATCTGAGAGGGGTGAGAGGGGAATGATGGGGTTAATTGAGTCTGTTGTTGGTTTTATCAGTGATGTGCCGGTCCATGGAGATATCTACTAGCTGGGTTGAACCTGTTGCGTTAACTAATTGAGTATATCTAGTGTTTGATCAGTAGATAAGGTAGTATCTTCGGATAATTGGGTACATATTCACATATGAGAAATTCTCCGGTCATACATACGCCAATTATCAATTCAATGATTCTTCTGCCCAAGGTCTGTTATATTTAGCTGTTGTCGCGAGTGCAGCAAAGGCGGAAGATTTCCTGCCGGACGAATGGAAGTTGCGACAATCAGCACGCGGGAAAGTGACATCATTGGCATTTCTCACTCTACCTTATTGTAGTCCGTAGGTCACTAGCCCTAAGTTGTGAATAGAACTAGACATGCTTACAATTATGATTGCTTCGTGGTTATGTTTTATGTTTTTGTACAGTGTTCTGCGCGTACTGTGTATTTTGGCAGTTGCAAGCAGGTTTTCCAGGCCGGGGATTTAGTATAGATAATGAATTACCTATCCGCTAGCCTAGGCCATTGAGAAATATATATCCCGTCGTAGCTCCCGTTTGACGAGATTCATTACCATGCTTCTATATATCATACACTAATTACTAACTCTTCGAATTTGCGAGACATGGAAAGTGAGGGAGTGAGAGAGAGAAGAAGAAGAAAAAAAAAAAAAAAAAAAAAAAAAAAAAAAAGAAACGGCCAGAGAGAAAGAGACAGAGAGGCTGTCAACTTTTCCCTTCTCTTCTTCTGCATCCAGATGCTAACCACTTCAACCAATTTTCAAATATAAACTACCTCATTGCACTGTCAAAGAACGTCGTCATCCCAGGTGGCCCCGTTTGGTGAAAAGATTGTCCCCGTGCCTCGTTCCTGTCTGGTGTTACATGGCTATCTGGGTGTGACTTCTTTGCATTGGGCTCAGCTCGAAAGCGCTCAAAGAGGACTCTTTCCTGTAAATGTGACGTTGACGTTGACGGCCGTGGCGGGCCCGTTAAGCGTGTCCGGTGCTGTGGAGTAGCAGCTGGCATTTCACCTGCTTTGCGTTTTAGTTATCCTCAATGAAAATGATAGACAAGTCCCTACGGTTTTTTGTAATGCCTAGGGGTCTTCCTGGTGGCGGCATTACGGCCACAGCGCCCCGTCTATTCTTTGAGCTCCCAGTGCCACTGCGCTGGTGTCGGTGTAACTGTTCTACCCCTTCTTGGTTGATGGGAAAGGTATTCTGCGGGAACGTAGGTGTCTGAGGAGGAGCGGATGTAGCTTGCAGGGTTGAGGGTGCCGTTACTGGAGGACCATTGCGTGATCTTCCCATGGTGTTGAGCGCGGAGGATACGGTGTCGGATGCAGCGGTCTGCATTTGCGATCTCATGGCTCGAGATTTTAATAAGTTGTAGAGGTTCGTGATCTGGGTGAATTTCTTGCATTTGTCGCGATACAAGTCGACCAGCTCCTGATTTTTCTTCTGAAGCTGTTCCTGGGCAGTTTGCATGTCTGTTCTCGATCAACAGATAGCCCATCATTAAGAAGACTGTGACGTACCAGAGAGTCTTGCCTGTAGGCTTGATATCTCCGTGTTCGCATTGTGAATCACTTTGTCCATCTGGGTGTTGATCGTCGCGTATTTTTCCGTCAGCGTCTTTGCGAGAAATTTCTGATAGAAGCTTCTTGTCATCAGCATGATGATGGATTGAAGCCGGAAGACACCATCAAACGTACATCTCTTGCGTGGTCTGATATGTCCAGAAGAGCAAGGCTCGCCCCGCGCATTCCATAATGGTGTTTGGATCGAGACCACTGAGCACACTCGTTTTGTAATCCTCCGTGGGGTTCAAGACGGTTGCGACGGCCTCGTCTGGGTTGATAAGGGGGGTCTGACACGCTGGACAGAGACGTTCACCGGCGGTAGGGCGTGAGAGACCGAGGGTATCTGCACACTTGAGGCAAAATATATGCCTGGGAAGTCAATACTATTTGGACCGTGTGAGGTTGAAGATTATGCTAATGTAGCAACAGTCTTACGAGCAGGTAGTGACCACAGCCCTCTCCTTCAACTGAGTGCGACATTTTAAGGAATTGCAACGCAAGTATAGATCCATAGCGAGGAGTGACGTTTGATTAAGACCCAGAGAGTGGTTGATGGGGGAGAGAGTGAAAGGGAGAGAACGGCATCTTGGGGGAGAAGAAGTCAGCCGACCCCGTCTAGATATAAAAGGGAGAAAATCAGCGCAAAGAAAACGGCGGAAAGTGATCGTTCCCACGGCCTGCCTGGAACCGTCAAATTTATCATGGTATTATTGTACACAAATCATATGTTTCTTCATGAGTCTTGTCTTTTCGTATTCTTATATGATCAAAAGAAGAACGTATTTCCAGACGCATCACGCTTTGTCGTACGCATCTTTTCCTCGAATTCCGGACCAGGTTCATATTCCCTCCATAGACTGGCCGGGAAGATGTGCTTGTTTCGCTCATACCACCGCCTGTCTACCACCCTGGTTGTCGAGGGATCTTTGTCGGCTCCTTCAAGTTCTTCGCCGTTCGATTTCGACAAGGAATTATCGATGGAGCTGGCCGGAGGCTTGTTGGAATAATCAAAAAGCAGTCCGCCGGCATGAGTGAAATTGGGTACACGATTGGCGATGAAATAGTATAATTCGTAATGCTGGACGAGAACGGATTAGTATGAAGACTGCCGAGGAGCCTGATATGTTGCAACACTCACATGCGGGACAATGATTTCTCCTTTGACGAGCATCAGGTCGTCGACACTGACTCGGGCCCATTCACGACGATTATCTTTGCGTCCCTTGGTGGCTCCGCTGTTGCCACCCACTCCCAACTCTGCTCCCACCTTACGACAGCGATCAAGGAACAACCAGACGGGATCCCCCTTCTTCACCTTGACGCTCCCTGCCGGTATATTCGTTCCATCATAGAAAATAAATGGGATCAATATCTCGGTGTTCTTGACCGCTTCCTGCATCGCCAGGAAATCCTTGCGCAGAGCATCTCGTGCCTCTGCCTCTGCCTTGATCGTCGCCTTGGTCATTGCTTTCGGTGGGGGAGGTGCGTTGGGATTTGGCGTAATCCGACGAGACGACGGTAGGGAACCATCGTCAACGGGCGTCTTTGAAGCTGATCGAGCAATCCTCGACTCGCCCGGCGTAGCGGCGGAATCGTTTCCAGTATTCTCCTCCTCCTCATCATCTCCGAATGAGAGCTTGCTCTTCGCTAGCGGCTTCTTCTTTTTCTTCTTCTTGGGAGGACCTTCGCTCTGTGGCGTCGAATTACTGTGGCGTGTGGTTAGTCGAGCAACCAGGACTGGAAAACTGCGCTTTGACTCACCCATCAGTCGCATCGCTTGCCGACGGCGTTGCGCCCCTCGAGTCGCCGGAGGCGAACCTCCCCAGCGACTTATCGTGTGCCTCTCGTTCCTTCTGCTCCAGCACCTCGGCGCGACGTTTGCGAAAATCGGAAAGGTGGACCAGGCCAACTGTCTGCGACTTCAGCATTTCTTCAGCCGAGGCCGTCTGGCCGGTAAAGGACCGCGGCGTCGAGCTGTGGCTGTCATTCTCCGATGGCGCCATTTTGAATGGAAATCCACGATTGTTCAAGGAGAAGTCATGGAGCGCGAGCGCATTTCAGATGGAAAAGCGACTGACGTACGGACGGTGCACGTGACCAGGACAGCCTATGTAGGAACGATCCCTTTCCAAGGCCGGAAAATTATCCAAAAATAAGGAAAAATGGAAAACAGTTAGTAGTTGATATCCGAGTCCAAAATTTACTGTGTAACCATTTATTGAAGCTGTCCGCGTGTCGCATGTGCAGCGGTCGCAGCTTTCTTTGGCTGTAGACCGGTGCAAACCGAGCAAACACCGACCCTCAATGCGCTCTCCGCAGGAATCGATAAACAACCTTCCTTTGTCTTTCTCTTTCAATTGCACACCTGAACCCCGCGATATCATGGAGGAAGAAGACGACGATTTTTATGACCCTGCTGATGCAGTGCCGGTCACCAACACTCAGAATGCGCCTCACAACCAGTCCACCAATGCCACACCCCAGCATTCAAATGATGACGAAGAGATTGAGGTAGAAGAGGACGATGATGTACGTCTGGCAACCCCTGCGCTTTGGAACGTTGGCTGAATGACCATATCTAGGATGAATTCAACATCATTACGGAGGCTCCTCCGGATGCTCCAGCTCCCGAAGTGTGAGTTCAACCCGTTCACAATGAAAGCCGACATTGCTCTGATGCCTAGTGTTTGGATAGATCCCATCCCCGTCATGCGATGCTTCGAACCGAGTCCCAGCGAACGCCATCCACCGATCTTTACACGGGGTCGAAATCCGCCACCCCTACCTTGACGCCCAAAGTAGAATCAGCTACGCCCGTCTCCGCTAATGCACGACCGGCCGCTCCCCAGAGGCCGGGCTCCGAATACCCCCCGGTCCACGCATCTAACATTGATGTTCATGCGAACCCGACGCACCCTTCTACCGGAAAGCCTATTCTGTCGACGGATATGGATATGGATTTCCCGGAGGATGACAAGCCGTGGAGACGCCCGGGATCGGATATCTCTGATTACTTCAACTACGGATTTGACGAATTCACCTGGGCTAGCTACGTCTTGAAACAGCAAGAGCTTCGGAGGGAAGTCGGGGACCAGAAGAAACAACTGGACGAGATGCAGGCGTTCTTGAACGGTGGAATGCCACCGCCAATGCCCGGAGGCCCGCAGCCAGGACCTGCACCCGGTCCCGCCGCCGGGCCTCCGCCGATGCCGGGCATGCCTGGTATGCCTGATATGTCTCCGGAAATAATGCAGGGCATCTTGACCACCATGATGTCCCGAGGCATGGATCCTACGACCATGGACCCTATGACTTTTATGCAGCATGCTCAAGCATTTATGGGCGGGCAATCCGGCGCAGGCGGCGGACAACCAGCTCAAGCCGGGTTTGCTGGCCAAGGAGGGCAACCTCAGATGGGAGGATATGGTGGTGGCTTCAATGCCGGACGAGGGCGAGGGCGAAGGTGGTAAAGGGAGGATGAATCCATGTTTTGTTTTTTGTCGGTCACGGTTATACTCTTGATAATGCCCCGAATCGCATTCTAGGACGGTTATGTACTGCGGAGTTTGTTGTTTACTATGAGGAAAAATCGGAAATCTTTGTCAATTGCTGGATTGCGTTCTTTGAGTTGAGTACGGAGTAGTAGTTTCGGGGCAAAGGAGGTGTGTTGTTGTTGAACTTGTTGAGATAATGCAACAAAGAGCTTAGTTCCGCTGTTGGAGCGATTCTCCATGACCATGAAGTCAATATCACCCTCCACCTAATTATGAGAAAATTATGTCTTGCGCATAGGGAGTAAGAACGGTGTCCGGAGAGAAGAGACAGAGAATACCCTCGGCAGTGGTGGAAGCTGTCGGCAAGTCTTGGCATTCTGGAAATTTCTCGCGGGCCGACGAGTCCAGATCTTCTTCCTTCCCCGTCCTTTTCTTCCCTTCGCTCTCCAGACCTCCAACTTTCTTCCTTTGCCATCTCCGCTTGATCCTCTGCGTCGTTCCTCGCGTCCAACACACCTGTCACAATGGTATGTCATGCGTCTCAATGCATTCCTCGGAGCTATAACACCCCCGTTGAAGTTTTTTTTCTCTTGCTTTTTGCTCCTTGCAAGATTGGACTTCTCATCGGCTGCTGGATTGATTTCCACCCCCAGTCGACCTTCGCATCGAGCTTGGTTAACCATTACTAACGCATTCCTATCGCTTAGTCTTTCATCCGCAACATCAAGAACCTCACCCCCCTCCTGGACCGCGTCCTGGTCCAGCGCGTCAAGCCCGAGACCAAGACCGCCTCGGGTATCTTCCTCCCCGAGAGTAGCGTCAAGGAGCAGAACGAGGCTCAGGTCCTTGCCGTTGGCCCCGGTGCCCTTGACCGCAACGGCCAGAGACTCCCCATGGGTGTCACTACCGGTGACCGTGTCTTGATCCCCCAGGTACGTTAGCTTTGGTTCATCATAAGTCTGGTTGAGATGAAGAACGAGGACTAACGGAACTTCTGTTACAGTTCGGTGGTAGCCCCATCAAGGTTGGCGAGGACGAGTACACACTCTTCCGTGACTCTGAGTATGTGTCCCCTCTGGCTCGTACGACATTGTGGATTGAGAACTAACGTCTACAACAGGATCCTTGCCAAGATCAAGGAGAACTAAATGCCGTATACGCCCTTGTCTTTCCCTCTCCGATCCTAGGATCATTCAATTCTAGCCGGAGACCTGTATTATACCATGCGAATGAGCTTTGATCATGCGCGTCGTCCCTGAAACCACCAAACCGAACTCAACCCAGTCCAATCTGGATTAAGCGAAAAGAAAACCCCCCTTGTACATTAGGATGGATTTCTGTTTCCGTTCTTGGTATCTTTGGGTTATAATGTGTCCCCTTGCATTTATCCTCTAAAGCGTGAAATGACTATTTACCTTGTTGCATATTCTGTGATGTATCTTAAGTCTCTACCTAGCAATCGCCATCTTCATACGCAGGCTGCGCGATGAAATGAGTAATCAGATATGATAATCTCCTCTCTGATCGTTTTTATTGATCTCGAAAAAGTTTAGAAGTAGATTCACGGTTTCGCAGTTTCGTTAAAATTCAGCGCCCAGTCGCATTGCCAGTCCTTTTCTATCACTAGATTGACCCGACTGATCAACTTCTCTCCTATCAATTTCCCGAACAGCTCTTGTCGACGCTCGGAAGACATGGCCATGAATAGGGACAGAGATCCGAATTTGTTCTGCTTATAGCTGCTACCATCGCCCTCGCCCTCAGTCCTCATGACCCTCTCTTTGTGTAATATAGAAAGCACAGCCCGGGCAGCATACGGATTCAGCCCGGCTCGTCTCAGGAAGTGCTCCCAATTCGTCTCTTCCATACTGTCACTTTCAGCTCTGGGAACCTGAGACTGTGGTTTCGGATTCACCGGCGTGAATCCAGCTTGCAGTGGGGTTGAAACATCTACACGAGGCATCTCAACTGCGTGCTTATCATATATTGAAAGAATCCATTTTGCTAGCGCCTCCGGCGACGAGGGCACCCAAAGCGGGACGATCGCTGCACAGTCATTTATCGAAGTGCAGAAAGCTAGCAAAGAAGTGAAAGATGCTAATTTCCGTTTATCCGCTGTCCATGTTAGACTTATACTTCCTCGCTGTGAATCTTTACCTGAGTTGGCTCCTTGAGAGACGAGTAGGTAGAGGTGCTCGTATCGCGATGCCATGAGGAAGATCTGCTCGCGGAGTGGTGAGTTTATCCATCTGGAATCGGTTATTTTGGGATTCTTGGGCTTATGTCCCGGGAGGTATAATTGGGTGATTTTTTGAGAGGTTGTGAGGATGATTCCCGTTGTTGGCGAGACTATAATGTCTGCTTCATTTGGAAGGACGTGTCTTGTGTCTGGCTGAAGGGCTATATTTCTGGAGCTGCAGTCAGATAGTGCTTGCCCGACTGTGGTGCCATAGTCTCTGTATATGATGGCAGGTGCGCTTTGTGTCTTTTCGATGCACTGTATGAGGTTGAGGTGGGTTTTGAGGAGCGCAGTTGAGACGTAGAGGTACGATTGTTGGAGGGCCTTGCGTTGAATTTGCGGGACTCTGTCTACGAAAGTGGCTGGTATAAGCATGCTTCTGTCGGAACTCACATTGGAATCATGCTGTTCAACCTTATCAATCGGCTGGGACGCAGCAAAGTATTGGCTCATGCCGACAACGGGGCGTCGACTTTTGATTCGGCCTCTGATTTCCATGAATGATGACAGCGAGCCCAGGGAGGCTTGCAGTGACAAGTGGGATTTTGGGTCTAGTCTTTCCTCTTTCTGAGACTTCTTTATTTCGAGAATTTGTTTGTTTATCAGCCGGAGACTTTCTCGACTCTTGCTTCGTTCCCTTTTCAAAGGAAGAAGCGATGCGTGGTTCGGAAAGCCTTTGAACTTCAATTGAAGACTCATTTCCTGCGATGACTTCTGCTCCACATTGCTCAAAGAAGATGGTTCTTCGTTTGTTTCCATCTCCTGCATTTCGTGACTCGGTTGAAGTGGCGATACTGCATGTACGGCATCCGAGCCGATGATCGATTCATCTATAGGGCAAGAGAAGTGACCGGTACTCGACAGGAAATTCTTGTTATCACCACATTGTTCGGAAAACAAGTATTCGGTGGTTTTTGAGAGTATGCCCCCGTCCATAGTAGATAGGTCTTCCCTAGGAGAGGGAATGGGAGTGCCTCCAGCAGAAATGACGGTATCCAGATGGGTTTCGCTGATATTCTTCTCGGAAGGACTGTTTGTTCTGGACCGACGACCGACTGACGTATTTGGCTGGGATTCGATGTCAAGTGCGCTTCCGCTAAGCGATGACAGGGAGGTGCCGGTATGGGTGGAAACGTCAGGGACAGTCTGGGTGTTGATGCCTGAATTCTGCTTGAAACCCGGCGAATTCTGACTAGACGAACAATTGTTACGGAGATTGCTGCAACCCAATGATTCGCTCAGGTCATTCCCTAGCTGAACACAGCCTGAGACCTCTTTGTCATAGTCACTAAAGAGACATGATGCAGTATTGATCTGTGGGTTCTCGTTACCTTTCAGAGGGGTTCCTGATCGACGTCTTTGTGCGCTATGATTAGTGAGGAAATACAGCGAGGTAAGACTTGGTAGCATCTGGAACCCTGCAACTGGCGAAGAGCTTCTGAGATAAGTATCATCGGCATCGGAGAGGACAATTGGTGGTTCTGAGAAGGCAAGATCATTCTGTAGGCAGGCAAAGAGCCATCAGCGCACTTGTCCACATGGCATTGAAGTGAACCTACCGGACACGACGTCAACTCATCCAAAAGTAGATTATCCACCGCGTATTTGGAAGGAACAACGCCGTTTTTGGCATGTTGTATCATTATGAAAGCATTCTTGCTGCATCTGAGTTTCTCTGTTTTGATATGATCCATGGATTCATCTATAGTGTCCGCAAGGCGGCTTGGAAGAATTGCAACCGACGGAGGCTCCTCGAGTGGTTCCAATTGGACATCAGATTCTTTGTATCGTGAGTTCCTCCGAGCAAGCATCGTGTTTGTGTCATACTCTGCAGGGAAAATGGGCGTTTCCACCTGAAGTCTTTCAATCCGATCGAATGCCGGCAAAACGTCGGTCCAATTGATGTCCTCCGTTCGAGCACTTGCATCCCGTATCACGGTTGACAGGAGACGAGCCCCTTCTTTCTTGATGTCCAACTTCTCTTTGAGCAAGGCCTGTGTGATGGCTTGTTGGGCTTTTTGTAATTGTTCGGGGACAGGGCTGGACTGTGGCTCGGGCGTGGGGATTTTGAAACCATCGTCGATGTAGGTGAGGGGATCGACCGCTGCGAAGTCACTAGCGATGCCGTAAGAATGAGCATATTCTAGAATAGAAGATTTTGATGGATTCCCCATTCTGGAGTTGTTCTTATGTTTGTGCCGGAAGCAAAGAAGTGAAAGTGAGGAGGCACTTGGGGTGGCGCTACGGGATTTTGGAAATATTGACACCTGAGTTTCTCGGCCAGGCAACGTGTTACACGTGCGTCTCTCTGATATACGTGAATACAGGAGTCCAAATTATAGAATGACAAACAAGTAATGTATTTCGCTAATGAAAGGCTAAGTAAATCATCTCAGAGTGCTCTGCTAATTTTCAATGCAATGAGTGTCATGTCCCGGGTATGCGCCAACGCCAGCGTTGTGTGATATTAAAAACACGGGGATGTCCGAAATTAGTCGTTATAGTTGGACTGGCGTGCGCCATCTTTGTTCACAGCCGGGAGATTGTACAAGGCAATGTGCTCTTCTTCCTGAGACTTTCCTGCCGGGTCCAAGACAGGGCGCTCAGCATGGCAAGCAACTCGGACTGCATGGCGTCGGTGGGGAGCAAATCCGTAAGAGGCAGTGTGGTTCTGTCGAAGCCGTTAGTGATACTGAATCGCTTGTTTCCTAGTCTGGAATTGAGGATTTTTGCTTACCGTGGTTCGGTTGTCCCAGATAGCAACATCATTCTTGCCCCATTGGAACCGCGCATGGGTCTCCTGGGTAGTGGCAATCACCTCAGCGAGGTATCTGAGAATAGCATCACTCTCAACCTTAGGGACGCCCACAATCTTCGTCACGAACCCAGGGTTAAAGAACAGACTGTTCCATCCAGTGACGGGGTTGGTCCGTATCAAAGGGTGTTCCGTTGTCACCGGCTCTCGGCGGACAGTTCGGCCAAGGGCTCGCGTGTCAGATGCCTGCATATCCGCCGAGTGAAGGGCCGTCAAGCCTTTGAGATAATTCTGCATGTGTGAAGAGAGAGCGTCGTATGCCGCGTACTGAGAAGTCCAAAGGGTGTCACCGCCGCCCCCACGAGGAGGACCGGTCAGAAGTTTCAAGAGGGTATAAGACGGTGGTTGCACCTCATAGGTTACCTAGTATTCGCGGTCAGTTTGAAGTAAATAGAGATGGAGCAAATAAGCATACATCTGAATGCCAAAGGAAACTGGGCGTAAACACGGCGCGTTGGTCGGCGGCGTTGTCACCGGTGTAAACAACATGAACATCCTCCAAGCCACTCTTCTTGGGAACAGCTGTCGTGGCATGCTACGGAAAGTCAGATCTATGAGAGCTTCTGTTAAGTGCCCGAAAGCTTTCGATCATACCTTGTGGAGCTTGCCAAAGTATTTTCCGAACTCTCTTTGTGCCTCAATGTCAAATTTGTCCTGGTTCCGGAAGATGACTATCCCACGGACAGCGACCAAGCGGGCTAGGTCATCCTTCTGAGCATCGGTGAGAGTGGCAAGATTGGCACCGTGGATCTCAGTGCCAATCTTGGGGTTGTAGTCGAAGATATCGGTTGCATCTTGCAGGAGGTTGCGGAACTTGGCGTCACCGTAGCGACCCCTATCGTCATACGGGATCTCTTCGATGGGATCCCAATGGAAGTCGGGAAAGGATGGTTTGAGGTCTTCGTAGGGGTAATCGTCATGGGTTTCAATGGCAGTTCGTCCAGGCTGATAGTTGAATTTGTTGTTGCCATCAATGGCGGTGGTGATGCCCTTCTTAGGCAAAGGGAGCTCGCCCAAGGATTGGCGCAAGACAGGGTCTTCCAGAGAAGGGGCCATTGTGGATTTGGAAGTGATGAAACCGAGAACTCAAAACGTCTAGATTCCTTCCCGAAAGTTTGCTGAAGAATTGATATGTCTTGAAGAATGAAGAACCAAGAATGATGCCTGGAGGGCAGACCCTTTCCTATATGTATAGCTTGTAGATGCCCGGAAGGCCGGAGCCACAGTCACACATCTCCCCCAGAAACGAAGGAAACGGCGATGGCACCATCGCTGACGAAAATCACCCAAGCTGTAGATATGTGGCGCGATGAGGAATCCTCATACTCCGTCAGGAAGTGATCCATGGTTTGTAAGCTTCTATGGAACGCTCCCCGAAGCGGTGGGTGCGATCACGTCATGTTCTCGCTGGATGTTGGAATGCGATGTGGGTCGGCCGCGACGAGAACAGAACCCATGGGGAAGGATGAGTCAATAATTGCTCTGATGAAACATGATGTAGCCTCCCAGTCCACATAGTATGACCGTCGGTCTCCTGCGGACGGTGGGCGTGGCTGTTGGTTGCTCGGCTAAGAGCAAGATACGGTGAGAATCCTGAGGTCGCAATCGACCATTATGGTTTCATCGGAACTAGTAGGCTAGGTAATCTGAGCGCTGACTGGTGTGTACGCCGGTGAGATCCTGATTACTATGTACAGAACGTGATTCTTAGTATGGACTGGCAAGGTCATGAAAGGGGGACGGTTTCATGTTACTCTAAAGACATGCGGTCGAGCGATCGTCCGAAATTATCAATCAGCGGCCGATATTCTCGGTAGAGGCGCTACCCAGGACGATGGAAGATGGAGTAAATTGTGGGGAGAAGATCGCCGAGGAATTGGGTGCGATCACGCAAGATCGCGAGCCTCTTGCGTGTGAGCTGACTAAGACCGGGCTACAAGGCAGGTAAAGGTAACTAAACTCCGGTCTATACTCCGTCCACCATGTGGCCATGTGCAGAGAATCAAAGGATCATGAAGAAAAAAAGAGACAATCGCAAGTGAATTCTGGCTAATCTAAAACGCAGAACGCCCGACCTCAAATCATGCTTAACCACATAAAACGTCCATTCCCACTTTACCATGGGTGTATCCGAAGGGAAGAGAATAGTTATAATGTACAGAAAAATCCACGTTACAGTCCAAGCCTTCCATCAGCAGAGGGCGGACCCAGGACAACCTCTTGGGCTTGCTCAGTCACTTGCCCAAGACGACTGGCCACACCCATAATACCAGCTTCCACGTCGCCCAGAACAGCCGTCAAGTCGCTGAGGACTGTTTTAGGCGCCCCGGCAGATGTACCGTCGCGGCTTCGAGAAGTCAGGAATTCGTGAATCTGTCGTTCAAGAGTTGACTCCACGCCATGAAGGTGGTCTTCAATATCTTTCAGGTTCTGGGTGTATTGATCGAGGACGCCTCCCATGTCGTCCGATCGCTGAGAGAAGTAGTCCACCAGGTTGACGGGAACGCCGTTGATCGCGGTAGCAGTAGATGGATCGGCTTCGACATCGTCGGGAAGAGCCAGGGTATTCTTCCGGCTTGACCGCAGCGACTGTCGGTCGGACATTTTCTGGTCTTGAACGGACCACCATCCTGGACCCCCGGCGGACTGGAACTGCAACGGCAATTTAAGCGTGTCAATCGCACGGAAAGCAACTTGTGCTTCCGCCGCATCCCGCGCCACGAGGCCCCGCAACTGATCGATGTCACCCGCATCGTTCTCCAGAGCGTGCTGCATCGTCTCTAATTTTCCCTGGACAAACTCCACGTCGTTGGGGATGGTTTCGCCCTGTGCCGCAATGCTGGGAATCATATTGGCAATCTCATTGCACATCTGGATTTGCGCAAGAACGGCGTTGTCGAAGCGTTCCAGCTCGGCCTTGATTTCACCGGCGCAGCTCTCAAATTTCGTAGTCGGTAAAAGGCTGCTAATGTCCACGATAACCCCGGGGACCACGGTGTTTGATAGCGTCGACGGGGGTGGTACTTGCTGAGCCGCAGGTTGGTTTTGGTTTCCAAAGAGCGATAGTGTGGGCTTCTGGGGTTGTTGCTGTTGCTGCTGCGTTTGAGTGTTATTAAAAGCGGAACCACCTCTACAACCAGACCACTATTAGTAAAAAGCGTGACCATAGCAAATTCCAAATCCATGGTGTTACTCACAAGAGCCCACCGCCAGTGGCTGTAGAGCCCCCAAGGCCCAAAGCTGGCTTCGGCTGGGCCGACATGGCATTGTTCGCACCCGCAGTGCCTCCAAAAAGACTGCTGGTTTGCGGTTGAGAGGCAGCCGGTGTAGTATTTCCAAAAAGACCTCCGCCGGTTGTGGTATTCTGCTGCTGCGGCTGCTGTTGTTGCTGCCCGCCTAGGCCTCCAAACAAGCTCGATCCAGACTGCGTTTGCTGCGTGTTTCCACCGCCCAGAGTGTTCCCAAATAGACCGCCGGCAGGTTTTTGTTGCGGAGTTGAGCCCCCTAGATTCCCAAATAGACCGGAGGTAGTTGTCGACCCTGGCGTTGCTGTGGACGAGGAAGTTTGGGCATTATTGGCACCACCACTGATGAAAGACAATTCCGTATTAGCTTGATTTCATACCACTTTAAACTTTCCCAGTAAGCCAACGAGAACAAAGGATGAGGAATGCAGCCCAAAAAGGCGAGCAAACGGAAAAGCCATCCAGCAATACAAGAGGCAAGGGGTGTGCGCATTGCACTCGTGCAAGACGTGACCAGCACAAGACATACAGAAAACAATCCACTGCGAGGTTATCGAGCCGGATGTTCCACGCACGTCTCACCGATACCGAATACAAAGAAGGAAAGGAGTCCTTACAAGAGCGAATTGGCGGAATTGGTGTTGATGGACAAGCCGCCGGCAGGTTTTGCGGAAAACATTGTGAGTGGTGGTGGAATGCGGCGTTCAGTACGAATCTAGGGGGGAGGATGAAAACAAAGAAGAGCAAGAGAATTGCAAGGATTGGATGAACCTTTCCACACGGAGGCGATTTGACTGGCGGAAGCTACCGTTTCAGCTTGGATGCTCGTTGGAAGGAAATCTTGACTTTGGAGAAAACGAAGAGAATCCGAGGGCCGCAGTCCCTTGGCCCCGTTGGGTTTAGCGCCGGTCTAGCGTTGGTCGGGGCAAGATTGACCGGCTCCGGGCTGTAGATTTGGCGTCCTTCATTTCTCCATCTTCCATCATCCTGTCATCTTGTCTTTCCATCTAAAGGATTCTTGCTGCTTGGTAGATCTTTATAGCCTGGTAGGCCGAGTCAATTGCCATTATATCTGAACCCTCCAGCTAGTTGCGTGAAATCTGACGTTATCCAACTGCAAGAGATAGTGGACTGTAGTCGAACGATTTTCTGCTTGTCTGTATGCTCTGTACTGTTTCTTTCGCATTAACCAGAGGGACATTTTGAATTGGGTGGAATCATAAAACGATGCAGCAGAAGACTTCCCACTTGACGCCCATATGTGTGGCCTCAAGCCGAGATGAGAATGAGCCGTCTGTACCCAGAAAGCACCACGAGCGATATTCTGATTATAACCATGCTAAAAGTATAGAATGGTATGTACAACCTGGCTTGTATATTCTCCCGCCATTCACTGAGTTCGGACACTTACGATGTCTATAAAGGTCTCCGGACGGCACCACCATCCTGACTGACTCGGCCGATCACCATATGAGAACCTTTATACTGTGAGTTACATGTGGATGCTCAGCAATCTTTCTTTCAACTGACATACAGCTCAAAAGGCCCCCTGATCTTTTGGAAGAGAGGCAATCCCCTCACCATCTCACTCCTTACTCTGTTCTGCCTTCAACGGAGCCAACCTATGCCACTGCCATTTACCCGTTCTATTCCCTTCAGGACCCGTCCACCACTCTCTTCCTCTCGTCAGTTCGGGACCATCCGATCAGGCTTGCATCTGCCCTGGTGCCAACCTCAGTGGCGAGCTATTCCCTGGTAAATCCCACCACGGAAGCATTCATAACCCCTCATTCCTTGATTTATCCCTCTGCACTTGGTGGTACTCATTTCCTCGCAGGCTCGGATAGTCTCATTTGTCTATTTGATGTGTCCCGTCCCGGGAAAGATGGACCAGTGACGTGGATGCCAACGATACCAAGTAAACGTAAGCAGGCAGTGGGTGGAGGCGTCGGAATGAAAGGAATTATCTCGGCAATGGCCGTCAGTCCGACCGGCGACGGAGTGCTGGCTGCTGGCACCTTTTCAAGGCATATTGGACTTTACGACTCTAACGGATCCGGCCAGTCCCTCGGTACCTTTAGCGTTGCAAAGACGGAAGCAAATCGTCACATCGGGGGTCGGGGCGTCACTCAGCTTCTCTGGAGCCCTTGCGGACGCTACCTTTACATTGCAGAAAGAAACAGCGATGGAGTCCTGGTCTATGACATTCGAGCCACCGGACAGCTTCTTGGCTGGCTTGAGGGCCGAAAGGCTCTAACGAATCAGCGAATGAAAATCGACATCGTACCGACCAACCAGGGCGAATCTCATGAGATCTGGGCCGGAGGAACAGACGGTTTTATGAGAGTGTGGCGGGACCCAGCTCTCACAGCAGGATCGCAGAGCCCACTTTGGGAGTGGAAGGTCCATGATGGTAAGTTCAGACAAGATTATAGTCTTTTGAGGCGACCTAGTAGTCATACTTACGGTCTACAGATTTGGTCAACAGCACTGTTCTGCATCCCTTGGGTAGCATCGCTGCTACCGCCTCTGGACAGAGACACTACTTCGATGATACCGTGGGAGAGAAAAGCGATCCACTCACAGCTGATAGCACTTTGAAGATCTGGTCTATGCCATTCTTGGAGGGGTAAATGGATGGGTAGCATCAGATGGACGCGTGGAGAGGCAACCCCCAGAAACCGACTACTGTGCCAAAAGTAGTCTCGAGTCCTGGGGACCACTAAGAACCGGAAATTCATACCAGTGGTCCATGAGCTTATATCGCCGAGGAGCTGTCGCTCTCCTTCGGCCTTCCCTCGGTTGCGATGGCCGTAACAAACCCCAGCCTTCGGAAATTTTTCATCCTGAAACTCCCTCTTTCTAGAGGGCGGCTGGTCAACAATATGATTGTTTCCCTCTTTGGGACTATTGACCTCTACCGAATATTGGACCACCTGCAGCTCCATTGCCCAAAACCAGCCCCCTGATTGGTTAAAAGAGCGAAGCACCAACAACAGCCTCCTGGCCCTTGACATGTTGCGATTGATTCCATTGGCACCTTTTCACGATACCTATAACAGGAGACCGCAACATACACCATGCACATAACCACACACCTTGGCTGGGGCACACCCAGCCCTCTTTCACCCGGCCGTTTTCACTCTTCCGTGGCTTTCTCTCCCAGCGTGAATGTCTTCTTCCCCCTGAACCCGGGGTTGTTAATGGATAATACCACAATTCACAGTTTTGCCTATTGAGCTCTTTCGGACAATGTGATTCATCTTTCCTTTCTTCCCTGATATCCTCATCCCAACCACTCCAAATCTGTCTTCTTTCCTCTCTCCGGAGATCGTCTCGAAATTCCTTTCCCTCTATCTCTCACGCAGTACTGTCTCTGAGCGGGAATCCACTTCACCCACTTCCTTGAGCTTCATTTCTGGCTGTGAACTGTCCTTTTCCCTGAGTTCCTCCATCTGTTGATTTCCCGCACCAAACGCTTCACCGAGGGATCACCATGTCTGGCTCCGAGAATTGGGGCTTCAATGAATGGGCACAGGACACCGCTCAGAATGCCTTCCTTCTGAACAACGACTTGTGAGTATGCCGATTGTCATTGAATGTGAACTTCAGTCCCCCTCTAATAACATCTCCAGTAACTGGGCCTCCAACGGTGATAATTCCCATGGAACCGGAGTGCAATCTCAGAACCCTCTTGTGAATTTCCCCCAGAGTCATGGTCTGGCTTTCGGTTCAAGCCCAACTAGGTATGTTCTGCTCTGTTCAGCCGTAACTTCTCCCACCCAACCTGAGTATAGGCGCTGATGATTGGAAATGAATAGCTTGGCCGCCTCTGGCACTGGTGCCGATATAGGAGCAGGTTCTCCTTATCTCGCCCATGAAAGCTCCAGCAACGACGGCATGTTTGAACCCTCGCATGCTGCCTTCTCCGCGTATGCCACGGGAAGGTCCGCTCCTGAGATGGTCTCCCTGTCTCCCAGCAGCCTCGTCGGTGACAGGACCGATGATACCGAAGACGAACCTGCTACTCCGTCCGATAATCACGCCTTTGAACTCCCGTCGGCCCTGGACCCCAACGACTCCAATTCTTTGGCTCCGAACCTAGTGAATCTGATAAAGTCTGCAAAGAATGTCCCCTTTGATCATTCCACACTCTTCAAGTCTCATGAACATGCCCGTTCCTTTTACCAGACCGCTGAGCCGCTTCCCGATGACCATACTATTCCTCAGACTGCGAGTCAGAAACGGGCCATTGTGAAAGAGATGTGCAAAGCTATGCTCAGCCTCGAACATGCGACCGACAATGAGGGGATGCTAAAGCCGTTCAAAAATCAGAAGTATTCTGAAGAGAGAATCGAAATTTGTTGCTGGCACACGTTGGTAAGGAACCCCGATTGAAAAATGTGGATAATCCGCTGAGAAGTATCTAGGAGACTGTAATCATGCGTCACACGAGCGGACCCCTCCTGGCAGCGTATGATCTCACCACCAAGGGTGAGAATGACAACCTCAACTTTGCTCAACGGATGACTCGCATCATCGAGTGTTTCTATAGACACAAGACCGTGTGCAAGCATATTTTGGACCCGCCGTATCTGTACAACCTGGTCGACAATCCCACGGCGGCCGAGAGGCGCGTCGAGAGCAACAAACTGCTGAATCGTCGCAAGGGTCACATTATGACGGCCGGAAAAGAGGCTCTGCGTATCGGACAACGTCGTCAGCCTGTCACTACCCCCACCCCCGCTCCCAAAAAGGCTCGCAGGACGATCGCCCAGAAGGCTCCCAGAATAGTCGCTCGCAAACCAATTGCCCGCAAGGCGTCTAGGATCAAAGGCGAAAACAAAGAAAAGAAACATACAGTCAGCCTTGCTTATTCTGGCACTTCTGAGAGCTCCGATGTGCATGAGAGAATTTTTACTCCATCGAGCACTCCTGAACCTACCGCAAGTGAAGCTGATGCGAGCCCCCAGAGTCTAGTTGCTTCAATGCCGCGCAGCTCTTCCATGCTTGTTCCCCAGCCCCAGGCAATGTCATATTACTCTCAGCCACCGGTGATTGGGGAGCCTACCTACCAATTCAACACCAACCTAGCCCATCCGGTTCACAACAAGGGTTACCAGCCGACGTACATGTCCAATGTGCATTCCCATCGCATGGCCGCGCCCGCATCCTATTCCTTGCCGGCTCTGGATTTCGCGTCTAACCATGCTGGATCATTTTATCCGACCGGTTCCATGGCCGATTTGCATGTCAACTCCAGCCTCATTGCAGGAGGCACACTTTGCCCCAATACCATGAGAACTCCAGTCCATTCTGCAAGAGCCAGCCGCAAGAGGCCTAGTATCACAATCACCGACAATTTAGGACAGTCTTCGTCCGCCGAGAAGAGAAAGCGCTAGGGAGCCCCGAGGGTAATTGCGTGACTGGCCAACTGACTTCTGAATTTCTTCCTTTCCGTCATTCCATTCTAACATCGTTTTCCGTTCATCTTTTGCTTGGTAATTCTTGGATCAGCTCATAAGAAGTTTCTTTCGTTGATGCTCGTCTCTTACTCTGGTTTCTCTTAGCTTTTACTGCTCTATTTTCCTTGCTTTTCTTTATTTGCTTTGAATATTTACTTAACTCGGGATCTCACGTCTCCCATCGCACCGAACTGGTCAGCAGGCAGGACCTCAGTCTCCACCGCGGAAGACACCAGTGGCTTAATTCAACGGCCTTCGAGATGTGCATGGGGTTACTACGAGCCCTCTTTTACCTGTACATGTTGTTCTGTTGTTCAACTTGAACATTGAAGATAGACAAGGAGATCTGTCATCAACCTTGCGACGTCATCGCCTGGATGAGTCAATGGTTGTACGCCGAAGCTTTGCTCTTCGCGTGGGATTTGGTCTCTTGTTCTACATGGGTATCATGTCTCCTGTCTCCTTTGTCTCTTTCATCATGTACATTGACAGACCATACCGCGGAGTACCCGGTCCCTGTTTCTTTACAACAGCATCGAGGTAGATCCATCTTAGGCAGGTCGAATACCATATCTCTCATACGGGAAGTTCTCCAGCGTAGGAATCAAATCTCCCCATCCGTCGCGTAGCTCTCCCGGCTTGCCGGACGACCGCAGCCTGTTGGCAGTCAATGCGTCCGCATCCTTCTCCGACGCCGACTTCTCTTCCTCCTTGTGCTCCCCGGTCAATCCTGCCAGCACCTCTGCCTCCCGACCCTTGTAGGCTTCCAGCAGTCCCGGATGAGGGACCCAGACGACCCGCATACCTGCTCGTCGACCGGCCTCCACGCCGGGCACCGCATCCTCGAAAACCAGGCACTCCTCCGGCTTGATCTCCGTCTCACCCCGCTGTCGCAGGTTGGTATTGATGGTCTCGAGTGCCAGCAGGTAGATATCCGGCAAGGGCTTGCCCCGTCCCTTGCCAACGCGCGGGTCGTCACCCAGGACGCGCTGCGATTCGGGGAATACGGTGAACAAATCCTGCAGGTGATCGGTCTTCAATCGGTAGTTGCGCTCGTGGGACGAGGTGGCCAGCGCGATGTGCACGGGCTGGTCGGTCGACTGCGTCGAAAGCAGCTTGTCCAGGAGGGTGCGCACGCCGGGAAGCGGTTGGGCGTCGCCGAACTTCTCGAGCTGCAGGGTGGATTGTCGAGCGGCGTATTTTTCCGATGAGATCGGGAGTTGGGCCCATTGGTGGAAGATCTTGCTGGCCTGGAGAGTAGGAATTTGAAGTCAGCATGGCTACTGCGGGCATCGCCGATAGGGCTGACGGAGGGTGGTACAGTACCTCGGCCTGCGGTCGGCCTTGAAGCTGGGCCTTGATGGACCAGGGAAGCAACGGCTTGCCATGTTCCTGCAGGATCTGGTTCGTGATAGCCGTGTAGATATCCTCCGAGTCGATCAGGAGGCCATCCATGTCAAACAGACAGGCCCGCACGCGGGGCAGTCTGCAGGAGCACATGTTAGCGATTGACGAGTTGGGATGCATTTGGGGGAGGAGAAGAACGTACTCCGAGGGAGCGGTTGCCATTTCTATGAAATTCTTGGTTTATTGTCACCAAAGCAGAATTGAATACGAGGATGAGCGATGCGGGCACCGAATTGACGCGGCGGCGGGGGAGATGCTGCCTCAGGCGAAGAGGAGGTCCCTCAGGCCGCCAAGATCGGCGGTCGGTCGCCTTTCCTCTCCGACTCTCTCCCACTACTCCGTACAGCTTCATTAACCATTCCGAGCTCCTCCCATTCATTGCATCCATATCCGTTGCTTGTCATTTGAGATTCGCCCAGGTATGATTGAATATGCTATCTGCCTATTGAGAATACCTTGAAGATGGAATACTACCGATTCACGGCGTCAATCCCTAGAGAGACAATGTTGTGTGCAACAAATATGGTCACAGGAAGGGAACACGGGCGCAATTCCGCTCGTTCAGACACCCTTTGATCTCCCTTTGTGGTTCTGATGCAAGTTGACTCTTGACTCTTGGCTGTTGATACTATCCCAGGTCGGCGGATGGACCCTTGCGGGACCCGCGGACCCCGAACGCCTCGACCAATGTGGATCAGCGCGAGGATTCTTCCTGTCTGGCCGTCTTCTATTCCTTACTTGAATATTTATATACGGTTGCTCGGAGCCATCTTGACTCCTGTCAATTCCGCCTTGGCGTCTCAGATTTTTCTTCATTCCAGAAACCAATAGTCGGTCTTCCAAGCTGCGGAAATCGTTTGCCGTGACATCATCGTTCACCACGGATTGTCGCATGTGGCCGCCACAGAGCCAGCGTATTGTCACACGTCTACCCTAGGAGGCTAGTTATGGCCATCGGGAAACTATGGCTTAGTCGCAAGAAGCATGCCGAGCCTCCAATCTTCCTCGAGTGGAGATCTTCCAGCCCCTTTATCATCTTCGTCGTTGTCTTTGCAGTTTTTACGGTATGCCGTCCACGTTTCTGCCTGGGTGCCTTACCAGATCATGATGCTGACCATCGAGACGATAGGATATCCTGCTCTATGGATTGGTAGGCAGCCATCCTTCTCATAAGCACACTTAGTTTCTAGTTTGCTGATTGGCCTTGCAGATTGTCCCTGTGACGCCGACCGCTCTGCACGAACGAGTCGGTCTATCAGAGGGTGAAGGTGTGTTTCTTTTTGGAGTACGGATTTGCTGGCTTCCTAGCTAATCAATGCACAGAACAACGGTGGACGTCGATCTTACTAGCTCTATATGGAGCTGCGCTGTTGGCATTCTCGCGTAAGTAATGGTTCCCCGCCCGAAAGGCCTTGCTCTGACTGAAAAAACGCCACCGTAGCTATCGCAGGCTACATCGCCGATAAAATCCAATCTCGGTGGTGGCCTTTGATGATCGGCTTGATTGCCCTGGGCGCCGCGACTGCTCTCCTTTGTGTCGGGAATCATATGGGCCTCTGGGTTGCGGGTCGTTTGTTTCAAGGAGCGTCTGCGGCCGTCGTGTGGACGGTGGGTTGTGCTCTCGTCGTTGACACGGTAAAAAGGGATGAGTTAGGCCAGGCCATAGGCTACATAGGAATGGGAATGACTTTGGGGATTATGGGAGGTCCTCTTCTGGGAGGTGTCATTTACGAGCACGGTGGATACTACGCGGTGTTTGGGCTGGCATTTGGGCTGGTCGGGCTGGATATCGTGTTCCGACTGGTCATGATCGAGAAGAAGCACGCCGTGCGATGGCTTCCACGCGATACGGCCCGGGAGGAAGCACAAGACAAGGAGATCACGGCACATACCCAGGAGACGGACAACCAAAAGTCGCTCGATAAACCTCAACCTACCTCTACATCGTCCGGACAATTACCGAATGCCCCCGAACCCCCTACCGAGTCCGATGCAGCTCCGGCTCAATCCGTGACTCCACAACCTCGGAAGAAGGCCCTGGGAGCTCTCCAGCATCTACTGGCATCCGAGCGCATGCTAGTATCTTTATGGGCCTATTTCATCGTCTCCGTCGTTCTCACCTGCTTCGACAGCGTCCTTCCCCTCTACGTTGAGGAGACGTTCGGCTGGGCGCAGACGGCACAGGGACTTATTTTCATTCCCCTATCGGTTCCCCATATCCTCGATCCCCTGGTCGGGTATGTCATCGACAAGTACGGCGAATCCCGACGCTACATGGCAGGCGGGGCACTCATCGCCAGCGTTCCGATCCTGGTACTTTTGCGATTCGTCACCCACAACTCTATGGGTCAGAAGGTGCTCCTGTGTGCTCTGTTGACACTGACCGGAGTCTGTATTGCCGTTCTCCTGCCCCCAGTCATGGTCGAGGCGTCCTACGTGGTGCAAGACATGGAGGAGCAGACCCCGGAGATTCTCGGCAAAGGCGGCGCGATGGCACTCTCCTACGGTCTCTTGAACTCGGCCTTTGCGGCGGGGACCATCGTCGGGCCCTTTTTTGCCGGCTTCATTCGCGAGAGTGCTGGATGGGGGACAATGACTTGGGCGATGGCTATCTTGACGGGGGTGTCGGCCGTTCCGTCGTTGTTGTGTCTGGGAGGCTTCCGACTGAAGCGGAGAAAGAGTGTTGGCAGTTAGCGTGTCCATATCATTTGCGAGAGTACATACTACACCGTATATAGCATAGCGATACATGCATAATTGATTAGTCCCATAGAACGAGAACGGTGGATCATCCCCCGCAGGCCCCACTCTCAGTCAGCCATGACCGATGCGCCACTTGACGCAGATCGTCGTCTCCATCTTAATTTTCGGGAATCGTTGACGGGTGCAGGAGCCGATGATGAGGAGACGAGCAAGGGAGAGGAAATGAATGGTCCGAGGTATAGCTGCCCATGGCGTGGCTTGACCGGGAGTACTTATTTCTTGACCCCGTTCTCTCTCTCTCCCCACAACTCCCGCGACATCAGCAACCACATACAACAGAAACAACCATGACGGTCCCACAGCCCCAGATGAATCACCCAGGCCTTGATGCCACATTTCAAGGGATCCAGAAAACATCGGACGGTACATCTGTCAATCAATATCGAGGAATCAAGTATGCTGGGATTCCGGGACGGTTTGAGCGTGCCGTTCCGGTGGATAGGTTCGATGGGAAAGTAGTAGACGCAACAAGATTCGGGTGAGTTCTACTTTTTATTTTATTTTACTTCCTATAGTCCACCAGAGAAGACGAAGATATTATTATAAGGGGATCTTGCACGACGCTGATATTACCTCCTGGATAGCCCGAGATGCCCGCAAGTAGACGTGGATGTGCGCCACTTACTGCGCATTCCCGAAGACGTCGAAATCCCCAAGGAGCCAGAAGATGAATTTGAATGTTTAAATCTGGAAATCACCTGTCCACCTGCCGGGTCGACAAGTTATTCACTTCCTGTCTTGCTTTGGATTCACGGTGCCACCCCCTCTCGCTGGAATTTGTGCCCGAGGCAATCCCCTAACAGGTCTTCCTAGGTGGCTCACAAGTAGTGACGTTTTGCTCTGCTGCTTCAGGGATCTGTGGTTAGTTTGTGCTTCACTGTCTTCCCTGGTCTATTGGCCCTCGTGGGCGATGCTGATTCTAAACCGCCGACAGACCCAACCAAGCTTGTCGCAGACTCTATAAAAGCAGGAAAGCCCTTCGTCTTCGTCTCTATCAACTACAGAGTCAACATCTTCAGCTTCGGCGACGGCAAAGAGAAGAACCTCGCACTGAAAGACCAACGGCTAGGAATTGACTGGGTGCGCAAACATATCGCGGCATTTGGAGGTGACCCGGTAAGTGTTCCACAAAGCCTAGAACCACGTATAAGGAATACTAAGAGACGACTAGAGCAACATCACACTAGCCGGTGAAAGTGCCGGGGCTGTCTACGTGCACGCGCATCTACTTACGGGCGTTTCTGTGAAAAGGGCCGTTCTTGCCTCGGGGTCTTTGTACTTGTCCTCGCCGTTACCGGTTGAGCGAGGTGCTGCAATGATTAGGACTCTAGAAGATACGGTGAAAGGCCTGGGAGAAACATCGCTCAGGGAGGCATCCGTTTCAAACATCATACATGCATTGCAAAAATGCAATGTTAATACGATGTGGATTCAGGAAGAGCCTGAACTCCAAGATTGGCAGAGCAAACCGGAGCAGGTCGAGGAGGTTATGATCGGGGATACAGAATATGAGGTAAGTACCTCTGCCTGGAAGGGTGCTAGACACCAACTAACGTGAGAGATCAAATCTAGTCTGTGATCTGGAGAAACGGCATCGAGACTCTCGACGGACCAACCATCGCCACGGCGTTCGACCAGGACCCTAAATGGGGCCCACAGCTGCGCAAAGTGTACAACATCGTTGCAGATCGTCCGACAGCTTGTAAGTTAGGCGCCTTGGATTTGGTAAACGATGTGCGATACGCTCTCCCGGTGGAAGTGGTTTCGGAAAAGCTACATGCCGCTGGCAAACGCGTCTACAAATACGTGATCGATCAGCCGAATCCGTGGCAGGCATCCAGCCGTTCTCACCATGCGGTCGACCTTCTTTTCTTGTTCGCAGGGGTGGATCTATCGTTCAATTGTGCCGCGGAGAATGTTGGTCAAGAGATGAGAAACCGATGGATATCGTTTGTGAATGGAAGCGCTCCGTGGTTGCAGGAGCGTAGATTTGCTTTTGGACCATTCGGAGAGTGTCAGGAAATCGATGAGAGACAAGTTGCTAACCGGAGACGACTGGAACATGTCCGGGTTCTCAAAGAGGCTGGGATGGGAGTATACATGCCCATTATATTCGCATTAACGGCAGGGAAGATCAGCTTGCTAAATTAGAACCTGATCTGACTGTTTACAAACATGGGTATGATTGTATCTTGAACTCAATCAAGTACCCGTAGTTGTATCTGACTAAAAACCTCTTCTACGTCCTATTACAGTCAACCTAGGCAGGAATAAATCCAACATTGTGGAAAGCTTTTCTCGCAGCCTCGCGCAGCCGATCCACCGAGAAAACTATCTTTTCCTCCGGATCGCGATGCGGGGATTTTGCCTTGTCGAAGAGTTCGTCCCTCGTTAATCGAATCACCTGGGGGAATACTCCCGGGCTAGGTTCGGGGAATATCGACTATCATGGCATTAACACGATGTTGAACCGCGAGGAGTAGATGGGCAATTGCCAACGATCGTGGGCAGAAAGTAGATCAAAGAGATGGACAGGCAGGGTACCTCCACTTGCACCACTCCACTTTGTCTCCTGTAAACTTCCAACCGACCTCGGATTCGGTTCCTCGGAGATGTAGACCACTCGATGACGATGACGACGTTGACATGCGGTGAGCCGCCGATCAACCAGAGATCCTTGTCTCGGATCAAGCTGGGATAAGTCTTCGCCCAGCCGCTCTCCACGACCAGGGTCGGAAGGTCCTGGTGTCGCGGCTTCAGGTAGTACTCGGGCTGTCTCCACGAGGCCTGGTACGAGGCCATAAAGACGTCGAAACCTGGAAGGGAGGGACCGGATCAGTAGCTGTCGAGTGGGGTACGTGACTCTCACTTTTTTCCTTCGTGGAGTCGATAGCGCCCCACTCGTTGACGAGGAAAGAGCCAGATAGCAAGCCTCTGCCGAGTTCGCGTTTGATCCAGGTCCGGTGCAAGGTATGCATTGGCTCGCAGGCTGTGACGGCGAGTTCTTTGGACGCGGAGTTATAGTTGACACGGCAGGCGAGCGCATTGATGACCGCGTCCTCGGCAAGATTCACGGCAGTAGGAACTCCGACATCTGGGAAAATTCCTTCGTAGACGAGGATGTTGGATCTACTGAGGAGAGGGATGTTGGATTTGATCCTGTGGAAGAGGGATAGCTTTCTGTAACCCATGATTGACGAGGCGATCGTTGATCAATGAAGCATATGGGGTTTGAGATGGCAGACCACCATCTTGACAAGCTCCACATTGATATACTCATCAATGATCAAGGCCTCGTTCTCCCATACTTTGGCGGAATGACGGAAATGAAGGCCGAGAATAGGACGAGTTGACATCATCATTGCTCGAGTGGATGGCACCGCCTGCCATCGCGAAACCGGCGCATGTTCCTAAGGCAGCCCCTTGGGCGATACAAAGGTTACGTTCGTACTTTCACCGCATAGTATACCAGCACGGATGGCGAAGAGCATCTTATGCTAATGTTGTCAGGGATCTTGAAATGCGTCACCAAGTCTCTGGTCATAATATGCCTTGTCACGGAGTTTGGATTGGATGAACCCAGTTATTCCGCGGCTCCAGTATGGGGAAACAATGAGCAAGGAGTTGGGATCATCGGCATGTTTTGTTGAAAATAATGGCTGAATTCGTTCATAAAAGATTGTATGAAGCCCGGTTGGACTCCGTAATGCCGTGCTATAGGTACCAGAAGGTTCCCCCTTTCCGGCCACTCTCTAAAACGGATGCCCGCGGAAGCTTATATTCTGAAGGACAAGTTTTCTCCTCACCAAATGCATCCATAAATTCTTCCCGCATTTCATTATAGCCTTCGGTATCAATCTCGTCGACCGCTTGCCCGGTTAGTCAGATAGGGGGCGCATGAATTCAATAGGGAGAGAGCTAGCCCATTCTAAATCAATCAAGCACTTGATATGCCAGTCTATATCAACCAAAATATTGCTTAGGTGCAGATCAGTTAAATAGAAAACATGGGGTCCGTGATTGAGCCGGCGGTCAAAAAACTGATACACTGTTCTCATCAATGCTAGGGCAGTCATCTGGGAAACACAGTCACTTCCTGGACTTTGATCATATCGATCTATACCTGGAAATTAGGATGGATCGGCAATTGTCGTCCATCGTTTCCCGACCACACCATGTCCTCCAAGCCTCCCCAGTCCCCCAAGTCCCCTCCCCCACCGTGAATCAGCCCTGACTCATGTGGGGAATGGCTTGCGGCTCCACTTGGCATTGCAGCGACTCGGCAAAGCGACGGCTCTGCGACATGCCGATTAGTATGGGAAACCGTTACGACCGCCTCCCAGACGCCCCTGCACGCGGTTGCCGCCGGCTGCCTTGGCCTCTCCCGAATCCCTGCCTCAAACTCTCAATATTATGGCATGGCGATGATGGTGTGCAAGGGAGGATGGTGGACCCCCACAGTGGCTCAAGGGGTCGGGGTATATGAGTTCGCCATTTCCCCGACCGAGCAACTGACTTGAGGGTCGTGATTGATTCTGTTTGTGGTCGGAGATCTATACAGCCCATTCTATACAACATGTCGTCCTCTACAAGTACCCTGTCGGACCCCCAGGAATATCAAAAGATCTTCCACTGGGCGGAAACCCAGAAGGATGGTGCCATTCCTTCCTTCAGCACCCGGCGAAACGATCCCTATGAGGTATGCCCCATTGATCTCAGTGCTCGAGTCAATTGTTAATAGGTCCTAGTATCAATCCGGCTTCGGAAACTCGTACGCATCTCTACACACTCTGTGCAACGCATCCACCAGCTGATGGGAACTAAACAGGTTTATGTCCGAGGCGGTGCCAGGAACCATTCCCCATGGTCAAAATAGCCCTCGCCACGTTCGCTTCGGGCTGTATGCGGAGCAAATCACAGCCACGGCCTTTGTAGCACCGCGACATGCCAACAAGAAGGCTTGGCTATACCGCGCTCGTCCCGCCGTGGCTCACCAGGGATTTGTACGCTGGACACCTTGGCATTTTATAAAATATATTCAAATTGGACTGACCAGTGCCTTCTATCTAGACGGATCTCCCCGACAACAAAGACACCGAGTCGAACTTCTTGCCACTCAACCCCCGAGTTCATGTATCACCCACCCAGTTGGCCTGGCATCCCGTTGAGATTCCCAACGGGGAGGAGGTGGACTTTGTGTCCGGTCTAAAGACGGTCGCAGGCTCGGGAGATCCAACTCTTCGGGAGGGTCTGGCCACCCATGTGTACGCCGCGAATACCAGCATGACCAAGAAAGCTTTTGTGAACTCGGACGGTGAATTCCTAATCATTCCTCAACAAGGCGCGTTGGATATCCAGACGGAATTCGGCCCGCTGTTTGTTCAGCCGGGAGAACTTGTTGTCATTCAACGAGGATTACGTTTCCGTGTCGAACTGCCGGACGGGCCTTCGCGAGGATATATCCTTGAAGTCTGGGGCACGCACTACGAGCTGCCGGAACTGGGACCCCTCGGGGCTAACGGACTTGCCAATCCTCGGGATTTTCTCTCGCCCGTTGCCAGATACGAGATTGCTCAGGAGCCGTGGGAGATTATCTACAAGCTGGGAGGAAAGTTCTTCAAAAGCACGCAACAACATAGCCCGTTTGACGTCGTTGCCTGGCATGGCAACTATGTAAGTGTCCCTGTGGCTTTCTACATGGTCACCGTGAAATTAACCTTTTAGGTCCCTTATAAATATGACCTGACCAAGTTTGTCAACGTCGGCTCCATCTCCGTCGACCACATCGATCCGTCCATTTTCTGCGTGCTCACGGCCAAATCTCGGGATCTGACGGCACCCCTGGCTGACCTACTCATATTCTCTCCCAGATGGGATGTTGCATCGCGTATGTCTTGTCAACATGCCCAATGCACTTTTTGTCTGTTTACTGATGTTTTAATTTAGACACCTACCGACCGCCTTACTACCACCGGAACGTAGCATCCGAACTAATGGGTCTCATCTACGGCGAATATGGCGGCCGATCGGACGCCTTCAAGCCAGGAAGTATTTCCTTCGAATGTGGCAGTGAGTTCCGTCTTTTATCTTCCCCATCCGATTCATGAACCAAAATACTGAAATTATTCAAGTGGTGCCCCACGGCGTCGCCTACGAGGAGTTCAAAGCCGCGTCGGAGAACCCGCCGCCGGTCGCGCGCATCTCCGAGGCTTCGATCGCCTTCATGTTTGAGTCGAGTCGCCCGTTCACTATCACCGATTATGCATGGAACAGCGACCAGCGACATGAGCACGAGCCGAAGATGTGGGACAGCCTAGTGGATAACTTCTCCCAGTATAAGGATGAGGTCGAGGAGATCTTGGCGCGCAAGGCCAAGGGGCTGAGGATTTGAGTTCGTGAGTTGGATGAACTAGATTACTGTATATAAGATTGTGGATATTATGAATTGATGTCTTGTGCCGAGTCTGTATGCCCCTGTCTCTCCCCGTCCTCTCTCAAGACTTGTACAACGTGTAGCCGATGCAGCAAGGCGACACCCCATTGACCGGGTTCCAGACAGCCATCTATTATTAGCCACCCCCTGCCTTGATGGATCCTGTGTAACGCTGCCATGTTCTTTGCGGAGAGAACACGCAAAGCACAGCAATTCAATCCTATTCATACTTCAATAAGGCCTGCCAGATCTTGCCTGCCCGTCAGCCGGGCTGAGCCAAGCGCATAAGCCCCAGTCAGCCGCCCAATGCAGGAAGACAAGATACGAGCCGGACTGCTGCTTATTTACCCTTCCAGGAACATGATCGATGGCCGGATCTTCCCTGTCTTAGAGCTGTCTTGCTGCTTTCATGCCTTTTTTGTTACTTAGTAGTTGTTGATGTATACTTTTGTGGCTTATTGGGTGGGTCGACCTGCGTTCGGTGATTGTGTATCATGTCGACTGGTTGCAATGGGGGAGTTGTGTTGGAACATGTCTCATCATCTTTTGGTTGATGGATGTTATTTATGGAACACAAACAGCGAGCGAGTCCGGATGGGAGAGACGCTGGAGAAGTATAAAGATGGGGATGGTGCCGGTCGATTGAGTATTCATTCAATCCAGCAATCTAGTACTTCAACGAAAAGCATCTCGTGAATCTCTAAACCGAAGACTTTTTCATTCCCTCGAGCTTGTTCTTGACAAATTCAACTCAATAAATACCGATCATCATGCAATTCTCCGCCCTCGCCGTCCTGCTGGCCATCGGATCTGCCGTCGCAGCCCCGACCACTGCTGCCAAACGCAGCAGCGCGCTGCAAGTTACCGACTTCTGGATCAACGCCTCCAGGGCCAGCGGCGTCACGAACGCGCATCTTATTCTGACCGATCCCAACTACCCCGACGACACCCCTGTGGAGTGCAATGTGAAGTGGTCAGTGGCCCTCCTTGGTAGATACTTACTCATACTTATGCATGGGACTGACGAGAGGATGGTGATCTCCAGGGCCTTCAACGGGAACCCCGTCGAGAACCCCCGCTGTCTCGGTGGTCAGTACTATATCCGCTTTCCCAACGGAGGCAAGGACGTCAGCCAGATCACGTTGGAGCTAGAGCGCGTCGAGGGGCCCATCCCCGAGAAGGCTCGGGTGACGTTGAACGACGAGACGGAGGGGTCCAAGTGGAAGTGCGGACCGACTGACAACCCCGGCGTGACGGAGCGATGCAACTATGACGGCGTGCTGGAGATTCCTGTCTAAGGGGTAGTTGTAGCGATGTTGTGGTTGCTTCACTTGGTTTGGTGTGCTGTTCTGGTGTGTAGATTGAAGATGACGTTGGTGTGCAGTTGTTTCGTTGGTGTGATAGTTGAAATGTATCGTTGTTCTGATTCTGTGAGCGAGGAAGTCTTCTCCTGATGTAGTGTGTACTGTAGATGTGGACTCAGTCTCATGCGTGAACCTCGACTGTACCCTTGTGGCAGAAAAAATACCGCTACACTAAAAAGGGTCAACCCTTGTTAGTAAGGGTTATTTCTAGTGTATATCCGCGGCGACAACCCTGTCCCGGTCACGTGCACCGCGCCTGAGGATGGCCGTGTGGCAAAAACAAGAACAGTTGGTGCGTGCCCCCTCTTCAGTAGGCAGGCGGGGTTTCTCCAGACTACGATTCAATCCTATTCCTCGCACTGTCATCCCCAGACTAGAGACCTTCGGTCATCCAGACACGCCATGATGGCCCAATGTGGCGGGGCTGCGGCAAAACCCCTCGAACAAGGATGGGCAAGGATGGGCATCGATGAGGTCATACGGATTACTTGGCCATCGCCAGGACATTGGAGGGCTGGACAACTCATCCCGATGGCAACCGGGAAAAAAAGATAATGAAAATCAATGTGAGAATAAAAATAAAATCTTGCGAACGTCTTTTTATTTTCATGATTGGTATCAACACGGCCAGAATTACGGACATACAATTATTCGGGCGCTTCGCCTGCCTGTATGCGGATGGTTCCAGATCCCAGGTGCCCTTTCGAAGGGTCGGGGCCTCATCTTGCCGGGGGTGAGTGAAAAATCGGCACGGGAAACATAATAAGTCTATCACGATCGGCTCAAAGGAAATAGTCGGGCGTACGCCTCGAGACCATCGGTTCTCCGGCGCGCGGGCAGGGATCAAACTGTAAGCTAGAGGAAGAAGGATCCCATGTCAGTACCTATGCCACAACCAGACGAAGAAAAGAGAATCCGGGTCAAACATACAACGTATACTTCAGATGCTCATCAATTTCCATAATGGCGGCCTGGTTGCCGCACCGGTAGCAGTAGTTTGGAGCTGAACGGGACATGAGCACGCAAATTCCGGAGAGGGAAAGAGGGGAAAGATAGCAAGCATACCCGAGAAAATAGTCACGACATTCCGATCCTGCGACCAATTGTATCCCTCCATTACCAGTTGATGCGCTCGTGCCACCAGAGTCAAGCCGTTGTTGTGATTAAATGCCTCCGAGATATCCTGCCCGAATGTGTATCCAGCACCACGGGGGGAGATACCCCAGCCGCATCGGTCGTCGGGATCACTCCACAGCAAGTCACACATCGGTCCCTCGTGGGGAACCTCCTGGATTCGGTCCAGCGACCGGATGTTGTCGAGCGTGTCGATCGACGGACTCAGACCGCCGTGAAGACAGAAGATCTGGTTTTCAATGAGTGCGGTGAGGGGGAGGTAGTCGAAAAGGTCGGTGAAGTATTTCCACACGTTGGCGTTGCCATATTTGCGCAGGCACTCGTCGTAGAAACCGTACACTTGCGTGATCTGGCGGGACTCGTGGTTTCCTCGGAGAATTGTGATCCGCTGGGGGTAACGGATCTTAAGGCTGACAAGAAGTGTCACGGTTTCGACAGAGTAGTAACCCCGATCGACGTAGTCACCTGCAACCAAGGAACGGGCAGCGGTGAGCGGCGGGTCCCAACAAGTCGAAGCAAACAACAAGAGACAAAGGGAATCTCACCCATGAACAGGTAGTTGGTGTCTGGATTCGGTCCGCCAATACGAAAAAGCTCCATCAAGTCGTGAAATTGGCCGTGTATATCACCGCACACAGTGACCGGGCATTTCTACCACGGTAAGGTCAGCCCCGTGCATCGGTCGCTGCGGTCTAGGAAAATGTCGTCGGGGGTCCCTTGACGAACACGACCCGACCGAGTGGGAAAACTTACAACGGGCTGCACGTTTGATTCTTCCTGCAACACTTCTCTTGCCTGTCCGGATCCAAGCGAAAAATCCATTGTCAGAATGATATCCCGCCATCGTGAATTTCGAATCTACGATTCAGAGGAAGAGGTAACGCACTCGGTCACACAGTCTTCGCACATCTTCCTCCGCCAGTTGCTTGCAGCTCATCAAGTTCTCGATCCATCCGTCCAGCGTCGGTATCGACCCAGGGTCGGTAGTGGGCGACAGATGGTGGGGTTCGGGCGACCGCGCCGCATCGATCTCCATGTTGTTATCCATTGCAGGGACCACGAGCAATGATTCAGGGGATGAAAGGAGATGCCAAATTAGCAGCCGAGGAGGGGCGGAAACGCTGAAAAGGGATGGTCTCGTGAGGCAGGCTTGGGTCTGTTTTTTTTGGTGCTGAGAACAAGGATCCACACACCGGCTACGCGCGCAGAAAGGGGGAGGGTGGGATGAAAAAAGCAGAATTGAAGAAGAAACCAGACAATCGGGTCACGGAAAGATGACAACCCGAGGACTGGAGTTTGGGGGGGGGGAGGATGGGTGGGTTGGATAAGAACGATGGGGGGGTAGAGGAGGCAGAGAGGGAGAGAGGGAAGAGACGGAGTGAGTGTTGGGTGGTGAAGGAGTGACCGAGTAGCTTTGGCCGCCTTTGGGCTGCCGTGCGCCACACCGACCAACGCCACACCTGTCCTTACGCTCTGCTCTCCCCACGATTCCTGACTCTCCCCCGCCAATTCGTTCGAGAGCAAGTTAAAAAAAATTTTCGGTAAAATCGAACTCGAACTCGATCAGATGGATACGATCCTCTTGTCACTAGGAATCGTTTATTGTTTGGGTCATAATTCATACAACTTAAAAATACTATTAACATGATTGTCCTCCATGCGTTTCCTTGCTCCGGCGAACAAATTTCCCCTAACCGCGCACCTAACTACCTAAATGATGTCACCGCCAAATCCGCCAAACCCTCCGCCGGCGCCGCTTCCACCAAAAGGCCCGCGCCCTCGTCCAAACGGCGCGCCTCCCGGTCCGACCGGATCGTATCTAGCTCCGGGGGGTGCTTGGGGGTTATATCCTCGGCCTTGTCCACCACCGCCAAATAACGGATCGTCGAATGTAGGGTGCATGCCACCTCCACCTCCACCCCCTAAGCCCGGACCAATGCCACCCCGCAGAGGGTCATGAGGACCGAGTCCAGGGGGGTATAGATCCCGATCGCCAATATTCAACGGGTTCCTCCCGCCGAATCCAGGGTGATAGCCCCGTGGAGGCCGCTGGATCTCAAACTCGTCTTCGAAGCCGGGAGGGGCGAAGTCACCAGGGGGAACCGGCCGGCGCGGAGCGGCCGCCAAGGGATCATCGAAAGGATACGGACGAGCGGGTTGAGGAAGCGGGTCATCTGCTAAAGGGTTTCGCGGTGGCGGTCTTTCTCCCCGTGGTTCCTGCAAGGCCAGGTTGTCGGAAGGTTCGTACCCTTCCTTGTACACCCCGGGTGCGAGTCTCTGGATAACGTTGATCTTGAACAAAGAGATTAGATCGGTCAAGCGTGAGGACGAGATGAAGACGTCGCGTAGACGGTCGGAGGTGAGATCGGCGCTCGACGTGATCGGGAGGGAGGACGGGGAGATGAAATCCTTGGCGGCGACGTCGAACGACGTAGTTCTGTCATCGCCAAGCGCCAGCGCTAGAATAACGGCATTACTCCCCAGTCGATTCACTTTGAGTAGGTAGTGCATGGAGGATTGTGGGTGAGAGTATCGAAAAGCTAAGGTATCGTTCAGGTTCCATTCCGATGGCAAAGAGGGGCTGTCCGAGGAGCTGGCTGTTACCATGAAGATGAATTAGCCAACGTCCAGACGAGAACGGGGAGAAAGATAGCTTCTACCAATCGAATGTTCCTCTCCTAACCCTACCAGCTTGAAACCGACGGCGACCATGGAAGCATGGCCGATGAGAGCAACGGCCTCGGTAGCCGACTTCAGACTAGATTCTGCAGTGCCGTCTCCCTGCAAAGCGCTTCCTGCAAGTGACAGCACGTTGTCAGGACGAAGAACATCGGCGTTTGTAGCCATCCTGGAAGGGAGGTGGAATATGATGGTTGAGTGCGAAAGGATATTTTGCGTTGAGGCAACGCTATGAGAGAGAGAGAGAGGCGAAGGACTCTTGACAGGCAGCGACAGGAATGAGCAAGCAATCATGTCATCCGCTTATCGGGCCTGCGCTTATCGGCTTAGTCATCGTCGATCTTTGGTAACTAACTAACTAACTAGTTATCCCGGGCGATGCCGATTCGGGAAGGCTCTACTCCGTACACATCGCCTCCGGAGAGTTCCATGGACAGTACTCCCTACCTACTCAGTACTCCGGACTAGACACTCCGCTCGGTCTCACGTTCGGCATGTTGATACTCCAGCTAGTCCGTAAGGTGCGAGTGACCGTCCTTATTCGGAGACTTTATCGGCCTCCTTGATTCAGCTTGAAATGCATTAGTAATCTTTCTGCGTCCGGGTGGAGACACGACGCTATATATAAACGTCCTATGTATCTATCGCCAGAGCAGTCCAAACATCAGGATTCAGCATTGGAGGGTGTTACTCTTGGCCATATTCATACGTCCAACTATCCACACAGATTTGCATCTTGCGATTATTTCGATAGCATCTACAAGCCACCTCTAGGAGCGAACCCCAACCATGCCATCCACGCAGATCGTCTTCTTTGACCTGACATCCAAGGACCCTCGCGGAACCTGGACACCCAACCCTTGGAAGAGTACGTCGGCATCCCCATAATCATGTTAATTGCCGTGTTTCCTGTGAGTTTCGTTCCAAGTTAACTTGGCGTAGCTCGCCTTGTCCTGAATTTCAAAGGCCTGGATTATCGGACTGAATGGGTAAGTTTTAAGGCGTTTGTCTCGCGAGACCCGAGTATCCCGCTAACGTATACCGGCAGGTGGAGTATCCTGATATCAAACCGACCCTCGAGGGCTAGTCAGTAATCCCTAATCTCGTAGAGACACGGTCTAACTCTTATGTAGCGTCTCCCCGGATGCTGATGGCACCTATACCATTCCAACCATTGCACTCCCAGATGGTAAGTACATCATGGACTCGCGGAAGATCGCAGAGCATCTGGAGGATTTCCATCCCCAGCCCAGCCTACGTCTCGACTCGCCCTATCTTTGGAAGGCCGAGGACCTCTGGAAACGTTTCATCACCACTATTCGTCCCGTCTTCATCGCCCAGATCCCGAAGCGTTTGCTCAACGATGCCAGTATCGACTACTGGTGCACCACCCGGGAGAAGATATTCAATATGCCTGTTGACCAAGCAGAGAAAGAGCTTGGAGGGGAACAGGGATGGAATGAGGCCACCGCGGTGATCCAGGAAGCCACGACTCTATTGAGCGAAATCGAAGGCCCCTTCTTCGAAGGAGAGGTTGCTGGCTATGCAGACTTTGTATGGGCGAGTGTCCTGCTCTTCTGCGTGCGAATGGGACCGGACTTTCTCGACGAGGCGCTCAAGAGGAGCGGCAATCCTCAGGTGCACCTCGACCTTCTCGAGGCGGTGAAGCCGTGGTTGAATATTACGGAGTAGTCACCAGTGAACTACTCACTTCGCGCGCAGTGTTGGGGGGATATAGACGATATGATTTAGTCAGTTAGTTATGATGTGATGTGATTAGCTCGGAAGCCGGTAACAACATTAGTCCGTCCGAGGCTCATATATTGCAGAGGCCACAATCCTCTTCAAGCACTCAAGTGTCTCTGTACTCTAGGCTACGTTTTAGATAGAGTATTACTTCATTCATTTGCATTCTCCTTATGGCTCGGACCGATCGAACTCTACCATTCCTCTGAGCTTAACCACTTCAAGTTATATTTTTCGGCCGCAGTTCACCGCCTAAGCACGTGTCCCGCCGTCCCCTGCAAGATGCTCGACTCTCAAAATTGTTTCGGGAGATCTGCGCGAGGCTTACACCATAGAAAGACAGCAATGCTGTTTGTTGCGCTCTAACACTTGCCATGAATGATAAGAAACGCCGATCCCGGACAGGCTGCCTCACATGTCGGACACGGCGGGTGAAATGCGACGAGAGAAAACCGACGTGCGAGCGCTGTGAAGTCGCTAATGTAGAATGTACTGGCTATTCTAGGAAACGACGCTTGGCCTTTCCCCGATCAATAGCAAGCTCAACCTCCACCACTCCAGCCGCCTCGTCATCAGACCTGGGACATCCGGGGGACGCCACGATACGTCCCCAGGTCCGACCAGACGGTCTACCGCTGATAGCTTTGCCAAATAACCCGACCCCATCACAGTTGCCGCATACCCGAGCGCGTGATGTATTGGCTTTCCACCAGTTCCTGTTTAGGACTATGCCAATGTTATTTCCACCCAAGAGCCTCTCCTTCTGGCGAGACTATATTTGCCAGGAGGCGTGGGAGGTGGAGTATGTCTTTGATGCTGTCGTTGCACTCGGATGCATGCACAGAGCCACTTTGCTGCTGTCTCTACAGACCGAGAGCGACCGCGATCATGGCTTCGACACCAAAGTCATTGCCATCCAGATGTATTCAAATGCATTGAAAGGCGTATCGGATAGTTTGGCCAGTACACAAATCTCGATGGCTCTTCTCCTAGGGGTGCTGATCCTCTTTGCATATATCGAGGTGAGTCCCCTCAGGGAGGATTAATAGCAGCAGCTGACGGGATGCTAGAGCTTTGATGGAAACGTCCCAGCGACAATACGTCACATTCACATGGCCAACCACTATTTTCAAGCAATGTGCTCGAAAAGCACCCGGGAAACAGAGCGGTTTAAGACGCCGATTGAGTTGTGTCTCCACGACCTGGATATCATCCGCCGTGTGACCTTGCCGGATCTCAAGGTGATCCGAATGATATCGCCGCTTTATAGACCAAATGAAAGCCATAACGCTGCGTCGACACCTTTGCAAGGATGTGTGGATTTTTCACCGAAATCTCTCCTACAACAGCTTCTCGATATCGGCTCCATGGACGGCGACATCAAGCCGTTAATTTGGTGTCCAGTTGCAGCTCATCGGAAATTGATGCCAGAGGAGAAAATCGTCGGCTTCATCAAGAAACTCAAAGAGTGGGAGGCTACTAATGCAATTCTATTCCACAAGCTCGGCGTTGATGAGGCGCTCTCGGAGCCCGTCAACTTCGACCTTGCAATTTTGGCCAAAATCCCTATCCCCCCGCCGCCGCATGCAAACTTGCCCAAAGACTTTTGTCTTATCTTCGCCCTCTATGTCTTCTACCGAACAAGGCTTTCCTGGGCATTAAGCATTTACAATGAGGGCGAGAGCAACCTCGAGCTCGATTCCTATCATTTCACTTATCAGCTGTTGCGATTTGCCACGACAGCCTTGAACAGCCCACTATCCTCCTCCGATGATATCCCATTCGGATGCGAGGCCCTGACAGTAGGACTTTCACCAATACTCTTTCTGGCTGGGCAGTCCTGCCCAAGGCCTACCTGGCTTCGATGGATATTATTTGAATTGGACCGCAGCGGCCGAGAAGGGGTTTGTAACAGCAAAGCCTTTGCTTCAAGCCTAGAGGTCCTGTCTACTCTCGAAAAGCGCGTGGGCCGGGAGCCGAGACGGCCTGACGTGGAATACTTCACCCCGCCACATCGGCGTGTCATTTCTGTCGTTTTCCCAGACTTGGATGGGCGGGGCTACGTCACATACTACGCTCAAGCCCGGCCGGGTGAGGGAATAGATACACAGGAATCTCATACCCCCTTGTGCATCGCACGCTGGGCAAGTTCTGCCAATGGCGGTAGACCAGCCGTAACTAACTGTTATGGGACGGATGTGCCATTCAGTGAATGGGTCATGGACCAGCCTCTAGTGAAGGAGTGGGCACAATGGTTAACATTCTCCGAGTTTGATCTTAATCAGACGCTTCATGATCACATCAATGGAAGTCGTCTTTTACTCGACCGTGATAGGATGACTGATAGTAAGTGGTAAGCATAAATGTTGGATTGCTGAAGATGCGCTACGGTAAATTTGCACTATGATTCGCGTCATAAATATCGTTCGTCAATAAAAACCTTCTTGATGGATCTGACTTGACGAGACTCCCACAGCTCGCAGCCCGTCAGTCACCGAGTCCCCAAAAGCATTAGGCCCGCAGATAAAAATGTCTTTGCCGCGCGGAATATCCTTCCAAAACTCTGGGACGACACGACCACTGTGAACACAAATGTTCTGATTTGGCTTGAGATGACCGGCATTGAACTCTGGATCATGGGTGAATATAGCAATTTTGATACGAACGGTCGGTGCTATCCTTTCAAGAGAGGGCCGCATCATATCAAGCATGATGCTCGGTTCTCTCGTTGCAAGAACCAGCATGACATCGCCTTCAGCTGCAGGTCCACGCTCTGCCAGCGCATTGAGCATAGCGAGGAATGGCGTGATTCCAATGCCACCGGCGACCCACAGCGCATCGAGTTTCTCGTGGTCCATGAAAAAGTCACCCGTGACGCCAACGATGTCGGCGACGATAGGAGTGTCAAAAACAATAGGCTGACCTGGCTGAGCGGACTGGTCTTTTCTCAGACGATCAAATAGAGCACCAGTCACCGCGCCTCCTTTCATTTCTCGCATTGTTAATTCGAAGTATGTCGCATTTCGCTCTTCATGGGCACTGGAGACTGTCCATGTACGGACGCGATCATCATTGATTGACCCCGGGGCGGAGTTTGCCATGTGTTCGTACTGCGGTGGTCCTATCCAGTCCATAAAATCAAGCACGATAGCTTGACCGGGGCGGATTCGCAGATCGCCAGCACTAGGTTTGGAAATGACTTCAAACTTGAACACCGCAAGGTCAGAAGAGACCTGCACTGCCTCTTGAAGCTTTGCTTTGCGCTCTTCACTGTCCCTACTCTGGGCACCCAGCTCTTCCACTAAATATTTGATCTTTGGACTGTATGGACTGCGTTCAACGGAGGTATCATCTTGCTGTCGAACTGGGAGAGCGTCTCGGACGAAGACGAACCCGGTAACATTCACAGATGTGAGAGCGGCATGTCTCGCCATGACCTCAAGTGCAGATGGACCTACTAGATTTTTAGCGGTACCCGTCAAATAGAGAATGTCGCCCGTCGTAAACGACACGATCGTCAATCCCACCAGCCCACTAGCCTCGATGTTGCCCAAAGTGGACACAAATCGGTTTCCAGAGTAGTCTGGCACCACGACCGTGCGGCCATCAGACGGGCTGACTCGAATAAAACCCGGTAAGCCGCTGCGAGCGTTCATGCCCGCGTGCGGAGGGAACGTGTGCAGATCCGACGGCGATGATTTGTAGATGGACCCGACAAAGACCGTATCGGCCTGGAGGATGAACGCCACTACCTCTTCTGGAAGTCGGCCGTGCGGTTCCCAATGCCGATGTCGATGTTCGACCCTGGGAAGCGTATGCAGATGAGGGATGAGCTTTCGAATGTTGATGTACTTGGGACAGTTCCTGCGCAATATTAGTCTTCATTCCCTAGTTTCAAGAGCCATGATCTTAGAGTGCGTACCCTATTGTTTGGGTGACTCTCAAGTGTAGCTTGTAGTCCAGGATAGACTTGTGCTCCACACTTTGAATAGTCCCAGCGAATTTGTTGCGCCGTCGGGTGGAGAACTCGATTCCCAGACCGGCAGTCAAGAATCTCTGGGCGACTGTGGACTGGCCAGGGTTAGGATCAACCCACGCCTTGACTGTGTCAAGTAATGGGTCTCCATCCCAGAGACGAGCATGAACTGAGAGAGTTTGTGAGTCCGGGCTATGAACAAAACCAGCCTCCCCGGTTGACCCCGCGACAATCGCTGCCCACGGGCGCCCGTCTTCATCCACAGTTGTGATGGGAATGAAGGGCAGTTTGGAGGTATGAAAGACGCGGTGCTGCTCGGGCATGAAGCTGCGGACCATCGACCAGGTGTCTTTAATGGCGTCTGCATACCCTAGCCTCCGCTGGATGGAGATCTCGCCTGGATGCCATCCGTGTAGTGCTGTGGTCGCCATGGCGGCAGTTGAGGGGTGTAGATCGTCCGCGGCAGATGTCACCAGTCTTTATTTTAAACAATCACATATCCGTGCGGCGTCACCAGTAAACCTTGTGACCGGCTCTTGTACGTTGTCGCGACTTGAACCATGATAGAAGGTTGGTGCAGTTGGTGCGGTTTGATTGCTCGCGTAGCTCGCGTAGCTCGCTTGCGTTGCTTGACTCGCCTCGACGTCTCCACTTTGATGATGCCATCATGCTTTGCATTTTGGACGATAAATAGGTCAGTTTGAACCCCCATTTGATCCTGGAATTGCTCCCCACCTTCCATTTCATTCACCCTTTCGCTGATCACGATTGCTGCCCCGATGACCGTGCCCGTCTACCACTACTTCGACCTTGGTCGCCTGGGTCGCGGAGAAGTAGTCAAGCTGTTCCTCATGGATGCGGGAATCGAGATCGAAGAGGTTAACTATCCATACGACGAGACCTGGGTCGAGAACAGCAAGAAGCTCCAGCAGCAGGGAATCACGAGGACACGCAAAGTGCCTGCACTGGAGTACCGGGGCTTGATTCTCACCCAGCACATTCCCATCTTGCGTTTCTTTGCCCGGGAGTTGGGCCGCTACGACGGCGAGACTAATGTGGAGAAATTCGTGGTTGATGCGGTTTCGGACATCTACATCGATTGGAGAGTCAGTATTTGTCGTTCAAGTTCCTATTCTGAATTAACCACTAGACAGTCCCAATGGGTGGCCAACCTCACGAAGAAATCGGAAAAATACAAGAATGAGGTTGCCCCCGAGTACTATAAACTTCTAGATCAGTACTACAGGGACCATGCTGGCCCTTACCTGCTGGGCAACACGGTGACCTATGCCGACTTTGCCGTTTACCAATCCATCGATAACGACGAGAGAACTGGGACACTTCCGGTATGTCATTGTTCACTATCAATGATACATAGCTAACACTGTCATCATAGTCATCTCTCCCGGAGTCTCTGCTCAAGTTTCGGGAAGTTTTCGAGCTGCGTCCCAATATTGTGGCGTACCTGAAGGAGACACGATTGGACTAGGATCTAGCTTCATTGAGTTCACAAGTACCCATGTTCAGATAGCCAACGCAGATAGTCCATTCAAATAGCCTATGCATTGCTAGCAATTAACTACGCTGAGATTGTCAAATGGAAATTAAGTGAAAGAACATGTATGCCTTTTGGTTGGCCGAGTATTGTCTCAATTTAGACCTATTTCACAAGAGAAAATCTTTTCCACCAACGAACAAAAGCAACATTGTCGATATCTAAACACATCAAAGGGCTTAACATATTACGCGCTAAAGTGATAAGCGAGGGCTCTTAAAACCACCCAGATTTTAGGAGAGAGGCCTTATAACGCCAACGATGGTCCTATCACAATATTGGGAACCCGATTGGAAGGCGCCTGATCCGTGACTTCTTCCATTGGTCTCACTGTATAATCTAATTCTTTTAAGTTCTAAACAATGTTTCTTCGGCGCCCGGGCTTAGTTTTGTGCAAATGTAGCGGACCTTCCTCACTTCGGATTTGCAACTCAGCCTGACGGAAACGCCTGGTCAAGGATACCTTAGCAAACCTCTACAAGTTGAAATATGGGGAGATATAGTATACATACTGTTCCCTAGAGCTGAATAATGTATCAAATATCAGCGTCTTGACTTCTTCACTATATCGCTGCAGAGGATTTCGTGCTGCGGTAACAAAACTGTCGGTTGACTTGGTCAAAAGTTATGTCTCTTCTAGCTGCCTTTCTAGGCTAGATTGCTTATCATTCTTCATGTGTTCAAACCACCGTTTGCAGCTAGATTGAAAGAATCAGACCTTCATCATCGATATTCCTAAGTGTACATTACTAGCAGTTACGCCTAGAGAGACGGCCAACAGTACCCTTCTACCCTTCCGCCTGCCTTGGGGTTCGACCTCGCTTAGTAAGCTAGATATCTTAGATAAGTGGCCACACCGGCCACCCAATACACAACACATCCATCGCTTCCCACAGTCGCCTGCTGGGGCAAAGGCCGCCAGGGGGTAAGCCCAGGGCGTCACTAACTAGTTCTAGTTCTAGTTCTAAGTACAAATAAGGGACTTTAGCGCATGAAATAGCTGCTGCAGTCAAGAAGGAGAGCCTGTGGATCAGGCGGAAGTTAATGCCAGCTGCAGAGGTCCTAATCTCCATGACCTATCCTATCACGTCTATCTTTTTTTGGGGGGGGGGGGGGGGGTCTCAGTCTAGCTGAGGTAGTGGATGCCGTATGCATATATCCTCAAAGAAACGAGTTTCTGATAGCCACGCAGCCAGCTCGGTTGCACCTTTTGGGGTGGAGTTGTAGTATAGTGTGGCAGAAATGTGGGTCTACCGAAGAAGTGATTATTCAACTGAGTTATATGATCATATTCAAATGAATGAAGGTCTTGATTCTTTCTAACTACACGATAAAGAAGCCGATATTTATGCAATTTCAGGGGCTTCATGGTCGTCATAAATGAGCGGAATTGCACGATTTATCGTCATAAATCAATGCGGTTGCATGATCGATCTGGTCAAGCAAGGCGATGATATAAGCGGTTTTAGTCATCTACCGCGGCCACATATAGAATCAATAAAGTGGGGAGCGGTCATGTGAGCACACCCGTCCCCGTCGGGCCTAGCGTGACCCCGTGCCAGCAGCTGCCCGATGGGGTAAAATCGCCCACTGCGATCCTCCTTCTCTCGCCTCCCCACTTCCCTGCCACGTTCTTCTTGTGGTGTTGCACGGCAGCATGCCACGACTGGGTATGTAACCAGTGGGGACCGGACTGAACTCTGCTTAAATCTGTCACATACCTGACCTCATCGTAGGCCCCGCCTGCTTGACGTGCAGAGAAAAATGTCGGAAATGCGACCGCGCTCGTCCGACCTGTAATCGCTGCATCACTAAAGGCCTGGACTGCGGGGGTTATCCAGAACAGTTCCGGTTCTGTGGCATTGCCAGTCGCGGGAAATGGAAAGGTGCCCAGGTTCCGGTAGGGGATCGAACTACGAGGGTACGCTCCAATCGAGTTGCCCGACAGCAGACTCGGGACTCGTCGACTGCGCCGCCTGTGTCGGGAGACACCCCGAAATCTTCGGAACAAACACAAACATCTCCAATCTTGGTAAGGCCAATTGAGAGCCCGCAGAACCCGTCGGATGAAATCGTGCGGATCCTGGGTCTGACCGAGACCGAGACTCTTCTCTCACACTGTAGGCGAGTCCGTTCCCCCTAGAGCGTGCCGGAAGGAAAGAATAACGTGGCCACGCAGATGATAGCTTCATTTGTCCGCATCAGATATCAGGAATCGGGGATGATGTAGATAACCCTTACCGATCATATATCCTCCCATTGGCCCGGCAGCAAATAGGATTACTCTATGCCGTGCTGGGGCTGTCCGCAGCTCATCTTGGGAAGCTGACCGACAATTCTACACTCTATGACACCACGGCTGTCGAATATCGCCTTAGAGCCATCCGTGCGCTGAGCAAAGAGATTCGACGAAGCCAGAGCGAGACTTTGCTTGCGGATGAGCAGGATGCTGTGCTGGCTATCATTCAGATTCTGCTGCTTCATGACGTAAGTATGGTGTTTGCCATGAGTTGCCAACACCCTGACTCACTTTCTTTAGATCGCGGAAACTGGGGTCTCAAGTCACGGGATCCATATTACGGGGGCTATGTCTGTCTGCAAGAGGCTGTTAATTGCCGAGGGGCTAAATGGACATCGCCAGCGGGCAGTGTTTTTCCTAGGAAACCTGGCCTGGTTCGTACTCACGATCTGATTAGATGCGCAAAACCGGCTTACTGTACACAGGCTTGATATCATACGAGGCTTTGCCGGCGCTGAGCGATTATGCTTCTCCCAAGACGTTCGAGAAATGGTGGCATTTGCTAGCGACTATAAATTCGAGTTGGTGAATGGATGCCCGAGGGACGTCTTCCTGATTATCGGAGGCGTCCTGGATAAAGCTAAAGAGCACACATTGGGGTGGCTAACGTGGAACGAGTTTCAAATTGCTTTGCTGTTGGCAAAACATAAATTATATTCTTGGGACCAAAAGAGCTTTAAATTCCCCAATGCTGATCCCCGCTGGTCGGCAGCAGCGGAAGCCTTTCGGTATGCATGTATACTGCGCATCCTTCGGCTGCTGGATCCATTTCAACCGGCCAACACTCCCGAGATACAGGATTGCGTAACAAAGATTCTGGATGCTACTGCCGAGATTCCCTTTGATTGCTCGATCGTCGAGCTCTTGATCTTGCCCCTTTTTATGGCCGGTGCCGATTCATTATCGCCTCACTCGCGATATTACGTGGTCTGTCGAATAAATGAAGTTGAAAGGAGATCTGAGATCCGAAATCCAATCCCAAAAGATTTGCTTCGGAAGGTGTGGGATGCTCGGGCGGCCCAATCTCCTGATGAAGATAGGAATGTATCATGGACGGAATTTGTTAGTCCTCTTGCCGTATGACACGGTTTCTACTCGAATCCGCTAATGTGGTATAGACTCATTCGCCTGAATTGGCGCGACAGCATGACTATCTCATCATATGAAACAAACACTCCAAGAGATCAACGAGCGCTACATATGGGAATGATATACCCTGCATTCGGATCGTCGGGTCGGATGATTCCAATACGTGTCATGTGAATCAGGCTGTCCGCGTTCCACACGAGACACGTGTATCGAAAGTGCTGCATGGCCGGAGTGTATACATTGCTTCGAAGGATACATGGATATCATCTAAGAAGCAGTTGTCTCCCAATGTCACTTCACTAAGTGAACAGAAATACTGGCGAGGAAATCTTTTACGATTAGTCTACCCGACCCGAGGATTGAAGACAAGAAGACAATTCCTCGAGGATCAACTGCATCAAGTCCTCATGGAGAGGCCGAAAAGATTAGACAAATCTCAAGCAAAAACGCCAACGTGATCAGTTACGAGATCAACTGCAGGGTTCGAGCTGCCTGTTCGTTCCCAACCCGTTGTAACTGTGAATTACGAACAAGCAAACTATACATGCACAGGAACTATACAAAAGCTAACAGTCTTCCCTTAGGATCTTGTGCCTGGCTTTTTAACCTTCGAAAGCATCTTTTTAAAGATTTTTTCGAGCCGGCTAAGCTCTCCACTCTCTGCGGTTGCATGATCTTCACTCCTCGTATCTGGTATAGCAAAGCAAGCAGATTGGCAACCACAACCGCCTCGTGTCCACACTCCCCTGATTGATCATGTTCAGGAAGCAGCAGTAAACCTTCGCTGAAGTCTGTCGGCAACCAAACAACAACACCGATATTTTGGTAAATGGCGAGTATGCGGGACTATAAGGGTTTCCGAGAGTCTAACGACCGAGATGCACTGCCCGAAAAATCCGTGTCTAATTCAACTAGCACATAACGGAATAGACTATTTGGACCTGGATGGACTTGCCATTCGACAAGTCTTTCGGTTCCAGCTTGTTTGTTCGTGAGCCGAAAGGCAAAGTAAGGATGTGGGATTCGATAGTCGCCTCGCATGCTGGGCTCAAGGGGATTTGAAACGGTCATGGTCGTACTACTCGCTGGATTGCCTTAGTCACCATCTTTGGCATAGTCCGAAATCAAACACTCCTCACTCGGGGAAAGGGAATCGAACTATGGTATTTACATTAGAGATGACCAATCTGTCAGAGCGAAATATATACACGTCAATCACGGCATCATCGTCTCGAAGGAGCGCTCTTCTCTCTACCCGGATCCAAGTCTCTTTCTCCCTGGCGATATCTGAACTCATATTGACCAAGTAGTCGACGCAAGGGATGCGTTGGAAGTGCATGTTGGCGACTCTTCTGATAGAGTCTGTAGACACGTGTCTAGAATCATTGAATTAAGTTATGACCTGAAGTAGCATGTGTTGAGAATTGGAATCTTCAGAGTAGAGAAAGAGAGACAAGGAATTGATTGTATGTAAACCCTGGCGGCGTGACCATCCTAATCGGGCAGGTCAGCCAGCAGCCGTCCAGATCCCGTTCAACTCTCAATCTTGCTTCCTTCCCCCCCCCCAATTTCGCCTCATCATTTCATCTATATAAAGAGCGAAAGCTAACGTAAATGGATTCCAATTCAAATCGCAAGTCCATCTATTTCGATTATCGTGCATCATGTCGTCGTCTAAGGAGTGGTAGAAAATGTTGAATGGCGAGTTCTATTGGGCTTGGGATGAAGGCCTTCAAGCTAATCGCGATTGATGTAAAGAGGCATGTAAACGCTTCAACGAGGCAGGGCCGGTGACCCGGCGCCGGAGGGTTGGACTATGGCGGGAGTAAGTGCGATGACATCTCAGTCGATGCCACCGTCCCTGCGTTTCCCGTGTTAACGATGAGATCGGTACAGCATTGTCGGTGACACACGCCCTCTCCCACCAGTTCACTCCGACCCGAAAGAAGACGCGAAACTTTTTGACGAAACGGACCCTGCCATGGATCATCCGATCTCCGTGGACCACGGCCTGAACTTCAAGGTCGGCGGGGGCATCTTTTTGGATTTCAACATGTTAGTCCTGGATACCTGCCTGATCACCATCGGGGAAAGGACGTTATTTGGCCCGGATGTTTCTCTTTACGGCCAACGCAACTTATGGATCCGGCAGTGCGGCAAGGACTCGAGGGCCCGGAAGCAGGCAAGGAGATCCATATTTGTGATGTGTGGATTGGTGGGAGTGTGATCATTCTCGCAGGCGTGACGATCGGGCGAGGGTGCACTATCGGTGCCGGATCGGTTGTCACCAGGGTACGTTGAGACATCTTTTCCAATTTGTGGAGTCTCGGTGTTTATGTACTGATTGCCGATTGTAGAGTGTTCCTCCCTTCCATTTCGCCGCAGGGAACCCTGCGCGCGTCATTCGGCGCATCAAGACGACCATGGATCCGGATCAAACGGTCAAGAACGAAGGAAACTCAGAATAGGTTTGAAGGGAATGTCAGACAGAGCAATAGACAATCGTCGAACCAAGGAAACACATCTGCCCTGACTCCAGCGCGATGCAACGGGCAGATGGTCTCAGTATTTCTTCCGCAGATGAAACATGTCCCACGATAAAGGCATGGGCTGATATGCACAATCGATGGAGACACCACGAATCAATTTCTAGCTTTGGTATCCTATTTGTACGGGTGAAAATCAAGAAAGCCCTAAATCAGAATAATTTACAACATGGCCTTGGGAAACTTCTTCATTGCCTGCCGCACCCCCAAGTCAGCCAGAATCTCTTCCGTTCCTCCCAGAATCGCGTCGAACTTGTAAGTGCGGTGAAACATCTCAACAACCTTGCCCATGCCACTCTGGGTGATTCCACGACCGCCGTAGATGTTGGTGGCCATATCAGCGATCTCCTGCGCCGACCGAGTAGCGTGCGACTTGAGCAGAGCGATCGGTCCACCCAGGTTCGCGGCCTGCTGGGCATACGTCATATTGCACATCTGGAAAGCAATGGATTCCAACCAAGCCTGGTTAGATTCACACAGAGAGATCATTCGGGCGAGCCTACGATGCCACCTTGGTCAGTATTCATTTCAATATGCCGCAGGGGGAGGAATTCATACTTTTGTCGCATGACCGGTTGCTCGATCAATTGCTTGCTAAAGACCAAACGCTGGTTGCACCATTTCAGGCACTCTTCGACCACGGTCATCGACATGCGAATCACACCACTGGCCATCATGAATCGCTCGTGGTTGAAGTTGCTCATGATGACAATGAAGCCCTTGTGCTCCTCACCCAGCAGGTTCTCCACGGGGACCTTGACATTCTCAAACTGCACGAACGCCGTACCTGCGGTGGTCGAGTAGGATGTCTTGATCTGCTTGGTCTCCACGTTCTCATCGCGGGGGATCAGAAGCACCGAGAATCCCTTCTCCGTGCGACAGCCCGTGACGAAGTAGTCGGCGAACATGCCGTTCGTGATCCATTTCCTATTGCAATGTGTCAGAGAGCATTTTGAAGGGATTGTACGGGATGACGGGTCCGTACTTGGTGCCGTTGACAATATAGTGCTTGCCATCAGGGGTCTTTTCGGCCGTGGTGCGAAGACCAGCCACATCACTGCCCGCAAATGCCTCGGTAATAGCCAAACACATCTTCTTCTTGCCCGACAAGACCTCTGCCGTAATTTTCTCGCGAAGAGGAGCGTTGGGGAGCCACTGCTGGACAGCCGTTAGACTAATAGCCATTCCGGCCATGTTTCCGTCCTGGAAGCCTGCAGACAGCCGTTAGCTGACGGGGTGGCTCAAAGGGAGACACGGGGACTCGGCGACAAACCTCGCGCATTGGCTCTGACTAGCTCCTGAGACACGATCATGTCATGCAGGTAATCGAACTCTTCCCCGTCCACGACGCCTCCCAGCAACTTCCGACCATGCAAATGCTTTCCCGGGCCCAGGCGCATAGCCAGGACGTTTGTCTCCGCCATGCGATCAATCAACTCTTGGCTGATGTATGTACCGTCCTTCTCCTTCTCCTGCGCCTCGGGGGTAACGTAGCGATCAGTGAACTCGCGCACGGCACGCTGCAAGCGACGATGGCTGTCCTTGTAGTAGGGGCTCTTGAACTGTGGGCGCAACCACAGGGGTTCGGCATAGGGAACAGGGCTGAGACTGCCGGGTTCGGGGCTCGTGACCTCGGGGGTCTCACCGGCGACGGTGCCAACGCAGAGCTCGTCGCGGTATTTATCTAGCACTTCCTGGCGATGGAGGTTGTAGAAGTCGGCCGTGGCGTCCTTGCCCGCCACCTGGGCCAGCACCACGCTGCCGCCAGGGTGCGCATCGAGGAAATCGGTCAGATCATAGACGCGGTGATCGATGATGCACCAGATCGAGTCTTCGGAGGTGTGCTTGGCCACCTCGTCGCGGGAGAAAACTTTGGCCATGATGGAAGAAGATTAGTGACGCAGCGGGGAAAGCATGGGGGAAGAGGCAGCGGGAGGATTTGCGGGGAAGGATGTCACGACGGAATAAATACCTGAGCCATTATTCACTAGTAACGATGGACCATGAATCTTGATACTCTCCGAAGGCTCCGCGTCCCAATTTTGGGGTGCAGAAGACACGTGCCGGGCCAATCACGGGGCGGCGATTACGGACGTTGCCGGGAGCCGAGGTTGTTGCCCCATCAGGCAGTCAGGCAGGCCTCCCCCGGTCAGTGACTTTCGGATGACCATGATCATGACCAATATCCACTGTGTACATACATCTCTACCGACCGACCGTTCTAGCCTTTCTCTCGAAATCATCTACCTCGGTTCGTTCATGTTATCCAATTGAACCAAATATCCCCTCTCAGTGGCCGAGAGATCGATCACTGATCAAGACATTTCATTCCCTTCTAGTTATGTGATACAGATTACATCGGCCCTATGCCCTGTCTCGTCCATCACCGCAGAGCCACCATGACCACCTACGACAGCTCCAACCTCAACGCATCATACTGCACGTACACCGTACTAGGTAGGGCCGCCGTCTCCACGTCCGTGGCGTTATAGGGTAGATGCAGTCTTAACGAGTTGTCTCCAACCTGCAACCAGTCCGTAGGGAATTCCATGCGAGACGCCACCTGGTAGCAACTGACGGCCGATCGCACGATGCAGCTGCTGGACTGGTTGAAGTCCACCAGCAACGTGAGCGGTTCCTCCTGTTCATTGATGTAGCTCTCTAGCGCTAAGTTAATGTACGGCTCCTCCGGCTTGTACTCATCGGTGTTGCCGGATGCCGTCTTGGCCCCTGCAAGCTGGATGGTCAGCGTGGCGGTCTTCCGGCGCCGAAGCTGCTGCTTGGTTAAGGCGAAGTTGATCGTCCAGTCGTGCGTCGTGTTGTATTCCACGTCGGGGTTGTCCGGTGTAGGCCCGAACACCGACCAATGCACTGTGTTGAAATCAGTGGCCGGGTCGCTGCTGCCGATCGTGTAGTTGACACCACTCGGGAAGTCCTCTTGCCAGTCGTATGCGCCCCAGTAGATCAGATACCCGGGGGGCTGGAGTGGGTGGGACTTATCGCGCGCATCACCATGCAGAAATTCGCCCGACGACTTGTCCGGCGTTCCAAGACGCCAGATCTCCACGCCCGCCGATTCCTCCTTCCACGTTTCGTCGACCTTCAGCGATTTTCCGGCGCGTACATTCAAACCGTCCTTTATAAAATCGCCGAAGATGCCGTCGGCGTAGACAGTGAGCCGGTACTTGCCTTCAGCGACGTGATCAATATTGAATCGCCCGTTCTGATCAATCTCCGCCCAGTATTGGTGCGACGATGCATCCACGGAGTTGTCCTGGAAGTATTGCCCGGCGACGGTGAGGATGGCAATCGGTCGCTTGGCCCCACGGGGTAGCTTCACCCGACCCTTGATACTGCCACGGTGGCTGGAGGGCACGTATCCGATGACATGTTTGGCGATCGAGTCGTAGAATTCGACATTCCAGTCCGGGTCTGCCAGGGCGCTGGCTTCCGATCGCAGCTCCTCGATGGAGGCGGAGCCTTTCCCACCGTTGAAGAAATAGTACTGCGGGCCAAAAGTGCGGTCGAAGCCGTTCGTAATGTTGGGCGTTCCCTCGCCGTGGTGGTTCGAGACCATGTAGTTGTAGACAATGCCGTCCACTGTAAGGTCCGAGTGTAGCGGTCCCTATATCCGTGTTAGTGTTTGGTTCTGGCGAGAGGAATGATCTCACGAACGCCGTAGTATGTGTCCTAGAGAATTTGAGTTAGCAAAACCGAGTGTATGGAAGCAAACCGAGTGTATGGATTTCGTTCCTAGGGTGACATACCTTGGTGTTCATCACAAGCCACGCGCCATACGTTGTTCCGTCCGACGTAGATCCATCAGCGTATAATCCGTGGACATCATTTTCTCGCCATTCTGTACGTTCATCAACATTGACCAGTCGAGAGAAAGGCAGGTTAGACCGTACGGTTCGAAAATGTATATTTTGTGAAGTACTCCGAGAACTGAGAATAGTACTTATCCTCAGGAGTATTATTAAATCTCCAGGTGGCATCTTGCACAACGATCTGCTTGTCAATCGCCTCATCGCTGGGAAGCGGAGCAGTCTGGACCTCACTCGAGGTCAGATGTGTCCAGAGATCCGTGTTCGGTCTCAGTAGCGTCCTGAACTCCTGCAGATTGCGCAGGAAAGGCGTCGTCTCGTTATAGTACGCCAGTCGACTGAACATGTGCAGACCCGTCTCGCCATCGCGAAGGAACCAGTATTGCTGGAACTGCTGGCCCGTGGGGGTGTACGTGTCGTTGAGAATCACTCCGGCGTACTTGGTGCCCGTGGAGTCGGTGCCGTTGACGAGCTCAAGCACTGGGCTGGTGGATCCGGCCGTGTAGAAGCCCGACGGCGTACAGTAGCAGTCCAAGTAGGGTCCGACACCGCTAGATCCGGACTGGGGACCAAGGAGGTCTTGACCGTCAAGGAAGAGGTCCTCGACCCGTCCCTTCCCTTTGGTGAAGATCGCCGTGAGACGGTCGTTGGCGAGTGTGATTTTGCTATCGGTCTCGGAGACGTTGAGGACTGCGGAGGCGAGGGTCGCCCAGATGGGCAGGGTGGATAGGGAGAGCCCTAGATGCATTTTGAGGAATCACAGGGTTCTGACACCCTTTCACAATTCAGTGCGACCTACGATGGAAATTGGGTGCGAAGGCCCATGCATGAAGAGGTGCATTTCCCCTCTTATAATCCGAGGCTGGATTCATCATGCCGGTGATTTTTACCCCGAAACTGCGACCAAGCTTTATGAAATGACGGATAAGATCATACAATCTGCAGGTAAGCAGACATGGCCGTGGTATCATCGTGCGATGTTCACGAATCTCCTGCCAAGAATCTGTGGAATGTGGAGCCCCAGATTTGGGAAGAAAACGCTGGGGAAAAGCAGACTCGGGGCTTATATGGACGGAATAATTATTCGGCCAGCATTCACCCGACGAAATGAGACTAAATCCTGCACAATGCTGCGGGGAAGAAAATGTGACTTGAAATTAAAAGTAGTCTTCTTCGGTCTGTCGCTGCTGCCGGTCTTGTGAGTGATTTTCTGGCTTTTCGTTTACCATCGTGCAGGATGATAACGAAGAGAGCCTGTCGCCGAATTGCATTTCCGATCGAATAGTTGCGAAGAGATCCAACTGACCATTCTCTTGAAATGGAGAAGAACAAATGAACCACATGTTCCATGAAGGTGGATTGAGGCCCCGTCGCACAGCGGAACAACCCCAAATTCAAAGCCTAAACCAAGAACCCCGACAGGCCAAACGATAGCCCATGACTGATAGGCTCGGGTCCAAAGTCGCAGATGATATCATATCGATTTTCGAAAACATGGTCATCACTCTATGTTTCAATCGATGGCAACACGATTCCGGCGAAACCCATGGTTATCTAGCAAAGTGGCGAAGGCGATCTTTATTCAGACCTATCCAAGCAGTGAAATGTTGAAGAACATGGTTTGTAACCAGCTCCACCATCGGAAAGGTCTTTTCTCGCGTGTCCGGGCTGACATCCGATGGATTTCGGGACACTTTTCGGAATTTCTTCCGAAGACTTCGTCGCCGTATATAACCTCGGGTACAAACCAAGCACACCTGGACTTGTCGGAAATGACTTCTCGCAAATATTAGTGCCAAGAGTGTCTATCACTCGGTCTCATCCAATGACATTATATTTCGGTGAGCGATCATTGTGGTATGGGGTCTACCAAGGGCCCCAGTATGTCCCCGGAGACCTGTAGTCCCCACGGGGAAACAGTCCCGCTGGAGGACGAAATTGGAATATGATGTTTGACTTCGGAAGGCGAGGCTGCCAATGCTAGAGGCTTGATACTCCATCTGAGCAGATCTCTCCAAGATGTAGATAAAATGTCAACATGGCGCCCCTTGCCTCGTTCGCTGGTTGTCTCCCATCGCATTCCATCTTCTGATTTCACATTGAGCATTTTCAAACATGGAAAAGCCAAACATAGGCATCCCTCCGGAGTTTGGCTCTGATGAAGTGAAGATCAAAAACTCTGACAAGTCCACCCATCTGGAGGACGTGCCTCAGTCTGCTCTGCGGGAGTCATGGCACGCGAATCTCCGAACAATCCTCGCAATTGGGCACAATGGAAGAAGAACGCGCATATTCTCATGGTGCCTTTCCATTCTATGATCGCGACTCTCATGGCCGCTGGTATCATCCCAGCTTATGATATGATGGCAGAAGAATACAATGTGACAGTGCCCGAAGCAAGCTATCTCACCTCTATTCAGGTATGAGCCCTGCGCATCCAGATCATTCCGTTCTGTTGTAGATATACTGCGCTTACACTTGCTGTGGTAGATTTTGCTCCTGGGACTATGTCCATTCATCTGGAAGCCAATCACCTCGATTTATGGTCGATATCACGTCTTTCTGTTTTCCGTGCTGGAAAGCATGGTATGCAACATCGGGGGCGCGAGATGCACAACATACGAAGCTCAGATGGCGACAAGAATTCTCACCTCGATACTGATCTCTCCTCCAATTGGCATCGGCAGTGGCGTCATCACAGAGCTCTGCGAGCCAGAGAAACGGGCGCAGAAGTTGGGCTGGTGGATGCTGATGATCACACTTGGTACACCTAGCGGTCCATTCATTATTGGGTTTGTCACGAAACACATAGGCATTGAATGGATATTTTGGATTTTCGCCATCATAAACCTTGTTCAATTCATCGCACACATGGCTCTCGGGGCGGAAACAATGTACCTGCCCGAGTTTGATAATTTCCTGAGGGCGGGAGAGGCGAAAAAAGGTGTATTCGACAAGCTCATTCCACGACGACTTGACTCGCGCTCTCTCAAGACGCGTGAGTTCATCGAACCCATCTTTCTTTGCCGACATTATGCAGTCCTGATCCCTGCGGTCGCCCACTCTATTATATTCTGCTATGGCAACATCATGCTGATCGTGGAGATGCCAATTGCATTCGGAGAAAAGTTCGACTTTGATGCTCAGCAGATAGGGCTGCAGTTTATTGCTATCATCATTGGGTGTCTCCTCGGCGAACAATTGAGTGGTCCCCTTTCTGACTTTTTCTTGAGGAGCTTGAGTAAAAGAAAAGGTTACACTCGACCAGTAGATCGTTTGTGGCTCTCCTATATTGGCTTCGGCACTGCGGTCGCCGGACTCCTGACCTGGGGGTTTTAGTTAGACAAGGCCCAATCCTGGGATGTGACACCCTGTATTGGTGCGGCCATCGCGAGTTTTGGCAACCAAGTTATCACGACGATTCTCATCTCATTTGCTGTTGATAGCTATAAGGAGAAGTCAACTAATGTTGGAGTCTGCATCAACCTGTTCCGCCACATTTATGGGTTTGTAAGGTCTTTCCTTTCCACTGCCCGTGAGACACTCGCTGACAAGGCTAGATTGGGACATTCTATTTCCCTTCTATGTTCGAAAGTCTGCAGTTTGCCGGTGCAGCAGGTGTTATGTGTGCTATCATCGGTGCTTGCGCGTTAGTCCCTATCATAGCGGTTCAGTTTGCTGCTAGCCGTTCAACCCACCAAGTCTGAGAGCTAGCGACTAGGACGTTGTACTAGAGTTGGCTTGGGTATTAAGACCGTTTTTTCACGAGTATGGGTGGGAAATAAATATATAATGATAGGGGCACATGATCGGGAAGATATGGCATCGAGCCAGCAGACTGGGACTTTTGGAGTACAGAATAGACCAGTATGACTTTCCTTTCTCGTGGCTAGTAAAGACTGCTGGGCACACTGTTTAGCCACGACATATCCTGAAAATCTGTTAAATCGAAACCATCGATAAGAATGGCATTCATTCCCTCTCCAAGCGACATATCATTTGTCGCGTTCAATGTAGTGCTGTGCGCTTGGTGACTCGGCGGTTGCTCGTGAGATGGAGACGCTTCTGACGCAACACTTTCATATAGAATTTCGAGGGCGGCAACACATCGTCTTGCAGAAGCACTATAACTTTGGTACTTCCGCAGAATCCCAAGCGCATCGTTCCAAGATCGTGATATGGCCGCGTCGGTTATTTCTTCCACAACGGATGGACAAAGACGGCCTGCAATCAACACTGTGGCCGCCGTGTAGACATCTGCAACATATGAGCATTGACCCAAACATTTGGTTTATGGGAGACCTCACAGAGAATGTTGTACCACCATGCTGGTAGTGGACCTGAGCTTCCATCCGTCGGAATATTGTCACGAATTAGAACAATGACTTCTTGAGCGACCTTAACGCATATTACAGAGCACTGCAGCGCAACGCGATGGGGAAAAGAGTCAACCAGAGATATCAGTGGATCAGCTACGGCAATTTCACGAGCCGTGCAGTACTTAGAAAGAACGGGCCTAAACAAAAGCATGCGGACGTGCAGGAACCTGAATGAATTAGCAATTAAACTCTCGGGCTTGCATTGTGGCTCCTTAAATGAAAAACAAACCTAGCTCGTAGGACAACACTCTGTCGGCGAAATATTATGTTGTCTGATCGAAGAGACGAAGGGTCACGCAAATGCAACGGAAGAGTTCGTGTCCATTTGGTCAGGGCCCGGTCAAGATCAAATATTGTCCGCTCGCCTTGGCTTATCTCCTTATCGAAATAGAAGTCATACATGTCTTCAGGGCTTTCGTCGGGCACCGGTTTGTTATACAGACTCAGCAGAATGTCATTGAGGATCTCATATAGCTCGAGAGATTTAGCGTAGAAAGCCATGATGGACGGTCGGTCGTTCGGTTGCTTGGCTTGAGCACCTGAATACGCTGGAATATGCTCTTCATCAACCACGACCGGAAGCGGAACTGAGTTGCTTGACGCTTTGGATATCATAGCTGGACGACCGAAGGTCATTGATATAACTCTATGAAATATCAGCGAAATGTGGAGACGGAAAATAGCTTGTGGGTACATACCGATCCATCAGCACGCAACCGTGCCAGATCTTGCGCGCTAGCTGCTGTTCCTGTGGATTTCGAAGGCGACAAACGGTCTGCGGAAGGTGTAAACCAAGGCTCTGCGCATTCCGAACGGCCAAGCCAGTGACTATCCAGCATTGATGCGCCGAGTCCGTGCTTTGCAAGTATTGTGCCATGAGAAGCAAGCATTGAATCAAACCAGCAGATCCAGTATTCCAAAGATTAAACTGAAAAAGGTCCTTTGCACGCGAAAAAAAGGTATCTGCCGACGATTCCCGCTCCTCCGGAGGAATAAAATCTGCCAGCTGCGAAGCTAGAGCAAAGATGACGTTGAACGTGCACATCAGCATGTTCTCGTCCGATTCCAGCGCCTCGCCCGTCCAGATCCTCGCGTATTCTGCTCGCAGATGAAGACTGTCGACCAGTGGATACAGTGGAAAGACATAGCACCAGTAAACCTCCATGAGGCTGTCGGCTGTCTTTCTTGGAGGAAGAACGTAACTGGGCACGGTAGATGGCATTGCCTTCGTCGCGACGAGACTGGGGGATGGCGCCACTCCCAGGACCGATTCCGACGCTGGTCGACATGACGACGGGACACGTTTGTCTACAGCCTGCTTTATCTGACGCATGAAACTGGCCGCACTAGAGCTGCCAAAGAAGCCTTGGGCCGGCTGCCCTTCTTCTACTGCACCCATCATCGCATTCACGCCATCTACACATTTTTCCGACCGAAGCGGCTGATCTGGCAAATTGTGAGATGGGGAGAAACATGGTCCGTGGGCACCGGCGAGACTGGCCCCGGGCGAGACGTTGTACGTGGAAGAAGGTTGGCCTCCAGCGGTGGTGCTAGGGATGTTTCTTATATGTCGCTGCACGTTGGAAGACAAAGGTGATTCCGAGTTCTGGTGCGAGATGAAACGCTACATGAACCATCAGATCGCGACTTGCTTGTGTTTATAGCGCTTGTGTTTATAGCCAGGGTCCAGGGTAGTATGGAGGCAAGAATACTGCTCACAGGAGAGTTCTGACCGCCATCATTGGATTCTACTGCTGTCGGGACACATTCCGGAGTCTCTAAATGTCTGATACGCCTTTCTAGGGTCGCAATGTAACTGAATTGGGGACACCATTAGCAATTAGACCCAGCCAACGACAACCTTCATCAGATAGCTTACTTCCGTACAGCACGTTTCTTCTCCGGCTCCCCCGTATAGACACACTGCACGCCCTGGTCGGACTTCTTCATGCACGGACCACATACTGGAACAACGCGAAAATCAGTTGGAACGGATTGAGTTCCCCGGAGAGACTGGACATACCCGGTTGGATGCCGTCGCAGCGGATCTTGCGAGTCCGGCATTCATCACAGGCGACGGCAATTTTACGACGTTTTGTTGGTCTGCCAGGAGCTTTACCCGGACGGTCTTTGGAGGACGGGTCCGGACTGTCCATGAACAAGGAGGGATGGGTGACGGGAGTACGAAAGGGAGGAGAAGGACGATTCGGAAGTTGCGCGAACGGGAGAGAGAAAGATCGAGCGAGGCTTGGCACGTGGGTGGCTGCCTCGGGTGTCATTCCGAAGCGTTGCCTGAGGCCGTCGCTGGGTGGCATCCCGTGACGGACCAGCCCTGACTACTTTACTGCGGAGTACGGAGTTCAACACAGATCTGGTTTGATTCAAAGCCTCAAGCATCATGGGAAGTTTAATTGCTTTTGGTGTTGATATGCACATGCACACCGACTAACTGACCGATGCGCGTACAGTAGTTATAAAGAAAGACAAAAACCAAATGCAACTGGCATCCCTTGCATGTTCATTGCACAAAGCTAGATCGATATCCAAACATATGACCCAAGCTCCGGCTCGAGAGCACGACTGTACAAGTCACAATATCCATCACATCCCCTTGGCCCTAATGTCCCAGCGTCGCAATAGGAAGACGGCCTCGGTCCGAGGGTTTTCGCTTAAACTCCAACGGGAACAGCGAGGCAAGGAAGAACGACGTTGACACCGCTGTTGACGCTGTTGTCGTCGCAGCAAGCAATGCTACCCTGGCACTGACCGGGGATGAGGTTGAGAACTAAATCAATGGCTGTTAGTAAGATCATGACTGATTCTAGGATCAGGGGGACTTACGGTCGCTGCAGCCGCTGTACTCGCCAGAGTTCAGGCCGGGAATGAGAGGGCCGTCAAGCAGACCCAAGAGGTTGGCGTGCTGCTCCGCGTTGAGCTTTGCGCTGGTAGGGTCCGAGTTGCAGCAAGAACGCTTGCCGTTGGAGCACTTTCCGTACAGCTCCTGGGCGGCATTGCCAACCTTCGGGCCGGTCTCGGGGAGGGCCAGAGCAGTGGCGGCGAAGAGGGCGGCGACAGCGAAGAACTTCATTGTGACGGTTGGTTTGATGAGACTTTTGAACAGGCGTTCTGAAGATGAGAAGAATGAGGTTGGCAAGGTAGTGGAAAGAAAGTTGGCTTGGATTGATGCGATGAGAGCTGTTGATGGCGGAATTTGGACAGCCTTTATATCTTTGGAAACCAAGGGCAATGGAGTGCCAGGTTGACCGAGATACTTCCCAGCCAATGGCCGAATATGCCTCCAGCCTGACCCTGGCAGATATCCCTTGCCTGGTGAATCGATGAAGCTCAAGGCTACCTGTCGCTTGGAGAATCCCGTTCGCTAGCTCAGAACTCGATCTGCCATAATATGAAGCAGTACACATTCTCGTCACCGATTCGACTGGATCGGTTAGAAGAAGGGGATGTGATATATCATAACTCGCATTTTCCCTGCAGAAAAAATAGAAATTACCTCTCCATCGGCCACGTAAGGACCAGCTCACGTATGCCGCAGGAACCGGTTTCGTGGATGAAAAGTGATGATTCTCAAGGCACAATGGAAAGATCTTCACACGCTATACGTGCTCTATTGAGCGTCTAGAGAACTTCATCTAGAGGCAAAGCCTCGTTCCAAGTAACTTAACGTCTGAATTGGGCTGATCTTCGTCGGTGAGCTGGTCTATGGAAATCTATGATGAGATTAAGGTTCTTTGGTACCGTAGGAATGGTCGAGTGTGGTCAATGTCCTAAGAACCCCGTACTGAGGTGAACGATCCAGGGACTGGCGGGGAGGGAGGCTGCAGGGTGGCGTAGAAACGGAGATGGACGAGCAGATCTGAGCTACTCCGTATGTACACTGTTTGTCACTCGTCCCGAATTGTGGCTGGAAAGAGCCCGATTGCTCCGAAGTTTACGGTGCATATCCCCAGCTTGCCTGCTGATCAGGGGCGCACTGAGTATTGGAAATGGTCCTGCGTGTTTCTCAACCTGTTCTTTTAAAGTTTTCACACGGTTATATTACCCGCTATAACTATTTGCACTCGTCAGTGGCGCTAACTGGCCTCGATGGCAGTTGCGATGTCGATTGGGATGACTGACTCCGGAGTTCGCGCCCATTAAGGGGGCCAGAATTGCCTGTTCATTCTGGCGCCCCCACAAAAGACGATAGGTTCGAGGAGGATGAAAGAGAGGTTTAAGAATCAATAGTTCCACTCGGACGCATTGAGTCACCACTAGTGTTGTTTCCGCTGCAGCAAGGAGTCGATAGGTCATATCCATTCCATTAAAATAGGACTGGGCTGATTGCTTGCTGCAAGGACATATAGAATGGACGTGGAACATTGCGTTTGTTTCGGCTCAGCAGTAGTACGGTGTAGGTACCTTCTCATTTATCGGTAGGATTTATTGTCATTACCCCTTGAATAGCTATATCATGCAGTCTCTATTTGGAAATGCTCTAGATGTTTAATGCGCAACAAAAGTCAAAATGGCGAAAGTCTAAAGCCAGAATAAGAGAATACATGCGAAAGAAGTGTCCATCATCATAAGTCGTGATCCTCTGTTCACCAGGTGAAAGATTCTTCGGCGTAGCGAATACCTTGGTAGCCCTGGCGCTTTGCACGATACACCGCATCTCGAGCCTGATCGGCCATGGCGGATGGCCCGCATACCAAGACAAGCGCTGAACAACCATGGAGCTGAGCGTCGTGTGCATGGGATATGATGCAGGATTGAAGGTCAGGTCTTCCTATGTTGATCTCAAAATCTTTATCGAAAACCTCATTATGTGTAGTAGGATGGGAATCCTCCTCAATGTAGTTTTCTCCCGGCGATGTTACGTAGAAGGAAGCATGAAAATCGCTGCGGGCGAGAGCCGGACTCAGCTCCCCGGTCGCAAGTTGTCGAACAAAGGCTGCTTGTCGCGTCGTCCAGACAAGCTGCATATCTTGGACTTGCGTTGTACTGCCGTCCGCGGTGGCAGATCGGGCAAGGTAGTCTTGGATGTAAGGAACAATTGCTGCAATTCCCGTTCCTCCAGCCACAAACAGGATTGACTCATAGTTCCACGCTGGGAACTCTTCACCGTAGGGGCCCTCCATGAGAATAGTTGTATCCAAGATCCGATCTGGACATCCCTTGCATTGTTCTCGAAGAGAGCGTGTCCAACCATCAAAAGGTCGGATCCAGAATACGAGCTTAAGCCGACTGCTTGGTCGCGAGACCTCATCGAAGGAATTATCGGTCGCACAAGAATCGGCAAGTAGGGGGATTTGAGAGGTGTCTACTGTCTGATCGCGTTTCGGAGCTTCCGACCGTAGCAATGAAGGTGTCCGAGTCCCCGTTTCAAATGACCAGGCACCCAGGGTAAAAGGGTGGCTTTCCCACCCTGTTAGCCGAAACGGCTGGTATAGATAATAGTATTGTCCAGCGGTTGGGCGCAGTAGCGAGGATCCAGGTATCACCTCTAGTCGAATCACGTCGGAACTTTCATCGTAGGTTGCTAAACTGCGGGTATATTGAAGTCCTTTTCCGGCATGAGCTCGAACATAAATATTGCAATATATCAGACGAATTAAGCGGAAAGATCGATCAAGGGCCCAGACTCCAACAACGGGCCAGAGATAGAGCCAATATTCATGGCCCTCAAAGATGACCGTATGGCTGGTGGGGCAGTTAGTAGACGTCAAGAAGTATGCAACAGGGAGCATACTAGAAACAACCGATGACCGTTGCCACCGAGAAAGCAATATGAAGCAGAAGGAAGGTCTCGTAATTTCGACGCCTAAACCAATCCACGGCCGAAGGGAGAACCAGTATCATGGCCGCCATTGCCTAAGGTATTATCCCAACTGGTTAGGAAACAATGATGCAGATTGAACTAAGCCAACACTCACTATAGTACCCCAGAATAGATATGGCTTTTGCATCTTTTTCCAGGCGTTTCCATCTGCAAAAGTCAGGCAAAGGAGAACGTGTATCAATCCCGGAGAGACGTACTTTGAATAAATAGAATCAAATATAGGATGGTGTGAATAAACGCCTGAGTCGTGGCTATCCAAGCTACATGCCGATGAAATATATTGAATGTGGCGAAGCTCCAGCCGGTTGCCCAGAGAAATATGTTGTTCCGGCCAGCAAATATCCACAGCAATGGAAGATTTGCAAATGAGAGAATGCCTGTGCGATCCGCCGCGTAACGCAAGAGCTGGGCAGAAATATCGGGCCAACTGAAATATATATTAGGAAAAATGCAAGCGGGAATAGACTGAGAAGAACCCACTAGATGTTGCCCAAGAAAGTCCTATAACCCACCATGCATAGGACAGTACTGATTGTCCAGAATGCAAAAGTGACTAGGGCTTCGATGCGTGTAGGAAATGCCCACCAGAGAATGTGTCGACCATGGGATGGCAAGGGACTAGCGACGACGAGGTGGGTGTTGATCCAATTGTACATTTCGCGGAATGGATAACCTAAGCCACGGACCAGGGGATGTTGTTGATGGCCTGTAGAAGCGCGCCGCGAGAGGAGGAATTGCTGAGCACAACGATGAACAACCCCAACTGCTAGAATGCCGGCCCAGAAACCGTAGCCAGCGAGGCTGTTCTGTTAGATGGACTTTACCAAATGAAAGGACTTGAGTAGTTTCTGACCTACCCGTACGCATAGTGTGTCCATGTTTCAAATTGCCAAGCGTCCTACACGCAACAAGGATGAGCACAACATAGATAGGTGAGAGTAGATAAGAACCAACAATAGTTTGGAAAGTGCGACTGTAATACGAAGGAGAGAGTATGACAGGAGCGTCGAGCCGTAGATGTCTAGGAATCTCCTGATAATTCACTACTCTCATTCGTTGGATCCGATCACCGGTAAGATTGGTGGCAAGTTTGTCGCGAGAGATCAAGTCTAGATGTGCGACCTGGCGACATAGCGTAGCTAACTGTGACAGGCCCGCGGCCTGCTCTGACGAGGAGCAGTGCACCTCTGCAGAAGCATATGTCGATGTGACTTTCAGGGGATTCAAGCAGCGCGTGTCCCAGAACCCAACCGACGGACTTCCGGCAAAGGAAATATAGTCATATGCGTTATAAATGGCGGTGACGCAGCGTTCGTCAGGCGGGATGAGGTTGGAAGTAACGAGACCGGTACCAAAGATCAGAACCAACCAGCTTGTTTCACGCATGACTGAGAGTTAAATGTATGGTCGCCAATGAGATTGATCAGGTAGCGGGAACAGGAAAGGCAGTAATCCAGCGGGGCATCACGGGAGAATTGAAGGGTGCTAGCCACAGAATCCGTCGAGGGTCGAGTAGCGTGCCCGAGGTATTACAATGACAAATAAGATCAGAAAAAGAGGGAGACGTGTCGTCCGCTGCGACTCTATATACCGATTGACCCGGAGGTCGAGTTGACTGCGTGGTTCGTCGGGGGGAGAGAGTGAGGCCAGGAGGAGGAATCAGCCGGTGGTTATCAGATCGGGTGATATCTAATCTGATCATCGGGGCGGCTGAGTCAGTCCCGCTCCCGTCGCCTGAGGCACCCAGGCACCCAGGCAGAGAGAAGACGGCACGTGACAAGTGACAACTGTGGAAGCGATGGATGTGTTGTGTATTGGGTGGCCGGTGTGGCCAACTATCTAAGATATCTAGCTTACTAAGTAATGACTAAGCGAGGTCGAACCCCAGGGCAGGCGGAAGGGTACGTCCCGATGTTCCAACAACAACTGTTGGAACATCGGGACGTACCTCTGTTGGAACATCGGGACGTACCCTTCCGCCACAGAAACTAGCTGGGTTGACCTCGCTTAGTCATTACTTAGTAAGCTTCGTTAGTTAAACTAACCTGTTAAGTGACCGTGTACACAGCTCATCCCGAGGCGAAAATTTCTTTTGGATGAGCCGATGTAGGTCACCCGAATGCCAAGAAATTTAGTAAGCAAATCGGCTCAGATGATCCACTATATAATACAGTAATTCCATTTCTTCCTTCTTTTTTGATTTTCTTCTTCAATTAATTTTCCTATTCTTCAAATAAGAGCTTATAATCACTTATTAAGCACTTACCTGACGACTTTACCCATACAATATGGACCCTACCTTATCACATGATGATTCTACTGCTCCTCCTACCATTCAGCAGGTAAAATATTATTACAGGGACTTTTTAAGCACTTGCTAAGTACTTATAGGACCAGCAATTTACAACAGACCCTATTCCACTTACTATGGCAAAACGTTCAAAGGATTCACTCACAAGTCTTAAATTTGA